AAATAGCGAAAACAAACTTTCAATATCAAAATCAAAGATGGCTGCCTGTCGGCCATGTTGTTTATCCGATTAATCTCAAAAGTTGTCCTGCACAGCTAAGGACCAAGGGGGACCTACATATAAAATTTGAGAAAGATCCCTCTGGTGCTTCTTGAGAAATAGCGCTAGCAAACTTTCAATATCAAAATCCAAGATGGCTGCCTGTCGGCCATGTTGTTTATCCGATTAATCTCAAAAGTTGTCCTGCACAGCTAAGGACCAAGGGGGACCTACATATAAAATTTGAGAAAGATCCCTCTGGTACTTCTTGAGAAATAGCGATAACAAGAATTGTTTAAGGACGGACGACGGAAGACGGACCACGGACGCAGGGTGATTTGAATAGCCCACCATCATCTGATGGTGGGCTAAAAAGTAAGTTGTAAAGTGCTTGTGTTATAATCCCTGCCAGGATTTGAACCTGGGACTATTGTCACCAAGTGACAAGTGTGATGACCATTTCAACACAGGAATGTCTACAACACATGTACCATTGACTTTTACAAACTTTTACAGTTATATTACTCCTCGTAGGTAGAAATAATATGTATATGTGTACAGTTATTTGATTTTCAATTATCAAAGTACTCTTTTATTGAATACTTTAAAGTCAATTTTGAAATTATATGTTTGGGTCCATATAGTAATCTAATGAAATCTCATTTCTCATAAATATGTAAATGCATATAATGTGTAGTTTTATTAAATACTATATTTCGGACTACATACAGTAAATGTATAGTCAGCACTTACATAATAGTTTAACAGGAGCGGGGAAAGGACTAAGCAGATGGGGATTCTAACCCAGGACACTCTACCAAGCGAGATACCTGGTCGCCTATGAACACCCCAGTCTAGTTGACTTTAGTTCCTCTCTTCTTTTTCTTGGGCTTCGCCCCTGAAGACACACACAACCCAGGTCCGGGTATCCCTTGGCCATAAAAAATACACTCAGTACTTGAAACAACCTGTATCTCTCTTAATTCTCGACAGATACTCAACCAAATGAGCTACCCAGTCATCAGCGATTAACCCAGTCGATCAAGCTAAACCCTATATCATGTGGTGTACGTACATGTACACAATATGGTTTAATACTTCAGTCCATACAACATGGACTGAAATCATATTTCTTGTGTTTTTGATTTTTAATGGCTGAAGTTGGTTTTTATATACTTGTTTTATTATGTACGAATTATAAGTATGGACGTATGGTATTGTCGTGAATTCGGTGTGTAGTATTTCACACCGTCACAACAAGTAGTTGGAACTGCTCTTAGCTCCCGAAATCTATGTAATAAGGAAAATCACTCACGTGTGTTTGGTTCAAAGTCAAGATGTAAAGAGACCGCGCCAATACGACACAGCGAGGTTTTCGCGTAGCTCGACGAGATCTCGTGTCGGTGCGGTCCACGGTCCAAGGGAGCTAACTCTCCCGAAATTCACCACACTCCTCCCTGTTTTATGAAGGCCCATGACCAGGAAGAGGTCGGAGGATGAAAAACCGCCTTGCTGTTGGCGACTTGGCCAGAGGTTAATAACTGTGGAGGTCAATAGCCCCCTTAACTGAACAATATTTTGTGAAGGTCAGGACCTCCCAACCCCAAGCGAACAGTATTTTTCAGAGGTCAGGGCCCGTTTTAAGTGGATTTACAATACCTTGCAGCAGATTTCAAGGACTGGCATGTACTCCAGTGTGTTTGCTAACAAACCAGTGTATATTCAGGAACTTCACATCAATGATGACAATCATGTAAACAAGGAAGAAGTTGTACAACACATCATTGCCTAAGCTAATGTGGCCAGCAATTGTGATTTCCTGATGAAACTAGATGCAATATTCTTCTCAAAGAATGAGCGTACAGCTTACATCCAGATAGAATTGAGCGATAGGTTGCTTAGTACCCCCTTAAGTAACAATATGTTGTCGAGTACAGTCCTACCTACCCCTTGGAAAGGAGGTTACTGGTGGAGGCCAGTGTTTGATAAGGCCTCAATAAGCCAAGCTTTAGCCTTGCTGGGTTTATCTCTCCAAGGAACGTACACCACAGTTATGGATATAATCCTATCAAATAAGCACAGTCCCCCCGTGCCTTGCTAAGCATGGAAATAGTTTCCCCATGACAGGGCCCAATATCGGCTATGGTGTAAATATTGAGACCCGGGGTGTCAGTAAAGCGTTTAAGGGAAGAATGCCCTCCCAAATTGTAGAAAGATGTAGGATGACTATCCACCGTACTTGGCGTTTGAAGATGACAGGGGAAGCTTAATCTCCCCTGCCTGTGGGTACCACAGAGAAATCTGGGGGCTGCTTCAGAGCCCCCCTCTTTGAGTTTGGAGTTAAGGACGGGAGTATCCCCCTCCCCTCACTGCAACCGTACTACAGATGTGCTAAAAAGTTACTTGCACAGAGTTCGGGGTTAAAAATGGTGGGGAAGTATTCCCTCCCCACACTACAGGTAGCGACAATTGGTATGCCAGGAGGTCTCTTACTCAAAAGAGTAGAACCCCCTGGCATTGGCGTTGAGTTGGCTCGCCAGGAGGTACACGTTGTCCCCCCTTAGCGAGGCCAACTCCTCCAGCGTGTGCCTCAGTAGCCAGGGGCTGTTAATTCCAACCCCAGCCCATGTAGGCACCAGGTAGGGAGCATCTGAATCTAGCAACAATCTGCTAGAGTCAAAGCCCCCCAAGGCCAGTTGCGTGGAGGGGGCTCTGAGAGACGGTCACCCCGATATAGATTTTTGGCAGCAGCTGCCGCCAAGCCTCTATATCCTCCACGGTACCCAGTGAAGCAGTGCCACCCTGGCACCCTTCGGAAACATCCGAGGGCCTCCTGTGCTGCCCGGCCACTGCCCCCATCCTTACAGTGGATTATCACCTCTATAGCGGTACAGACCTGGTCCCGCAGCTGCTGCAGGAACCCCATAAGGTGGAATCCCCTCCCCACCTTATGGGGGTGTAGGCCAATGGCTATTTTGACCCTTGGGTCACCAGCCACCTGGCCCTGGCGCCTATTCCAGCTGTCGGGGTAGGCATAATTGGCCACCCCGCCCAGAAGGAGTACCTCTCCACAGTCCTCCTGAGCCGCCAAGCTAGCGAAGGAGGTTGCCCTGGTGAAATCATATTTCTCATAAATTGAGAATTAAATTAATTAAAGGAAGGCCACAGCTAGGTGATTAACACACTGATCTGAAGTATCAGTGCACATCACGTGTCAAGAAGGCCTAACAGTTACCTGCGTAAGTAACCTGGCCCTGTGCTCAATGGGACTTTATTTACATTTGGGGTCACGCTTCGAAGGCTTATGAAGAAATATTGCCCCCTTAGCAATAAGCATTCGAGGTGAAAATGAATGTTCCGTTTGTTTCATGAGCGATTATCTAACGTCAAGCTTATAAATGCAAGAAACTCACCTTAAACGTTAATTTAGGTTCAGAGTCGAAGCGGTCATTTCCGCGCTATAACGAGGGCCGTGTTATTTGGTTTATATTAAAAATATTGAAATTCAAACTACAGTAAGTCTACTTGCATGAAGATTTTAAAAGAGCAAGAAATTTTGCACATTTGCTGTAGATATATTTTTCAAAACAATTGCGAGATATAGCCTAATTTTATTGCTCCGGCTACCAATGACTTTAAATTTAACATACACAAAGACGCTCTGCATGTGAGCAGAGTGGCGCAGTGGAAGCGTGCTGGGCCCATAACCCAGAGGTCCGAGGATCGAAACCTCGCTCTGCTAATGTTTTTTTTTTACTTCATCAGATAATTAAGATTGATTTTCTTTCAATTATCATTTCTTTTTGTCCTCCAATAAAGAAGAAGACAAATAACAGAACAATAGTTAGATGGTTTAGTTTGAAAATACAAATGCAAGACGCAAGTCTCCGTAAGATATTGCGATTTTACCAAAGCAGGGAAACACTTTAGACAATGGCTTAAACAATTCGTTAGCTGAACACAAATGCGAGTGCATTCCCCTGTCCTATAATGCAGTGGTCCAACGCTTCCGGTGTTTTTTTCTGTAGTATTGATACCTCCCTCCATTTAAAAGAAACCCGACATTGTGTGTGATTTTTTGGTTTAAAACAATATTTTAGAAAGCCAGTCTTTGGCGGACCCAGAGGTGCTGTCCTAGTTGCCCAGGCAACACTCTTTTTTTTCTGTGTCCAAAAATAATCTGGACCAGAGACATATAAAGCCAGTAGTATATACGTCTCTGTCTGGACCAAGGTTTTTGAAGATTTTCCTTTATTTCATATGGGATTTCCTTCTAATATCAACCATCCCTTGACCTGCTATGATTTTCTATGGCTTCCCCTTTCCAGCAGTTGCAGTATCTATGTATTCCTTAGGGTGTTGCCCAAACAATGAGTCCACTAAATGGTTACACCAGTTTTATTATATGGTTGTGAAGCATGTTTTTTTTCTAATAATACCGTCATAGAAAGAGTCCATCTCAAACATTCTGCAAATTATTACTTCACCTTAAATCTTCTACCCCTGACATCATGGTTTATGGAGAGCTCGGCAGGCATCCTGTTGGTATAGAAATTAAGACCCGAATGATATCATATTGGTCAAAACTGATTTGAGGTAAAGAAAGTAAAGTAAGTAATATTTTGTATAGATTATCAATTATTATCAACGAAGAAAAAAATGGTTCCTTCGCATGGATAGAAAGCATAAAGAGTACCTTGAATAATTGCGGACTCTCTAATATCTGGTTAAACCAAAATCCAATTAATCCAAAGTGGCTTGTTTCAAAAATAAAACTTAACTTGACTGATCAGTTCAAACAAAACTGGGCAGAAATATGCAGAGACTCTCCAAAATCCACCATATACAGAGTCTTTAACGAAGAAGTCGTGTTCGAAAACTACTTAAATATTCTCTCAAAAAAATATGCTGAAATAGTAACTTACCTGTAGAAGCCGGAATTAGGAGTAATATACCAAGACATGAACGTATTTGCCAATTGTGTAATGTAAGAGATATCGGAGATGAATTCCATTATATATTTGAATGTCCGGCATTAGATAATGAAAGGAAAATTTCTCTATCCTCTATGTTAATTAGACGTCATAGTGTATTATCGCTTAAGGTTATAATGTCATCTAAAAGAAAAGCATTCCTAAAAAAAATATGTACTTTTATCAATAAAAAAAATCCTGTCTGTTCCCCTGCATGAAAGTATTTATTATATGTAACTGCAGTACATCTCCGTTTCTATTATACTGTATCCCTCTATATAACCACGCATGCTAATTACTGTACATGAAATCTTTATAAATGCAAAGGTGTTGAGACAAATAAAAAAAAGTTTGAAGGCATCTAAACAATACGTGATTAATCCTCCATTGACTGTATATTAGCAGGGTCTCGACCGGCCAGGTCAGTGGTCAAGGCTCGTCAGACTGATTCTACCTAATCTTTTGTCACGGTGTTGTGATAACCCTGACAGTTGGGAAAACACTATACCATCTATTGGAATTAGGTTTATTCGTAAAGTGTTATTTCAAAGGTAGAGTCTATTTCATGATAAACATATATACCTGTATTTTCACCTGTGGTTTCAAGTACACATGATCACCAGGAATGATTTATTATACAAATTAAGAAATATTAATTTCGGAAATTATTAAATACTATGAAGCACCCTCCTTACCATCACTTCATCAGGTTACGATAACCAATGCTAGCATAAAAGCTTGGCGTGTACATCCTTTTGATTAGATTTTTTTTAATATATATAATATTTTATTTGTAAGGGTGTTGCCCTTGTTCAATAAAATACAAAAAGTTAAATCATAGTTCATATTTATGACAAAATAAATTAATATTAAATTGCCAAAATGCTCGCATAAACTAAATGTATACGTTAAGTTCAAACTCAAGTTTTTTATTACCGTAAGTCTTTCGACACATGATATCGGTTGCAAATTTACAAAGTACAGAGCCCCTCCCCGCCCCTAAACTTTGAAAAGTGACCATTTGAATGGCCTGACACAAACATCAACATATTCAAAAAATACACATTTTTACCATATATTTTTTTACCGACAGAAAATATAAATACTCTATAAAATATAACTTGGAAACCCAGAAACTAATTTACGCCTCACTCGATTAATTCCTGTGTCCCCTGTCTTTGACAATGTCGTACCATAATTTCATTACAAGGTAGCTAATAACAATATTAGATAGACAGGGCTATGGAAAAAGTTTTATTGGTGATATATATTAGTATTGGAAAGTATAGTTTGTGCGTACATTGTCTTGAAACAACGTTCAAACAGAGAGGTGTATGTCTCTGATCAAATATTATAGCCACATGCGCAAAATGGTGAAAATAAATTGCATTTATCTTCTGATAGATCAGAGACATAGAACCTGTCCCTCTGTCTTTCCCCTCTATCTGTCCCTCTGTCTGTCCATCTGTCTGTCCCTCTATCTGTCCCTCTGTCTTTCCCTCTATCTGTCCCTCTGCGTGTCCCTCTGTCTGTCCCTGTCTGTCCCTCTGTCTGTCCCTCTGTCTGTCCCTTTGTCTGTCCCTCTTTCTCTCCCTCTGTCTGTCCCCCTACCTGTCCCTATGTCTGTCCCTCTGTCTGTCCCTCTTTCTGTCCCTTTGTCTGTCCCTCTTTCTCTCCCCCTGTCTGTCCCTCTGCCTGTCCCTATGTCTGTCCCTCTGTCTTTCCCTCTATCTGTCCCTCTGTCTGTCCATCTGTCTGTCCCTCTATCTGTCCCTCTGTCTTTCCCCCTATCTGTCCCTCTGTCTGTCCCTCTGTCTGTCCCTCTGCCTGTCCCTCTGCCTGTTCCTCTGCCTGTCCATCTGTCTGTCCCTCTCCCTGTCCATCTGTCTGTCCCTCTTTCTGTCCCTTTGTCTGTCCCTCTTTCTCTCCCTCTGTCTGTCCCTATGTCTGTCCCTCTGTCTGTCCCTCTGTCTGTCCCTCTATCTGTCCCTCTGTCTGTCCCTCTGCCTGTACCTCTATCTGTCCCTCTGTCTGTCCCTCTGTCTGGTCCCTCTGTCTGTCCCTCTATCTGTATCTCTGTCTGTCCCTCTGTCTGTTCCTCTGCCTGTACCTCTATCTGTCCCTCTGTCTGTCCCTCTGTCTGTCCCTCTGCCTGTCCCACATATTGTTTTATCGACCTTATCATCATGGTTAATTGTGATTTCGACTAAGAAATATAATTGAAATTTGACTTGATCATAAAGGTTTACGGATCAAGATGAAATCATAGCAATCTAGCCTCGATTGGATATAATATTTGGCAGGAAAATAGGTATGTGCACCGCTTTGTGATAATCAGCCGTCCAAACTAGTTGAAGGAATTTTTATTAAATTTGGGATAGAGCAATTGTTTTTGTCGAGGGGATTAGATGTTAAATAAAATGAAAATTTAAATTAGTTGTCTTCAGAAAGACAAACATTGTGTATCGTCATTGTGAAGCAGTATTGTAAGCATTTACCCAAGTGTCCATTGATTCAGGTTAAAGGTCCAAGTCTTGTAGATCGAATTATTCTACATTTCTTTGCTGTAAAACATTTATTATGACAAAATTTACATCATAAACACAAGTTTTGGAGTTACATTGATAGGACAGGGATTATTTTTGTTCAGGTTAATCATGCAACCTCTTTTGGAGGGTTCCGTTTAAAGTAGATGCCTCTCCTATCTCTTGGACATCCTTGATCTACCATGATGATAGATACCATAAATGTTCCTTGTGTCAAAAAAACCCTGTTTTATAGATTTCACCAGTTTTTGTACAATATTTCCTTTACGATTCTGCACAAAAAAAAATTCAACAATTTTCACCCTTGGAATAAAGATATTCCAACATTAAAAGATGATAATTTAAGTGCAGTGATGAAAAAATAATTATGGTTGGTTTCTTTATTAATGTTGAATTACTAAAATTTGCTATAGAACATTTCATTTCTAACACTTATTCATGAGATATTACACATTAATTCCTAATTAATTACAATTTTTACATTTCATCAACAGATCCGAGCCATGTGATTCAGGATTTGAGATTGCTAAAGATGCAGAATACAACCCCAATATTACAGTGCCTGATTTACCAGAGGACTGCAGTCAGGAAGACTTTGAAACCAAGCCTATACCAGTACAACTTTACAGAAACACAAGTTACCCATTGTCTTATGTGGAAAGCGTACAAACACAGCCAGAAATTGTCAAGATTGATGCACAGCAAAGTTCACTAAAAAAGCCAGACATTGGCAATGTAAACACACCGCAAAGTTCACTAAAGCAGCCAGACATTGGCAATGTAAACACACAACAAAGTTCACTAAAACAGCCGGACATTGGCAATGTAAACACACAGCAAAATTTAGTAACACAGCCAGACATTGGCAACCTGGATACACAGCAAAGTTCAGTTACACAGCCATACATAGTTAACATGGATACACAGCAAAGTTCAGTTACACAGCCATACATAATTAATCTGAATACACAGCAGAGCTTACAAACACAGCCAGAAATTGCCAACATGAATACGCAGCAAAGTTTGATTACACAGCCAGATATAGCCAACATGAATACACAGCAGAGTCTATTTACCCAGCTGAACTTTGCCAATAGGCTAACACAACAATGTTTACTGACACAGCTGGATGTTGCCAGTTGGCTAACACAGGAAAGTTTACAAATAGACATCTCCACCAACACTCCAAAGCAATGTTCACCAACACAGGCAGAAGTTGGCACTGAAAGTACACAGCAAAAATTACTTGCACAACTTAAAAATGCCAACAAGCTAACAGAGACATGTTTATTAACACATCTGAACATTGCCAACAGATTTACGCAGCAAATGTTACCAGCACAGCTGGACAGTGTCAACAAGAGAATGGAACAAGGTTTACCATTGGTGTTACTATCCCCACCAAATAGCCAATCATGTGTAGTTCCTTCTAACCCAAACACCAATGCAGCACTAGAAGTAGATAAGTTGGCTTCAGCTTCAACAAAGGTATGTTCAACTTCAGATTCGAATAAGAGACATTTTCTTTCCAGCACTGACAAAAAGGTATGGTATACCCCTACACACAAACCAATACCAGTCAAAAACAGCATTCCCAAAACTTCATGTGCAACCAAAACATACCTGCTTGTGCCTTGTACGGAATCTAGCTCAATATCTACAAACAACAAATGTCAACCATTACATGTGCTACCTTTACAACAAAATGTTTCTTTAACTTCTGCAAGCAGTAAAATGCTGAACCTTGCCAATCCGATTACACAGCCAAATTTGCAAAAACTGCCAAACATAGCAGGCAAGTCTACACAACAACGTTTACCAACACCTCCAATCATTGCCAACAAGGCTACACAGCAAAGTTTGCGTACACATTTAATCGTTGCCAACAATAATACGCCGCAAAGTTTGCCAACAAGGCTACGCAGCAAAGTTTGCGAATACATTTAATCGTTGCCAACAATAATACGCCGCAAATATTGCCAACAAGGCTACACAGCAAAGTTTGCGAATACATTTAATCGTTGCAAACAATAATACGCCGCAAATATTGCCAACACAGCCAATCATTGCCAACAATGATATGTCGCAAAGTTTGCCAACACAATTTATCATTGCCAACAATAATACGCCGCAAAGATTACGAACTAAGCTAATCCTTGCCAACAAGCCATAACAGCAAAGTTTACCAACACATCCAATCATTGCCAGCCAGACTTCACAGAATGGTCTATCAACACATCCAAACATTGCTAACTAAACTACACAACAAAATTTGCCAACAAATATAAGCATTGCCAACAAAACTACACAGCAAAGTTTGCCAACACTTTCAGGCATTGCCAGTCAAACTTTGCAGCAAAGTTTACAAACACAGCCAAATATTGCCAACAGTTCACAGCAAATGTTACCGATACAGCTGAACAATGCCAGCAAAACCATACAGCAATCATTACCATTATTACTCTATGTTGCACCCGGTTGTAAACAGTTTTTGATGGCTCCTTCTAGACTGAATTCCAATTCGGCACCAGAAACAGATACTAAACAGGGACTAAAGTTTCAACAAAGGAATGCTTACCTTTGCATTCTTCTGGTAAAAGTGAAGATCTGACCTGTTTTAATGTTTCCTCCAAACACCTTACTAGTGATGGTAGAATGTTAGGCAGCAATCTTGTAACAGATAAAAAAAAATATGGATGACCTGCAAAAGCGATTCATCTACAACTGAGAAGAAAGGTCAGATGCCATCTGTGGATCTTCACCAAGGTGATTCTGTTTGTAAAAGTAGCATCCAGAGCAGTCGTACAGTGGTAAGTACGTCTAGGAATACAATGGTTTGTTCTGTAGATATTCAAAGTTCATATGAACATATGCAATACAAATCCAAGCATATTTCCTAGAATCTCAAAAACTAAGACACAGCCTATTTTTGAAGCCATTTAGCGTGAAATGCATGTGCATCTTAATTTCAAGGCTCTTACTTTCATAGCATTTTAAATGGCCCAAGCCATCGTTGAGCTGGACCCACCATTAGAGGTCATACAAATGTAGTAAATTAAAGTTGCCAGGATGATGGCTAAAAATACTCGAGTCATTTATTTATCCCTTTCACTACAACAAACTTGACCTTGTCAAGTTGCTTGATAATTCATGTTAAAACAAGCCTCCATTTGTTGCTAGCACTTAGGTAAGTATCTACCGTATACCAGTAATTGAGTTTTAAATCCAAAAGTAATAAACAATTCATTTAGGCTTGTGAGTTTTTCCTTCTTTTATTTCAGTTGGATGATATCAAGGAAGAAGGAAATATACAGTTAAATGAGAATCCTACTGAGAGTAAAAGGGAAGACATTGACATACATTTTACTGGTGTGAAGGATTGTGACAAGGAAGTTTATGATAAATGTGCCGTCGACAGTGATAAGAACAGCCCAGCAAGTGAACTCTCTTCACTTACAGATAATAATACCCAAAGTGAGGCTATGGAGGCCAGCCAAGCAAGTGAACTCCCTTCACTTACAGATAGTAATACCCAAAGTGAGTCTATGGAGGACAGTTCAGCGAGTGAAATCTTAACGCTTACGGATAACAATATCCAAAGTGAGGCTATGGAGGCCAGCCAAGCAAGTGAACTCCCTTCACTTACAGATAATAATACCCAAAGTGAGGCTATGGAGGACAGTTCAGCGAGTGAAATCTTAACGCTTACTGATAACAATATCCAAAGTGAGGCTATGCAGGACAGTTCAGCGACTGAACTCCCATCAGACAAACCTAACTTGTATAATGACTGTGTGAATATCAAGATGGTATGTGTGGTTCTGATCTTACGTGACTGCAGTGTGATGAATCTTATAAAATGATGTCAAAATAGTGCAACTGCAGGATTGTTTTCTTTGATAAATTAATTTCAGCTGTAGGCCTTAATTGTGGGCGTTTTCATGTTTTGGAAAGTATTTGCTAGTATAGTGAAAATAAGCATGCCAAGATACTGATAACTTATGAAATGTATGCTTGTGAATCATATTGCATACATATATTAACTCTTGTTTGTAAAACCTCCGGTTTGATCAAGATTTCTTTGCAACACATTATTTTAATTGGATCATCTTCTCTGCCAATCGAGCTAAACAGAAATTCTCCTTAACCAAGTCGGTTGGAAGCACTGCTAGTATTTCAGCATCTGAAGGGGATTAAGTCACACTCAAGGGAAGTCGCGAATGTTTTTATTAAAAAAAAACTACATTGAAAGTTTTCTGTGCACTTAAGTGAATTCTGTACCAAACTTAATATTTGATCAGTGTTTTGTGCAATCCAAAACTATCAATGAACTTTTCATATGCATTAACACTGTCTTGTATAAGTTTTACAAGACATCAACAGAATTCTTCATAGAATATAGTAAGTAATGTTGGTATGCTCAGTGTGGGATGCATGATGACAGGATATTTTAAGCATTTGTCCAATCCCGATCCAAATGTTGGGCGATCAAAGTTGTAATGTATTACTAAGGTGGTACATTGTTTTCGTCTATACTGGCAATTAGAACATGTCAGTCTCAAGGTTTAATCAACTTCACTATGAAGACTCAAGTCTACAAACATTATACAATACCATGTATATTGTTCCCAAAATAACAGGCTTCAATTTTAAGATATCCATGCAGGGCACAACTGCTCTGAACAATTTTGTTTTTAGTACAATTTATCAATGTTATTTCTATCAAGTATGCTGGGATATATCTGGTAGCATATATTCCATCTTTGCGTATTGCAGAGTTATCTTCTCTTGTGAGCAGGTATTGATTGTTACGTCATTGGTTAGTGTGAGAAAATTACGTCGTTTTCTCAAAAACTGACGACGTTACTCTCACAAACAAATGACGTAACAATCAATACCTGCTCACAAGAGCACATAACTCTGCAATACGAAAAGACGGAATATACTTTCAGTCAGATTTCAAACATGAAATACATCAGGTGTGGTTCTCTACAGTTTATCATGGTCATGATCATGATTGAAAATCCACGATCAGAGAGTAACAAGTCTGATATAAAAAAAAACCGAAATCATATCTTTTTTATAAGAGCAATTTATTTAGGAAAAACAATTGTAAAGGTATTCATTGGTTAGATTAAAGCATATTACCACTGTATAGACAGGTACATTCACGAATAAACATCTGGATGGAAAAGTTTTGTAAAAATTGTTTTGAAAGTCCATGGCAAATTAAAATTGTCATAGTTGCACATAATATGAAAAGGCAAAGCCTAAAAAGAGCATTGCACTTAAAATTTGTTGATATCTGATATTTACTTGTTCAGAATGAGATAATACTGGGTAAGAAAAGGAGTGCTAAACTTGGGTTGGTGGTCTGGAAAATCATTGTTGATTTCAACGTAAATGCAATATTGTTTCTCTTACGAGTGATGATGCATAAATAAATTATGTTAAGACTATAACAAGACTTTAGAAAATGTTAATTATTTCGTTCATATTCTCAACAACTAGAAATCAAAAGCTGATGAAATATTAGAAGAAGAAAGATGAAGATATCTCCCGATAGAAATATTAACAGAACTGGTTGATGACAAAGAGGGTCTTCAGAAAATATTCACATTTTTACTTTTTGTGCCTGTTACAAAAACAGAAATAATAAAAAGACCTAAGGCACAGAAAAAGAGATAAATGCAACGGACATCTGTTACAAGATTTTCCGGCTGTTTTTCATCCTTCCGGAAATAACCGATGTGTCAACAGTAAAGTTATTACAATAATGTGTTCTTATAATATATAGTTATGCATCATTTAATGTTTAGAGATTGTTAATTTTTAAGTTCAAATAGCATCAGAAGATGTATTTCAAACTCAATTTTTTTTTTTTTTATGTTCACCTTGTTAGAAAATGGCATGCGAGAGTACTACTATACATTTTGTTTCAGACTGTAGAAGTAATTCAAACTATAAAAATATTTGGATTCATACAAATTTCAAAGATCATTATAAAATGTTAAATGCTGACAAAAATGTTCATTTGTAGTGCAAAATAAAGCCGTGATCCGTTCTTGGTACTGACATTTGCAAAAAACGTAAATGATTATTGGTGAAGTCAGAGCGTTCCAACGTTAGCCCTGGGTGAGTATTTTGTTGCTAAGAACACCCATGGATAATCCTTCTTTTGATACAACCATAAACTTATATAATTTATCCACAGAATTTTCAATGAATGAAGAAAACAATAGATTGGTGATCCATTTAGGGTATTGTCACCTTAGGTACTGTCTATATGTTAAAGCGAAAACTTCCATAAATTGAAATGAAAAATTGTTTTAGCCTTCTCTTAAACCAACAAGTTGATTTGCAAAGTTGACCAGGTCATGTCCGTTGGAGGTTTTGCTGATCCAGTCCTCTGGTATAGCCTTAAATCCATTGACGGCCCCCAGAGTAGCCCCCACAAAGCCACACCTGCTGCAGTTACAGCCACCGGGGACTATTGTCATGACGACAGTGTCACGGAACTCTCCATTAGAGTTAAGTAGGCAGTGAACCGAGTTGGTAAAGTTACCAGGGACCTCTGTAATAGATAAACACAATATGTATACATCGTTTATGTTTGCCTTTTAAAATTCAACAAAACAAAATTTGAAATCAAATGAAATATACATAAATGAAGATAGACTTGGCGTAACCCAATGCGTTATAAATAAAACAAGATGTACCTTTCACTTGGTCTCAAAGTCACCTTGCTAGCTTGAACCAAAGGGATTTTCCTTTTTAGAGGGTAATGGTTAGTGTAGGACTAGAAAGGCTGGGGAAGCTGGTTTGATCCCAACAGAGACAGACATTCATTGTGTTCTCCAAACTGTATGTGTCCAACCCTTGTAACAAACTGTATGTGTCCAACCCTTGTAACAAACTGTATGTGTCCAACCCTTGTAACAAACTATATGTGTCCAACCCTTGTAACAAACTGTATGTGTCCAACCCTTGTAACAAACTGTATGTGTCCAACTTTTGTAACAAACTGTATGTGTCCAACCCTGGTAACAAACTGTATGTGTCCAACCCTTGTAACAAACTGTATGCGTGGCTAGCACATGTACAGGGACCTGACAGTTTTAAGGGGTTTAAGGTAACTTTCAGTAACCACCACCAATGACTGTATATATATATGAGGAGGGTTGCAAAGAACATATTATTACATAGATTCAAGAAATTACAAGCCAATAGGAGTGTAGGGTGAATGGTGTCAACCTCATGAGTATGTGAAAAGCAGCAGTATGACTGCAAAAAGTTTGGAAGATCAAAATAGTGTGTTTTCAGAGGAAACAGGGATCATGTCCATGGCAAGAGAATACATCAGGACAGGTCAACTACTACTTACTGCAACTGGATCCAACTTGATGTACAAAGTCTGTATGAGGTGTTGTTTTGCCATCGATAGCTTTCTGTATGTAAGCTTTTACGTCTGTATTGCTGGACTCGAGTGTCTCACGGACAGCCACCTCTATGGATTTCCCAAGGACACACTTTTCCAGTATACTGGCAGCTACATGTGAAGAAGACAATAACACTACATATATGAAAATGATCACATGCAACAAACAACCGTGTATACATTACTATCAGACAGGTTATAGGTTGATGTAAGTAAGTGCTAATATCAGTATATTCGTGTACAAGCTTATGGTTGAATATCATCATTCTGGGCCTCTAGGTTATTGAAAAACTTATTTTTTTTATTTTTTTTTTACAGTTAGTCATCTATTTTAACAAACATGATAGCCCTTTATCCAAGCAAGCTACTGGCCAATCAAATATCCTTCTTGGATTATGTGTTATTCAGGAGAAGGCACTAGATTAGAATGTTATAATTTATCTGATTCCTGTGACCTTTAATATGGGTCAAGGTAATTTATTTGAACCAATGAGATAGCCTTTTATCAAAGCATGCTACTGGCCATATATCACATCATGATCAGGGGTTGTGGTTATTCATAAGTAGCTTATGGTCCCATGTAAATTGAATATAGGTCAAGGTCTTTTAATTGAACAAACTTGATAGCCTTCCATTCCAGCCAATGGCCAAATATCATAGCCAAAAACCTCGGGAGTATTCAAAAGAAGTTGTGTTATGTATTAACAAATGTTTGCCCTGTGACCTTGAAAGTATGACAAAGTCAAATACAATAGACCTTCATTAAAGCATGCTACTTGCAAAATATCATCATCACTTGCTTATTACTTATTCAGAGAAAATTGTGTTAAGATTTAACCATAGATACCTGTGACCTTAGATAAGGATCAATTAAGGCCCTTCATGCTGCTGGTAAAATATTATCACCCTAGACACAGAATTCAGAAGAATATGTTCAAGGTTTTAATTTATTTGACCCCTATGACCTTTTATATTGCCCATGTTTCTTTTTTTTTAACAAGAATGTATAAAATTATTGATCAGTCAATTGTTATAGTTGATACTATTGATCAGGAGCATTTACAACTGACAATGAGATGTGAATAGGTTTGAAGGGGACTAGTGTCTTGTTTCCACATGTCTACATCAGAACCTTGTACAGTGACTGTTATATTGCCCATGTTTCTTTTTTTTTAACAAGAATGTATAAAATTATTGATCAGTCGATTGTTATAGTTGATACTATTGATCAGGAGCATTTACAACTGACAATGAGATGTGAATAGGTTGAAAGGGGACTAAAATATGAACATCTTTAGCTGTACAATTTATAAAAACAGAAATGCAGGTAAAAGGGTATAATTCTGTTCAGTTACTTTATAAGTATAACAAAATTCCTACAATCACCTGTCACCTCATTCTTTCTGGTATTTATAGAAGTAAGTATGATATAAATTGTTAAAAACATTCTTTAAAATTATTGTTTTTTATAGGACATGTATACCAGCCAATCCACATTCAACAGCAATAGCATCCTCCTGAGTGACCCGGATTGCTTTTTCCACTTCCTGGACAAGCTTGGCAGTGTTTCCTGCATACAGTGCTACCAATGGTGCCACCTTGGAAAATCCATCTGCCTGATAAATTGATAAGAATATTTCTGGGATACCATATTTTGTGAACATGAAGCTGCTTCATATATTGAGGAGCTGTTCAGTAACTGCATTTAGTGTCTTGTTTCCACATGTCTACATCAGAACCTTGTACAGTGACTGTTATATTGCCCATGTTTCTTTCTTTTTAACAAGAATGTATAAAATTATTGATCAGTCGATTGTTATAGTTGATACTATTGATCAGGAGCATTTACAACTGACAATGAGATGTGAATAGGTTTGAAGGGGACTAGTGTCTTGTTTCCACATGTCTACATCAGAACCTTGTACCATAAAGGTAACCAATAGAGATCAAATGCAATCCTGGCTAAATCATGACATTACCTCTGTGACCCTGAAAAGAGATCAAATGCAATCCTGGTTAATCATGACATTTCCTCTGTGACCCTGAATAGAGATCAAATGCAATCCTGGCTAAATCATGACATTACCTCTGTGACCATGATATAGAGATCAAATGCAATCCTGGCTAAATCATGACATTACCTCTGTGACCATGATATAGAGATCAAATGCAATCCTGGCTAAATCATGGCATTCCCTCTGTGACCCTGAATAGAGATCAAATGCAAGCCTGGCTAAATCATGACATTACCTCTGTGACCCTTAATAGAGATCAAATGCAATCCTGGCTAAATCATGACATTACGTCTGTGACCCTGAATAGAGGTCAAATGAAATCCTGGCTAAATCATGACATTCCCTCTGTGACCATGATATAGAGATCAAATGCAATCCTGGCTAAATCATGATATTACCTCTGTGACCATGATATAGAGATCAAATGCAATCCTGGCTAAATCATTACATTACCTCTGTGACCCTGAATAGAGATCAAATGAAATCCTGGCTAAATCATGACATTACCTCTGGGACCCTGAATAGAGATCAAATGCAATCCTGGCTAAATCATGACATTACGTCTGTGACCCTGAATAGAGATCAAATGAAATCCTGGCTAAATCATGACATTACCTCTGTGACCCTGAATAGAGATCAAATGCAACCCTGGCTAAATCATGACATTACCTCTGTGCCCCTGAATAGAGATCAAATGCAATCCTGGCTAAATCATAACATTACCTCTGTGACCCTGAATAGAGATGAAATGCAATCCTGGCTAAATCATGACATTCCCTCTGTGACCCTGAATAGAGGTCAAATGAAATACTGGCTAATTTAAATCATGACATTACCTCTGTGACCCTGAATAGAGGTCAAATGAAATACTGGCTAAATCATGACATTTCGTCTGTGACCCTGAATAGAGATCAAATGCAATCCTGGCTAAATCATGACATTTCCTCTGTGACCCTGAATAGAGATCAAATGCAAGCCAGGCTAAATCATGACATTACCTCTGTGACCCTGAATAGAGGTCAAATGAAAACCTGGCTAAATCATGACATTACGTCTGTGACCCTGAATAGAGATCAAATGCAATCCTGGCTAAATCATGACATTACGTCTATGACCCTGAATAGAGGTCAAATGAAATACTGGCTAAATCATGACATTATGTCTGACCCTGAATTGAGATCAAATGCAATACTGGCTAAATCATGACTTTCGTTACGTCTGTGACCCTGAATAAATGTACAATATGCAATCTATAGTTCTTAGAGATCATTATAGTAATGTTTTTAAAATGTTTAAAAAGATTTCAGAGTTGTGATCTTGACCACAGCCAAGCTCATTCATTTGAAAAAGAAAAAAAAGTAGGCCTTTGTCCTAGCATTCGCTTCAAGCCAAATATCATTGATCCACACGTTAATTATACCCCCTGCAAGAACGTTAGGGGGTGGGGTATATTGGAATCACCCTGTTTGTCCAGAATATTTTGTCATGCAAATCTTAAAAACTACAGAAGCAATTTCTCTCAAACTAAGCATATTATATAATTACTTCCCAAAGATATGATATTATGACTCGAGGCCTTATGACTATACTCTTAAAAAGTTAATAAAATTAAAGCTTTTAACACATCTGACACCTGTGATTTGGAAAGGAGATCAAGGTAATTCATTGCAGCCAACAATATTATCCTAGACCTCTTGAGAATTTAGAAAAACTTGTTTAAAAACACTTTATGTGGTCATTTATTTGAACAATTTTGATATCTTCTTATATCTGCTAACTTCTGGTCAAATATGGTCTTAAGTCTAATGTTTCCTAAGAAGATATTGAAGATATGAATTGTTACATTTCAGATGACAGAAAGATTTTAATTTAAGGGAGGTAAACAAACAATAATAACCAATTAATTAGCAATATTTTAAATAATAACCGTGTTCATTGATTAAATTCACCATTTACTACTGAAATAACTGATAACAATTGATGAAGACGATTTTAAAAGGAACAGAAAGCATCAAATCATTCAGAATGCTATCATACCCTGGGCCTCTTTGTCAGTCGGAGCTGATTCAGATGTTTAAGAAAAGAAAAGATGTTTATGAATCTACCTGTGCGTCAGTGGCTTTTCCAGTCTTGGTCAATCCTTCGTCATAATTCTTTATAAATTCTGTCAGTGATGCTGGTCTCCAGGGCCCTGGGATTGGCAAATCGTCTTTGGTTCTAGGATGACCCAGGTCAATTTCATAAGCAGATTTGGGGCCAAACCTTTCATAGAGGGATTTCTTGTAATGGTCTGTGTTTAATCCTAAAAAGTTGAAAATTTGTTGTCAAACTGGATCATCCCTGCAGTTAAACTGGAAGGATATTTATCTTTATTACATACTTACTAATAAATACGGGTTTTTTGTATATGCGATACGACACAATTGCTCTAACCCATATCAGCCCTCGCCGTATCACACCCCAAAACCTGTAACAGCCCGCAAAACCCATATCACACCCCTTTTGAAAAAAAAATCGTTTTTCAATATTTCAAAAATAAAAATAAATAATAAGATAGTAGTTTTTATTAGTAAGTATGTAATAAACAGAATAAAACACGACTTTTTCCATATCACAGCCAGTATCAACCCGAGGCTGCAATATCAGCCCAAGGGCCTAAGGCCCGAGGGCTGATATTGGTCGAGGGTTGATACTTGGTGCGATATGGAAAAAGGCATGTTTTATTCTGTTTATTATTCTCTATTTATCGTACATTATAATGATTTCTATACCATTTATTATAAAACAACATGTTAGACATTTCTTGTAACGTTTTATAGGTTCTGTCTCTCCTGAAATGGTATTGTATTGAAATGCTTACCATGGAAAGCTAAACAAAAAAAAGATAACCCTATCATTTATGTTTGTAGCAGCTTCAAACATTGGTTCCATGTAATGTTGTGTGTGTACAGTGTATATAGTATATACCTGTATGTAATACACTTATCAATGCCATAATGACCTACAAGTACCAAACTTACCTTTGTTTTCTACCATAGACTTCAGCAAAACAAATGTCTGATCCCCATAGCTGCTGTATCTACCAGTTGGGAGAGAGTAAAAAGGACAGCGACTTTCAGGCAGGAACTCTGGCTTCTGCTGACAATCTTCTACAACCTTTTTCATTTTCCCTACATCGTAGATCCAGTGTACTGGCATAGCTACAACAGATGTTAATCATGTACATACATCCACGGTGGTTATAAGATTTAAAAGAACAACTAGCATGGATCTATATCTTTTCTTTCATATAAACAATTTCTTTTTGTCTATGTTATACATATAAGATACATATAGAGTTGAAATGCATTGATGCAAATATATAAAATTTGAAAATAGGTGATTTCCTGGTTTCATAGTTTTCCTCTTATTTGTTTTTCGTCAGAAATGAAAAGCACATTATGGAAACAAATTTAGTAAAAATAAAAAATAAACAGAGAAATTTGCTCCTCCACAGACTAATTAAGGCAGCAATATATTTCTATTCATTGCCACGAGATATACTGGATTGTAATTCAAAATGTATTGACAGCCCCTATATGTATTGAGCCCTGACCTTGACTGTGTAACAGAAGCAAACTCTTTGCAGAAAAATAGCCCTTAATTGTAGCACATAGTTGCTGCAAGGTTGCTGTTCAAGCAGAAATGAAAGGCAAATGAAGCTTTTTCAAACACAACCAGCATTAAGTTGCAGCAACTCACGCTGCACACATTGCTGCTGGTATACACTGTAAATATGCTACATACTGCTTATAATAACATGAGAAATATTCTGGATATCATATAACATCAATTTTATACAACTTCAAAGTTTGAAAATTATAGGCTATAGGATTAAGGTAAAAATAAATCCCAACTCAAAATAAACCTTCATGAAAATACATTTACATTTCTTTAATTGATTAACATTTGCATATTGATATGGTACATGTATTTGTTCATTCACCTATCTATTTAAAAAAAGAAACATGTTTGAATCCGGTGAGGAGGATCATAGATCCTGTATCGGAAAATAAACTAAACTAAACAATGCAATATTCCTTTCATTGAAAGTCATACAAGGGACATTTGAACCACAGGGTCTCGTTACAAATGTCTGAAATACACATGTATATGCTATACTGATATGGGTCACAACACACATGTATGACAGTCATACATGTGTGTTGTGACCCATATCAGTATAGCATATGTGTATTTCAGACATTTGTAACGAGACCCTGTGTTTGAACAGAAAGTGTGTTTCATATTGGAGTTACACAATGTTATTCATCAATATTTTCTATATACCTGCTGCATCTGCCACTAAAGATCCAACAACTGCCCCTACACATCTCTGTGCAATGTCTACCATCTCGGTGCTATTAAAACATAAAGGACAATTCAAAAATAAGTAATGGACGTTTTCTACCGTTACATTTGTTGACCTACGGGTGAAAAGATGTAACACTACCACACGTGACAGACAAACAAATATTAGATAATACAAATTAAATAATAATAGACAACTAATATTTGTCAACAGGATCATGAAAATAATTATGTTTTGGTTACCAACGTTGACGAAGTAGCGTTTTCATGAATTATAAGTTTTACAGCGTGTTTCTGACAAAGTGAAAGTAGAAAGTCGATTAACCGGAAGTTGTTATCCAGTTCTGTAATATTTATCAATATTTCATTATTTCGTTCGATAAACCGTCAAGATTTATTTATTTAAAAGGAATATAAAAATAAATTATTAGAAGTAACAATGTGGGGGTATAATTTAAAACGAAAATTGAACTTTTCTCGAGGACACATATGCCGGAAGTTGAACGTACGTTAAGTATGGCGAAGAAAGTCGTGGTACACCACGAAGCTTTATCGGTAAAATGTTACTTTATTTGTGTGATGTTAGTTCCTATACATATCGCAAACTTGTCATGTTGTTAAACTTCGAGGAAAAATGAGATGATTTAGTCAAAATAGTCTTTTTGTGTCCTCAAATTTAAACAGCATATGCGTTCATTAGCATATCTATCATGTGCTAGTCTCATTATTATGTATTTTAGGACGCCGGTCCTAAAATACATAAAACACATGATGATGATAAGGGTTTTGTTGACATTGATTTGTAGATGAATTAAAGTTTACTGAATGATGCGTAGGTTGTAGAAAGTCAAACGTTTCGTAATTTCCATGCAAACCAAATACAATGTTACCAAAACATCTTATAGTTTTAAAAAAAATATCAAAACAAGAGTAACTTTATATCATAATTCATATCTATATAAACAATAGAAGTTAATTCATTTATACCGTATATAGTATGCCAAAAATATTATGCCAGTGTTTTCCTATTTTAATTTGTTGCTATTTATACAGAGAGTTGATTTTTTTTATTTTAAAACATGAACAGAAATATTATTCAAAGTGCCAAAAAACAATAAAACCACCTTATTCAATATCAAGCATACAGATTTAAGACTGAAAAGTATTTGAAACTAACACCTCTGATTCTAAACAAGAAAAATGAAAGAATGTTAGCACACTGACTCGTTTGGGCCCCACCCTACAGCCCTTGGGGGTAGGGGCTGGCTCAAAATTTTCAAAGTATCAAACTGTCAACTCAGGGTTATAATTCCAATCAAGTTATCAACATGTAATATTTAAAGTATCATTTGCCATTATAAACCATAATAAATTTTGCCCCTTCCCCCCTTCCCCAAGGGGAAACGTGAGATCCCTAGGGTCATAAAATTCACAATTTTGGTAGAACACCTTAAGACCCTTCCATCTATGAGGAGTATTTGATTATACCATATCTGGATCTTGAGGAGAAGATTTTTGAAATTTTAGTCAATTTGACCCTTTTTGGCCCTGCCCCTGGGTGCTGGGTACCATATAATTCACAATTTCGGTTGACCTTTGGCCATGGAAGGATTCTGCAAAACTTGAGACTTTGTCTCAGGTGACCTAAAAATAAAAATATTAAAAGGAGATAAAGGTATTTCAGATGTATTTAAACATATAAAATCTGCAGTTATATGCAGCTTAACCCTTACCCTGAACATTGCAGTTTATCTTATCCTTTAATAAGTGATCTATCATTGTATCTACTGTAGTAACGTTATCCTTAATCGTCACTTGAAACCCTTGAAAATGAAAGGAAAAAATAATTACAATCTTGGTATAAACATAACTGGTATCTAACTTTTCTTGAAAGCATGATATACCTTCTTAATGTCACTCCTTATCTTTAACTCATTCACCCCTGAAGTTTCATAATGAACTATTCCAACCTTTGAATTGGAAGAGTTCAAATGCGTCTTCAGGGGTGAATGAGTTTAGCCCTTGTCATTTATGTTATTTAAAGCTAATCACTTTCTCACTTTCACATACAAAATGTATATATATCTGATTAATGGAACAGAAAAATCGAAGATTTTCTGTCCATAAGTTATTATCCTCTGTATCAAATTTAAGGCAATGGAGATTACAATGAAATTAATCTGTATTTACTTTTAAGGTCTTATCAAATATATGTAGCTCAAAACAGAAGACTCAAGGATGCTTGCTCGGATACAGAAATAGTAGCAACTATGAAGTTGTTGCATGTGCAAAATGTCAGGATGGCTGGAACACAAACGACATTAAGCAGTATTTACCAGGAGGTTTGTACCATTAATTACTGTATACCTGGACATTTTCACCCAGTCACCACATATTGCCGTTTGCCGTTTAATCCATAAATGCCCAGTGTTTTGCCATTTGCATGTAATTTCTATAGGGTATGATGTGTACTTACGTTATATTCGCTGTCATGATAAATTTGCAGTCACTATGGAGGGCAAAAATGACAAAAGTTTAACTACTTCCTGAGTTACGGTATTAACATCTCAAGATAAAATTATATTCAGTGCACTAAACATTCAAGGGATGATATATATATACGTTCAACATATCGGGGGAATTTAAAGCAGATGCAGTATAACGGTAGTGAATCCCTTATAGTTCCTCGCTATGTGTTTGAGTGCTGGAGTATGTATACCAGTAGGCGTTTTGAATCTTGTGTCAGTATTTTAAATGGCTCATTTATAGTGTCAATAATTTACCGCTTGAATACTATATTGTATACCGGTAGGTGTTCTGTAACTTGTGTCAGTATTTCAAATGGCTAGTTTATAGTGCCATACCGCTTAAATACTAAAGCACAGAAGAGTCTTTATTCATAAAGGTGCCAATAAGAGTCAAATATTATAAAATTCATAATTTAAAATTCACAATAACCCATTATTATTGCAAATGTTGTTACAGCAACCAAGAAATCTATTTGAAGAGATAAAAAAGACAATTTTATTGAAGATTCTTGTACTGCATAGTTTTAAAATAAAATAAATTTAATTCATAATTCAAAAAATTCTTGAAATGGTGACTTAATTTTGTCTCGATTCGTCCCAACACATTTCTGTTTTGTTGCATTTAAAGAATAATGATTTGGTTTTTGGCTTGTTTTTTGTGTTCTGATCATAGTATTCTATCGTTTGTGAGTACTCAAAGCAATTTATTTAATGTAGGATTCAGTTAATTTGAAGAAAATTGGAAATTAGTCTGTCTGCGTTCGTCCCAACACATTTACTGGTCATCTGCATTCAGCCACCATAAAATATGATTTTCCACATCAAAATTGTCTTTTCTTATTCCCACCCGAAAGTACAATATTTTGGCCATTGTATCCTGATTTATCTTAAATTTAAAAATCATGGTCTGTGTCCCACATGTACTTAGAGAATGAGGACTCAGAAACCAAATTATACTTCACTCTAAGCATCTGGATTTGGGCAACAAAGGAGAAAATGTCTTGCTCAAGGAAATATGGCACATCTAGCTGCCTTGGGTAATCACAAACCTTCAAACTTCCAGTCAGTTAGCTGACACACTACCAGCTGTGATATTTGTTCCCCTACACTCAGAAAAGTCACTTTAACATTTAACTTAACAGCTTTTCATGTTTTGAACACATATTATTGCTTCAATGAAGCAAAAGCATTCAGCACAAATTATTATAATGTTCTGTTAAATAAAATGTGTATGTATACTGGACACATAAACACAGCTGTAACCATGATTCTTACACATTGCTATTTGGATAGCACCGGATAGTTTTCAACCCACAGACCTAAGATATAGGAACAAGAGATAGGTAGATACCCAGGCTAGGTGTGCTACAGACATTGTATTTCCATGTTAGCTATTTGTTTGTGTTGTTATTTTCAGGTATATATATTATTGGTGTGTTTTACTCAAATGCTGTTGCTACGGACACTAGCAGTATTGTCAGAGATTTGGGCAGTTTTGGATTGGAAAAGGTAAGTTTGATATTTATTTTATTTTCTGGATGGTTTGTAATTATATATAACTGTCATATCCTATTGAGGTAAAGTTTCCAGTAATTCCAGTACTGGAACACAAATTTCATCATGTCCTATAATATGAATTAGATTCAGTACCTGACTGTTTTTAGTCTGCGGCATCCGGCCATCAACTTTTTCTTTTGAACGACTTCCTCAGAAGAACTGTAGGACCTAGGGTCATGATGGTCAAAGTTCAAAGGTCAACTTTAAATGGTAGTCGGGGGTCAAATGTCAATTTTGGTTAAAAGCTTGAACAATCTTCTTCTCAAGTTGCATAAGGCCCAGGGTCATGATATTTGGCCAGTAGGTACCTGGGATGTAGTGCTATAAATTTTCCTCATTAAAATTACCTTGACCTACTTTCATAGTCACAGGGGTCAAATATGTTAAAAATTTCAAACAACAATATCCTAAGAACTATTTGAACTAGAGTCATGATACTTAAGTATGTTATGTAGACCAGCAGTGCAAATATATTTCTGAATTACAGTTATGAGGTCAAAGGTCAACTTTAAATGCTAGTCGGGGGTCAAATGTCAACTTTGGTTAAAAGCTTTAACAATCTTCTTCTTAAGTTCAATAAGGCCCAGGTTCAATATATTTGGCCAGTAAGTACCTGGGATGTAGTGCAATAAAGTTTCCTCATTAAAAAGACCTAGACCTGCTTTGAAGGTCACTGGGGGCAAGTATGTTAAAAACCTCAAACAACAATATCCTAAGAACCATTTGGACTAGAGTCATGATACTTGGGTATGTTATGTAGACCAGCCAGTTCAAATATTTTTCTCAATTACAGTAATGAGGTCAAAGGTCAACTTTAAGTGCAAGTCGGAAGTCAAAGGTCAAGATTGGTTAAAAGCTTTAAAGTTAAAATTTCAAGTTTCAAACAACAATATCTTCAGAACCGTTTAAGACATGTTAAAATGTCTTGTGTTCTAGTTACCAAATTTGGTCTCAAGTTACCTATATGTCAGTTGCATGTAACAAAAGAAACAGGTGAGCGATACAGGCCCTATGAAAATAGGGTGAAACGGCGTTTTGACAATATGTTTTTTATAAACTCCAGTTTCAAGGTTAACACCATAACGTCTTCATCATCATGAATGTACGTAATTGTTCATGACAATTTGCTGTTTTTGGCATCCCTTTTTAAAATTTTATAACTGTAGACTAATAGCTATACAGGGTGTTTTTTAAGGATTTTTAGTCATGTTTTTTAGAATTAATAGATTTAGATTATGTATGAACTAAGTAAAGCTTACTGTAAAAGTAAATTTGTATGTATCATGATGTCCTGTTAATTGACAAGCTTATCATGCGTTGTCTTTCCAGATTCTGGTGGAGGGAGAGGATTTGGTGGTATGTCCCATTGGAATTGAGTGTGACACTGTTGCTGAGGAGAACTTTTATTTGTGGACAGACGGACAGACACTGACCATACCAACGGTCAGCATATCACGTGACTGCAGTCTAGACAGTCTCCTTACTATTAGGATCAAATGTCCCATTCCTTTGAGTTTTGAACTTGTTACAAAAGCTGGTAGGTATTTTGTCAGACAGCCATACATGTAGATTATTATATTTCCCATTTGAATCAAAGTGAGACATGTGTAATAGTCCTTATTCTTTTGGCTCTGACTCTCCTGTTTTTCAGTGACATCTAGCCCAGGCTTGTAAATGTTTAACTGGTAGGGATATCTTGATGGAACTAATAAAAATGTCTGCATCACCAGCAGATGATGACAAAAATGACCTGCCATATTGCTTAATAATAGGAGATATATATATAAGAATTATTAATTATGTTACAAAACCATCTGTGTCATGGTTTTTACTAAATTTTGAAGTAGGAGACTGAAATCAATTTGTAAAAGGCACCATACTGGTACAGCCGGCATCCTATATATGTAGTTATATGTGAGGCTGGTACACTGTAGCAGGATGTGACTGCCACTTTTTTTATCAGAAGGTTGTATGGGAAACATGAAACATGCTCAAGTCTAGAGATTCTCAGATTACCAGTATACATTTGGATGATATTTAAAAAGGACACTTTTTTATTCATTTAGAATACAGCCTGAAGTTTGACTTTGTACAATTTTAGTAGATGATGTTATGATTACAATTATACTGAAATATCAGCTGCTCACTGGACACAAAGTGACTGTTGGCTTTCTCCATGATGCAGCATTCATCATCTAGTAATCTTCAACATTTTAAACAACTTCTTAAAATGCAAAAGACTGTGGCCTTGACATTTTTTCCTTTAGGTTTTAGGGTGGCAGCTAGGCTATCAAATGTATTTCAATAATATATCTTCACACTAATTCCAGTGTGCATGGGTCAAATTGTTTTGAAATCTTCTGACTACTTCTCAAGAACCATAGTTCCTAGAGTCATGGCATTTTCCATATATCTCACTGTGGTGAAGGGCTATGTATTGTGTTCTACCAAATGACCTGGTTTTACATTCAGGGTTTGATAACCTTATATTGAAAACCACATGGGTGATCAGTTGTGTCGAAATATTTCAAATTCTTTTAATGCTACATGAGGCCTGAATCAATGACATTTTACATGTAGCTTGCTGAGGTGAGCGCTATCAATTGTGTTCAATATCACTTACCTATACATTCATGGTCACTATCAAATGTCTTAAATGACTTCGCATGAACCATGAGGGATAGTGACTCCTATTTAAGGTCGAAAATCAAATGGGTTGAAAATTGCTGTTCTTCTGAAGAACCACAATGCTTGGTGTACAGATTCTTGACCTGTAGCTTGCTGGAATGCAGGGCAGTTTAATATAATGTCTAATAAATGGTGAAATTTTGTATGACTGTCAGATAATCTGTTAAATTTGCTGAGATTAGCCTTAATTATATTTTGTCAACACCATTAAATAACAGTGAATTTAGTTATTAAACAATAAATTTACTCACACTTCTATAACTTTTAATAAAAAAAACAAATGCCTTATCCTCCCCAATAGGCCAATCATACAATAATACACAATAATGACATTAAACCCTACACACATACAATGTACCTTATTTTCATTATAGGCAAAGACCTGGATGACACTTTACGGCAAATAATGCCATAAAGTGGTCCAGTGTTGTAAACCTAAATGTATCGTGTGACTACAGTGATACAGGCTCCATTGTCTCTCGTTATTTCAGATATATGGAAGGCAAATCTTCAGAAGGAAATACATGAATTGTGCAATGCATCACAGTCCAGGAGTGTGCTATATCATCTTAAAGACAGTGACATCCTGGTGGGATCAGACCAGCTATGTGGTCTGTCCCGAGATTCTTCCTGTTCTGATCTCCACTCCCATATCAAAACTGGGGATGGGTTCGGTGAAGGTGGCAGAAAGTCAAAAAAGGAACAACTGGTAATGGATCGCATCTCATTCTCTGATTGTTGTCATGGCCTGTCATATCTATAGACAATGCATTATAAATTGATATACAACAAACATTCTATCATTAAGCTAAAACGAAAAACATAAGGTCTATATTCATTGTGTATATGTATATGAGAAATTGAGTATAATCTATTTCAGTTTAATCTGATGTGATTGATCATTACCATAATAAGCATACTGGGCATGTGTTGTCAATACATTGCATCATAACAAACAAGGTTTATTTGGTTAAGGCTAAGGATAGATAAAAAAAGTGGTGCAACTTCATCTTTATAATTGAAGCACAACTAGACATTATATTTTAAGACAGTTATAACCATGTATTCTATTATTGTTTCAATTTGCAAAATATTTTGTTTCAAAATCCCTGATGAACATCATATTTTACCTTCAGTAAAGCTGCCTGATTTTCAAAAGAACTTTTACACCAAGAAGTCTCTGTAATTATGGACTTAATTTGAATAGTATATAAATACAGGAGCTACAGTTTATTCAGTCAGTTGCTTTTTGACATTTCTGGTGAAGGAAGAAGCGTTATACTGCAGGGTAAGAACAGTAATAATACTTGTTTACCAGGATATTTATTTATTTCCAGTCTACACTACAGTTCTCCATGTATCACCAGATAAACAAAAAGTCTTCATTTCATGCTGTTCCATCGTGTTGTCCCGTCATAAAACATTCACTAGGTAAGACTTGACTCCATCTCAAACTTTATACAAAGTGATTAAACCAAATCCAAGATTACTTCACTCTGGGAATGAGTTTTTGAGGGTAGATAGGGATCTGCCTGTATATATATATATATGTACAGTTCACAACACTACAACACTCTGGGAATGAGTTGTTGAGGGTATATAAGGATCTGCCTGTATATATATATATATGTACAGTGCACAACACTACAACAGTCTGGGAATGAGTTGTTGAGGGTAGATAGGGATTTGTCTGTATATATATATGTACAGTGCACAACACTACAATAGTCTGGGAATGAGTTGTTGAGGGTAGATAGGGATTTGTCTGTATATATATATGTACTGTGCACACCACTACAACAGTCTGGGAATGAGTTGTTGAGGGTAGATAGGGATTTGTCTGTATATATATATGTACAGTGTACAACACTACACCAGTCTGGGAATGAGTTGTTGAGGGTAGATAGGGATTTGTATGTATATATATATGTACTGTGCACACCACTACAACAGTCTGGTAATGAGTTGTTGAGGGTATATAGGGATCTGCCTGTATATATATATGTACAGTTCACAACACTACAACAGTCTGGAAGTGGGTTGTTGAGGGTATATAGGGATTTGTCTGTATATATATATGTACAGTGTACAACACTACAACAGTCTGGGAATGAGTTGTTAAAGGTATATAGGGATCTGCCTGTATATATATATATATATGTACAGTGCACAACGCTACAACACTATGGAATGAGTTGTTGAGGGTCTATAGGGATCTGCCTGTATATATATATGTACAGTGCATAACACTACAACAGTCTGGAAATGAGTTGTTGAGGGCAGATAGGGATTTGCCTGTATATATATATGTACAGTGTACAACACTACACCAGTCTGGGAATGAGTTGTTGAGGGTAGATAGGGATTTGTCTGTATATATATATATGTACAGTGCACAACACTACAACACTATGGAATGAGTTGTTGAGGGTATATAGGGATCTGCCTGTATATATATATGTACAGTGCACAACACTACAACAGTATGGGAATGAGTTGTTGAGGGTATATAAGGATCTGCCTGTATATATATATATATGTACAGTGCACACCACTACAACAGTCTGGGAATGAGTTGTTGAGGGTAGATAGGGATCTGCCTGTATATATATATGTACAGTGCACAACACTACAACAGTCTGGGAATGAGTTGTTGAGGGTATATAGGGATCTGTCTGTATATATATATGTACAGTGCACAACACTACAACAGTCTGGGAATGAGTTGTTGAGGGTAGATAGGGATCTGCCTGTATATATATATATGTACAGTGCACAACACTACAACAGTCTGTGAATGAGATGTTGAGGGTAGATAGGGATCTGCCTGTATATATATATGTACAGTGCACAACACTACAACAGTCTGTGAATGAGATGTTGAGGGTAGATAGGGATCTGCCTGTATATATATATGTACAGTGCACAACACTACAACAGTCTGTGAATGAGATGTTGAGGGTAGATAGGGATCTGCCTGTATATATATATGTACAGTGCACAACACTACAACAGTCTGTGAATGAGATGTTGAGGGTAGATAGGGATTTGCCTGTATATATATATGTACAGTGCACAACACTACAACAGTCTGTGAATGAGATGTTGAGGGTAGATAGGGATCTGCCTGTATATATATATATGTGTACAGTGCACAAAACTACGACAGTCATCATGTGTTGTTTGATTGTCACAAACCTCCGATATGTCTACACAAACATCAACTCATGTCACTGTTACTACATGTATATTTAAATAGAACTATATTCTTTGTTAATTTCATACAGTATATGTCTACACAAACATCGACTCATGTCACTGTTACTACATGTTTATTTAAATAGAACTATATTCCTTGTTAATTTCATACAGTATCTGTCTACGCAAACATCAACTCATGTCACTGTTACTACATCTATATTCCTTGTTAATTTCATACAGTATATGTCTACACAAACATCAAATCATGTCACTGTTACTACATGTATATTTAAATAGAACTATATTCTTTGTTAATTTCATACAGTATATGTCTACACAAACATCAACTCATGTCACTGTTACTGCATTTACATGTATATTTGAATAGAACTATATTCCTTGTTAATTTCATACAGTATATGTCTACACAAACATCGCATCATGTATGAATTCACCTTTTGAATTTCTTTTGTCAGAAACAAGGTCACTTAGTATAAAAATACAACTTAAGAAACATTACTTCTGATGAAATTCTGTGCTGCCAGCTTCTTTGTTTAATAACCAGGTCAATATCGATCACTCAACTGATTTCATTATAGAACACGGTAACTCTCAAACTTTGGGTATTTCAAAACTGTCTTTTATTATTAACTTTCATGAGAATAATTCAGTAATTTTTGCCAAGTTGTTGGTAAGTTAATATATACAGAAGTTTGTTTGCGACCACTGAACAAATATGATATGTATTTCCAGGCAACTATAAGAGCGTTGAGATGACCCTGCCTGTGGATGCTGTGGCAGTGGTCAGCAGAGACTTACCGGTCACAGATCTACACACAGTTCTCAGTACAGCTGTGTGTCACCAGCTCACAGCCATGGCCGCCTGTATCATAAAGGACACAGTTGTAAGTCAACTATAACCTAGCTGTAGGTTACTTTTAACCCTTTTAAATAGGTCACTTATTGCCTAGTTTTAGGTCACTGTTAACCCTGTAAAGTAGGTCACTCATGGCAAGTCACTCATGGCCTAGTTGTAGGTCACTGATAACCCTTTTAAGTAGGTCATTTATGGCCTAGTTTAGTTGTAGGTCACTGATAACCCTTTTAAGTAAGTCACTAATTGCCTAGTTGTAGGTCACTTATAACCCTTTTAAGTAAGTCAGATTTGCCTAGTTGTAGGTCAACGTTAACCTTTTTAAGAAGGTCACTCATGGCCTAGTTGTAGGTCACTACTAACCCTTTTAAGTAAGTCACCAATTGCCTAGTTGTAGGTCAATGTTAACCTTTTTAAGAAGGTCACTCATGGCCTTGTTGAAGGTCACTACTAACCCTTTTAAGTAAGTCACTAATTGCCTAGTTGTAGGTCACTTATAACCCTTTTAAGTAAGTCAGATTTGCCTAGTTGTAGGTCAACGTTAACCTTTTTAAGAAGGTCACTCATGGCCTAGTTGTAGGTCACTGACAACCCTATTTGAGAAGATCAATGATTATCTAGTTGTAGGTCACTGACAACCCTATTTGAGGAGGTAGGTCTCTGATATAATGAATCATAATTGACCTTGAGTTGTAATGAAATCATATAAAGCGGAAATTAATATGAAAATTACAAAAAAAAATCTGTTTCAGGCAAAAAGTGAGAAGTTCAGTAAACCTGTTCCCTACCACTTCCAGCCAGGTGGTCTACAGGCCATATTCTCAGTTGTGTACTTACAAAATATGACAGAGGAACAGTTAGGTAAGTGATATGTTTAGTATAGTATGGCATAAGTTCAGTTAAGAACCCCACATGCAGTATGTCAGATGAACAGTCAGGTGATATATTAAGTACCAGGACATATACAGGTTCAATAGAATCTGTTGATCATTCCAACTGATGGTAACCACATGTTTAACTTAATAACAATATTTGTAGATATATTTTTTAATTTGATTATGTTTGTATTGTTTACTTATTTATTCTTTACTTGTTGATCAATGACAACCAAGGTTTTCTCCAAAGAAACAAAACTTACATGATTTTCACAAACGTGTACACTTTCCTTATCCTTCTATATGAACTAGGATGCAACAACAATAGCTACTGCTGCCAGTGTTATTGTCACCAGGGCATGAACTAAACTGACCTTTACTTTGGCAGTACAAAGACGGACAGAGGTCCACAGAATGCTGGGTTTGCCAGAAAACCAGCCCTTATTTAGGAGATGCAATGCTGTGATGTTTCATGAGGATCGCTCCAGTTATGGGTATCTGATCAACCCTCATACAGGCATCTCAAGTCAGGGAGGTAAGCATCACAAGTCAGGGAGGTAAGCATCACAAGTCAAGGAGGTAAGGGAGGTAAGCATCACAAGTCAGGGAGGTAAGCATCACAAGTCAATGAGGTAAGAATTACCTGTCAGGGAGGTAAGCATCACAAGTCAGGGATGTAAGCATCACAATTAAGGGAGGTAAGCATCACAAGTCAATGAGGTAAGAATTACCTGTCAGGGAGGTAAACACCACCTGTCAGGGAGGCAAGCACCACCTGTCAGGGAGGTAAGCACAACCTGTCAGGGAGGAAGGCATCAACTGCCAGGGAGGTACTTTAATTTATATCACCTATCAGGGAGGTAAGCACCAACTGTCAGGTAGGCAAGCACCACCTGTCAGGAAGGCAAGCATCACCTGTCAGGGAGGTACTTTAATTAATATCACCTATCAGGGAGGTAAGCACCACCTGTCAGGGAGGCAAGCACCACATGTCAGGGAGGCAAGCATCACCTGTCAGGGAGGTAAGCACCACCTGTCAGGGAGGCAAGCATCACCTGTCAGGAAGGTAAACACCACCTGTCAGGGAGGTAAGCACCACCTGTCAGGAAGGTAGAATCACCTGTCGGGGAGGCAAGCATCACCTGTTAGGGAGGTAAGCATCACCTGTTAGGGAGGTAAACATCACCTGTTAGGGAGGTAAACATCACCTGTTAGTGAGTTATACAGGCATCACCTGTAAGTGAGGTAAGCACCACCTGTCAGTGAGGCAAGCACCACCAGTCATTAAGTTAGGCATCAACTGTCAGGGAGGTAAGCACCACATGTGAGGGAGGCGAGCACCACCTGTCATTGAGGTAGGCATCACCTGTCAGGGAATGTGTATTACCAGTAAAAGAGGTTAGCATTCCATGTCAAGAAGGTTAGCATCACAAGTCAAAGATTAGAAAAGAAAACAAGCAGTAAATGAAGCAGTAAATGACAGGTTTAAAGTGCTGACTAATTCCAGAAACACTGTTGGTAGTATTGAGAGCTTTGGCTCCTTGTTGTCAATTGAGAACCTGTATCTATCAATGAGCTTTGTTACAGTGAAGGGAGGGACACAGTACCTAGTGGATGGTCTCTATAGCTACCACCATTACATGCAGGACAGGTTTGATGACAACAAGTGGGGTTGTGCTTACCGCTCTCTGCAAACTCTCATGTCCTGGTTCAAGCTGCAGGGCTACACAGAAAAACCTGTCGCAAGTCACAAAGAAGTGCAGCAGGTACGTGTGTCAATGGCTACCTTACTAAAGAAGGTAAAAAGCAGTGACATGGGGCCCTGATTTTTTTACGTCGAAACATATCACATTGATTCTAAATGAAGCTAGCTATAGAGACATGACATGATTTTAATTAGAGAGTATTATATAGAGATTTATAATTTGTTAAAGTAGATGACCTGCATTCCTACGTCACATTCAGTCACATATTTTAAAATATATTATTGATTTTGTCTAAAGTTAAAGAAGACTTAGGGTCATCATATTAATCAGTAGTTAGCTGGCAGTAATGGCTATCAAATATGTTCCAATTGATGACATTAGTCTCCATTTAAAATCAAAGGGGTAGAATCCCTTTAAATCTTGTCGGCAGAGGGTCCGGGCTCTGAACAGTAAACACGTAGTTTGATTGTTCTAATATCAAAAATGTTTTGAAAAGAATTGTGTAACATTAAATTTGATGTTTGATATCGCTGAGAGAGGAAGATGAAGTTTATATTGTTGGAGTGAAAACTGTATCCAGGACTGTTCCCTTGATCTCGAGAGAAGCATCTTGTTTCCACTTCACATTTCAGCTAGGAAAAGTAACACTCCTGTTAACAGTGTCATTGATTTTATACTTTTTCAGTTAAATGTAGAAGGAAAATATTAAGTGATAAGTATACAAAATGCAAGTTGACGTTTTAGTCTTTTCACGATTACTTGTCATACAGTAGTAGAATGTGTACACGTTATATTACTAGCATTGAATAGTGTGGTATTTATTTCAGGCTCTTGTTGATGTTGGGGACAAGGATCCCAAATTTGTGGGGTCACGCCAGTGGATCGGGTCAATGGAGGTCAGCTACTGTCTGGACCACCTTTTAGGGGTATGCAACATACATTTACACGAGAACCATCTTATTGCAGAGCCAATTAAACTAATATCCACAGGTTTTATTGACAAATTAAATTACAAAGTACATGTACAAGGTTGTCAGCCTAAGTTGACAAACAGATATATACAAAGTTTTAGGTTGTGTTCTCGAAGTAGAATAAGACCCTAATGTACTGCTGTGTCATTTGTCCAGAGAAATTCAACCTTTTAAAGGCATTTGGCGAAAAATTGAGATAATCCTATAAAAGAATTGGAAAGAAAAAGGGACCTTGAAATATGTTGGCAGTAAGTGAGGAAGTAAATGAAACAATGGGCATTATATTGAGGTTTTAGTGTAGGCGTTCAGAGAAACATTTTACAGATTTGAATGAGTTCTAGACATTTTACAAACAGGATTATTTTCCTGCTTCCAATTAACATTATTTTTAGCTTCTTTGTATTTTACAGCTAGATGCAATAATGATCAAGTCCCTATTTAACATTTCCTTATTGTTTCACTTTCTGTTTTCAGGTAACTTCAAAGATTATGTTTGTCAGTACTGGTGCAGAGCTGACAACTAAAGGGAGAGAACTGGCTCTCCACTTTCAGACACAAGGGACTCCAATCATGATAGGTAAATTTAACTTTAACTGAATAATTTAACTGCCATATCCAAAATACTAATTTTTTAAATGTGGCTTTTGTGAAAGACAGAACACTGTGGGATCTATTGACATTCTGCCTTGTCAGAGTTTGCTGCAAATCATGGCAAGTATTTTTTTCGTACATTTAATTGAAACACATGTAAAATAGCCTATCTGACCCTGTTTTAACCTGTTGTAGGTGGTGGTGTATTGGCTCATACCATCCTAGGGGTGGATTTCAATGACGTGACTGGAGACCTGAAATTCCTCATCCTTGATCCTCATTATACTGGTGCTGAAGATCTGAAAGTCATTCTGGATAAAGTATGTAAATCTTCTTAATTTTGCTGAGCTATTGACTTTGTGCATTTGTGTATTTGTGTCATGTCTTCTAAGAAAAAAATTGTTTAGATGCATAGAAATACAAATTATGCTTTCAAATATGTGTGTTATCATTTTCATAAAATGATTCGGGGAAGTAACAGTTGTTACACTTAACACTTTGCTGTGAACAGTGTACATGTTTTAGTGGTCGATGTGTAGGACAAGGTCCATCCCACTTCTGCCTGGTCTTTAGTGAGATCTGTAGTACAGTACTAGTAGCAGTGGAATTTAAATATCACATGTGTGCTGAAGGAGTTTTAGAAAGTCAGCAAAACTTATAATGAAGCATCTCCTACTTAAATCAAGTAGATGGCACTAATTAAATACATAATGCCAATGTTTGTGGGTGTTTTGTTGTACTCTTTTGAACTATGTCATGGATAAAAAAAAAAAAACATGAAGAAGCTGCTTACTTTAAGAAACAATGATACACTAGGTTTTGTAATTATGATTTTAGTAAAACATAAGTTATAATATACATCATGAGACTTGGATCATTTCTGCAAAACAAAATTTGTTGTAGTGGCAATTCCTTGATGTGATTCAATTGGAATTGATATAACCCAAATATATATATATTCTAATTCAGTGAGTTCATAGTAAACCTATTTTTCTGTTGAAGTACACTTAATTTAAGTTTTATAAGAAGTCTTAGTACTCTTACTCTCATAAGAGCGCTATATTTATGGTACTAGTGATGTATCTGTACACGTTTTCCATTTCCCAGGGATGGTGTGGCTGGAAAGGACCGGACTTCTGGGATCAGCACGCCCATTACAACCTGTGTATGCCCCAAAGGCCGTTAGCCATCTGACGATGATATCACATGACAACCCTGGTTATAAATACTCACCAGATAGGTGCAGCTTACTTCCTTTCTGAGGAAGTTATTTCTGTGGGACTTAAGGGAAGCAAAACACTTGTTTATACTTTAATTTATCTTCCAATAAAATGTTGAATTTTGTTCTCTGATTTGAATCTTTCCAATTTTTCTGTTTCTTGAAATCATCATTCCTACCTGAACTTTTTTTAAATTTTGTTAAATAAGAAGTCTGTGTACAAGATGTCATGAATCCCTGGAAATGTGGAAATTTTAAGTTGATCGCAGTGTGGTAGTTTTCACTTTGGCAATGGTTCTTAAAACAATATTTATCACGTAAATATTATCATGCTAACTTACTGGATGCAAGTTTTTCAACACTGAATCAATTTCCACTTTTACAGTAGTTCATAATTAACACCACAGTATAATCACCTCCAGCTCTATGTCAGATTAAATTTGGTGGTCATTGGTCAAGATTAAAAGGTCGAAGGCCACACTTTTCCACTTTCTGGGGGTAGGGAGTTTTACACAAGTGAACTCCTGTTTTTTTGTTTTTATTTGATAAACTCCTTTGTGCAAAATCTGCTCAACTAGTATATTTATCAAGAGAGAGAAAAATCACTCCAAATAAGTATTTAAATAAATTTATTTCATTTTGCACTTTGACAATGATCACACTAGACAATGTGTTGATACAATATGATTAGTTTGAGTGGATTGTTATCAATAACATGTCCAATAATACATGCAATTACTATACAAATACATAGTAATATCCGGACAGTGGAAGCCTAATCAGTTCACACTCTCAGATCACAGAACCATTACCTATAATGTTCTGCCTATATAAGCTTAATGTATGTCATACAGACATGCTACTTATAGGACAGTAGGAACATCATACCCCGTCATCAGTAGAATCCAGGATAACGAGCATGCCCATTGATAAACTGTAACCTAGGCTCTTATCTGTATAACATACATTTATTATACTGATCCGTATAGGACTTTCAAATATAAATGTCTGGTATTTAGAATAGAGGTGGACTTAAACTTCACAGGCTTAGAACTTGTCGGCAGTGACTTGTTTACATTTGATAATATGATGTAGTACACTTGTCATACTGTTTACAATTCTGCCTTTGCATATTGCAGAGTTACCTTCTCTTGTGAGCAGGTATTGATTGTGATGTCATTGGTGTGCGAGAAAATTACGTTGTTTTCTCAAAAATTGATGATGTTACTCTCACAAACTAATGACATAACAATCAATACCTACTCACAAGAGCAGATAACTGCTATACGAAAAGACGGAATATATGACAAGACAACAAGTATTAGCAAAAGCTACTTTCTGTTATAAACAGAGATGTCTGTACATCCACACATTGGCTATACATACCACTACATTTACATGACGTGCAACGGCAGTCACCCGATCAGGAAGGAAGATGTTTCTTTACACATATATCACCTTTGTTCTTTGATTTTCCTGTGTAGATAACGGTAACTTAACAAAGAAAATTACAATGCTGACAATAATAAAGAAAAGATCCAGTGAATAAAATACTGTTTAGAAATGTCTTGATATATCATTGTCTGATGTCTACTGTGAACATACATATGCTATTCTCAATATCTCTTTCAAATACAAAATGTGGAGATTTCACACAGAATAACAGAATCTACAAACTGCTTTAAAATCATGCAGATGCATTTTTTTAACAAAATGTCAACTAGACAAATGCAGTGTAAATATATGATAAAATACAGTGATCAAGATGAAAAATTGGAGAACAAATGTTTCTACTAGACAAATCTATGCATGACAGTCAAGAAAATTGGATGCATTTCATTGTTTTTGACAAGCTATGCAAATTATTTTCGTTTATCTATTGTTCTTCTGACAGAACTATGTGAAGGCTGGTGCTGCTAAATGACTTACATTTACAATAGCGCTTCCCGTGTAAACACATGTCTATCAAGTTATACAGTAGTGAAAACACTGATAAATAAACACAAAAAAAGCATCTCTCTTGCACCGATTTAATTCAAATAACCAAAATCATGTTATACTAAAGTTATTGTTATATATCTCAAGATTAAAACAAAAACAAGGATTTTCACAATCCAACACTTTAAGTGCACCTAGCACAAAAATTGGCCAGCCTCTTTCTACAATAACATCAAAAAGAAGGAACTTCCCAGTCTAAAAATCTAGCAATGAACAAGAGTGAAAATGTAAGAAAACACTGTACATCAATGCTCATAGCTTTTGTAACATGTCATGTTGCCAAGGCCCAACAGCTCAATCAAATGATCTTACGTTTTGGGACTCTTGCAATAATGCAATCATGACCACCCGAGACCGAGATTCAGAAATAGGAAACCGGTATGCTGTAGTGACACAATGAGGAAATAGTCAAAATGGATTGTCTTTTTCCATGTAAAACTGGGGAGAAAAAACAAAATTATCAATCTGTCATTTATTACAGGTAGAAATGTAATGATATCTCGTATTAATTATAAATTGGCTGCATTCTTGGAAAATTACTTCAGCACAAAAAAAAACATGAAACTGAATTATTTCTAAAATGAAATTTAACCATACATTCTCTTACAAAGAGGTTTCTCTTCAAATCCACACCAGATGCTACGGGTAATTAAAAAAAAAACATTAATCAAAATCATGATTTTATTACATGTATTACAAATTGACATACATGTGCTCCTTTTAGATTTCAATCTGCAACCAATTTGTTGAAATATGTGTTAATACATCAATACAGGTAGATTATATCAAATTGTAGATATTGGACATCCAAGCACAATGCCAGAGTCCGATGTTCAGTACATACATCAGTTGGCATTGGACATGTATACAATCAAATACAGATAAGTAATAGCAGCGTATGCAACACTTAAATTTAGGGCTGCAACAATATACCAAATTGTATTGTATCACGATACTTTCTTGTGTTTCGTACCAAATTGTTTTGTTTTCCTGTATCGTGATAGACTAACAGTACATAAATTATCAATAATTTTTATCAAACTCCTAAAAAGTGAACTTATATTTTTTTAATCCTTCAGTAAAGATGTGGTCCACTGTGCAGTCATACCCAAAAGTACTAGAAATTATACAAAAATATATTTCAATAGTACATGTATTTACTATTTTAGTCTTTGACAAAATTCTGCACGCAATCATTATGAAGTTGACCTTTAAGGAGATATTTGTATTGTGATAAAAATCGTATTGAAAGCATCACACCGCGATTTGTATCATATCATGAGGAATGCATTTCGTTGCAGCCCTATTAAATATTTTGCTTGTTGTACAGACTCCAGATTAAAACACAATGTGCAAGAAGGCTTAAAACAAATGCAGGTTCTGTTTGAACAACAAAATGAGCCCTGTAGTGGATTTTCACTAATTTATATAGTAACAAGCCATTCTTAATTAGGTCAACAATCAATCCATTGAAATAATTTCTCATCAACTTTGACTTTGGTTGACAAGCTAAGAAAGTTGGTAAATCTAGCATAACTAGACATATACTTACTTAAATATAATAACACACCTTACTTCCGATACCTATACACTGTTCATCACAATTAAAGCACACTTTTCATCACGCAGCATTTTCAAATTTAAGCAATATTATTTATGCTTCCACTTTTGGAAGTCCTCTTACTAATATATTTGGTAAATCTTATGCAAAAGGTAAAGAAATTGCCACAGAAACATTTCCCAACCATTAACTATAATTTTGCAACAATATTCAAGCTTCCTGAAACTCGAACAAATCTTAACAATGAATTTCACAAAACAATTTGAAATGACAAGAACATGTACATCACAAAATGGCAAAGGTACAAGTGAAATGAAAATGATGAGAAAGGTGATGACGATGAAGGTGTTTAATCCCCCAGATAAATCCAACTTTCCTCGACCACTGCTTTAACTCTCTTTTCATATTCACGACGGTTTTCCCGATACAGTTGTGCCGCGACATTATTTGCAGGACTGTTAGGATTGGGTTCATCTAACAAAGACTGAAAGGAACAGAAATAAAGGTAATTTTTCCCCTTGGTAAGATTTGTTATCGCATTCTCTTACTTTTTCGTCGATCCAAATCGATGCAACATTATCAAAGTCAAAGATTGTAGAGTATATAAACTTGAAGGTTTTTACTTTCAGGTTCTAATTTCAGGTTCTAATTTCAGAGAGTGTTATTTTTTTTTCAATTGGTCATTTTCTTGTAGATTATACTTGATAAACTTGTGTGATGCAAATTTGTATCAAAACATTTTACAATACATCTGTATTTTTATCAGATTCTGTTAAAGTCAATATACTGGATCTTAAATTTCAGAAAGTTTATTCCAGAGAATAAGTCAATTTTAATAATTCAAGTTTGAAGTCTTTATATCTGTAAATTTGGTATAATATTTCAGGATGATTACAGTATTTGTATCTAAACTTTCGACAGAGAAAATCATCTTTCAGAGTTGTACACTATGGAATCGTGTAAACTGTATGCATTATCACAGGTTCTTTGTTTTGGCAATTCCATGACATGAATGTAAATGTAATACATAAAATTCATCACGGAATGACAATTTTTCCATCAAAACTCTTGTACGACATCTATATACTAATGTTGCATGGTAAATACATGATCAATTTTTCAAACAAATGGAAAAAACAACACAAAAACAAGACAATGAAAAAAGTTAAGCAGATAAAACAATAAATAAAATAACTGTAAAAAGAAAACTACATATCCATATTATATGTAAGTATTAAGTTTACTGCGATATTGATATTATACAAACGATCTCCTCAACAATATTTAATGCAGTGCAAGGAAATATCACCAATCTGTAATATATTGTTTAATCTATAAGACATGCTAATTTCTTTTTCAAAAACATTAACATGTGCACATATTATTCAAATGAAAAATCTTAACTGTCAGCAAAAAACTGTCCTTCCTTCAAACCAACAGTTCAAGTTGCTCAAAAACCACTTTCAACTTCAAAAAAGGAGGGGGGAAAAGGCCTCCGAAATCGGCATGATGATTCTCAAAGTTGAGAACATGCTTGTAAGTTGCACAAATAAAGTTTTTGTTTATATTTTTCATGAAATGCTATGATTTCTTATCAGGTTCCTCCTCATCTTCACTATCGGACGTCCAACTTTCTTGAACTATAGATTGAACTTTTTTCTCATATTCCCGACGATTTTCTCGATACAACTGTGCAGCCTCATTGTTTGCAGGGCTATTAGGATTGGGATCATGTAGTAAAGACTAAAATGCAAAAGAAATGACTGTTATTGTTTCGGGTGTTGCCTTAATGGCTAAACCATTACGCGATAAAACATTCTTCACACATACTTTTTTATCAACGCAATTTGCCAAAACTAACATCGCATTATACCTGAATGCATAACTAATTGTACATATAGTTTGTATTTCAATTATTTTTTTACATAATTCTTTTTAATAATAAAAACATAACATTCATGGGTAATTTAATTTTAAAAAACTGAAATAATTAGCAGCCAGTCAAACAAACTAGCTTTTGTATTAGGTATAGATTCTTTATATACAGGAGTTTATATATATGAAGTGTTGTAAAGAAATAATTTTAGGATACAAGGTTCAATTTGTCAGGTTATAGTTTATGATATAGGTTTTATAAGTACTGTAACAAGTTAGTGACAGTATTTGATAGTTTTTCTTCAACACAAAAAACTGACTCTGAAAAATTGTACGTTTTTTGGGAAACATATTATATATAAATGTAAATAAGCTTTGAAGTGGGCTGGGGGTGTGAACTAAAACATATACATTTGTATATATATCTCCTCTCAATAGTCAATGTTGATATTTGATTGGCATCTTCAATTTAAGTAACCTCTGACCTACTTCTAGTTTCATAAAGATATCATTTATGGTTTATAAAAGTTACAGCCAAAACAAGCTTCTATATAAAGAAGAACTGGTTCACGCTAATAGTAAAACCTTGTTATACCGCCACCTTCTGTCCTCTGTGATTTTAGCGGTATAACAAGTTTAGCAGTATCTGGTCAGTCGGCAGTCACATGTAACAATACAATGTACATGTATGTTACATTCCTGTCACCGGATATACTCAACTCAAATTGGCAGTATTTACCGAGGTCAAAATAGTGTCATTTTAAGCATTTGTTGTGGGAATATGATGGAGGATGGCCGTATGCGGGTTTGGCATTACAACGTGTGCATAAACGTTGGGGGGAAATCCGTTCTGAGTAAATTAATGGCGATATGTTGGTTAGGCGGCTAAACGGGTGGCTTTACACAGGGTTTTACTGTATATTAATTATTAATCATTATAAATGTAACACTGGTGTTTAATATATATTCTGCTCGCAGCAGGTTTCAAGCAAAAAAAACAATATATATCACAAAATCCATTTTTGGAGCGTACAAATTCAACAGTCTTTGGCTCAAAGCTGGGTTTATACGTATGTTTGAAGACAAGTTTTATAGTAAATTAGTTTATGTATTGAAGTCTGAAAATTTGACAAATTACACTGTTGTTATTTTCCATTCTATCACTACCGGGGTATAACTTCTTAGGATAAAAAAAGTTTAGGATTAACATACTGGTACACAAATACATGATTCAACAGTAGCTGTATTTTAATAACGTCTTATATCTGGTGATAGAAATCCATTACGACAAATTTTAATAACGTCTTATATCTGGTGATAGAAATCCATTACGACAAGTTACTGCCATGTTAGATTTCAATCATATGTTTCTGATATTACAATGAACGTAACAGGAACATTAATTGAACATAACAGTAACAACCTTTAAATTATAGTTAACTGTCAAGTGACTGCTAGAAGATCCCCTAAAACTTTAACAGATGACTTACCTGTATAGAGGTTAATATGGCAGAGGCATCATATGTTGGACTCCATCTATTTTGTAGAATATCTAAACATATACTGCCATCTGCATAGACTGAAACAGATTTTAACGAACCATACAGTATTTTGACATGGACAATACATCAAAGTTGTGATACTGTATACATGCAATGTATGACAATAACTCAAAAGTTAATTTTAATTATTGCTAATACTTCACTACATTAGAGCCTTCCCCAAAAACCTGTTTGATAAACCTTGTCTTGTCTACTTTAGGCTATAAGCCAATTAATTGTTCTTAAGTTATTAAGTTGAAATATGCTATAAAATGTATTATTTTGTCGTCAAGATATCCATTTTTTTCTTGCTTACCATTTGGGTGAAACATTTTTGATACAAATCGTACTGTTGGTGGTTTATTAGGATATTCCTCTGTGAATTCTACAGTTAATTTAAAGGTTCCATCTTCAAAAGGTGTATCATGAGGCCTGAAATAGTGAAAATAAATATATACATTAAACATTTTTACACCAAATACACCAGTACAGCACAAATTATGATGCGAAATGTTTATAATGATCATATACAATCATGTATATATCCAGTCATATATTCTGACCATCCAACTTTCCTAGAATCTTCTGCAGATCAGATTCAAGAGCTGCATATTCTAAAAGGAAGTATATATCTACATTAACCCTTTCACCCCTATGTAACTTTAGTAGACTCTACCATGCATGATCTGGATGAGTCCATTATGGTCTACAGTGGTGAAAGGGTTAATATTGTAAGACTCTAATAGACATATTCATAAATTTTGAATATTATATATCTCATGTCAAAATTTTCCCAATCTTTCAATACAATTTGTTTATAAATGAATTTAACCATTGTTTATCACTTAATCGCATATCAATTTTTTATTGACATACATATTTGTACTGCTGGATTTTCTGGATTTTACTATTTTCACTTTCATTTCAGTATACACATACATACAGAACCATTCAGGATAATGTATATCTAGCTACATGCCAACTTTTGGAAATTTCCAATGGGGAGTTTATGCATGCTCAGAACTAACACCACAAAGTAAATGTGTTACACCATAAGAAAAATAACACTTTGAAATGGCATCTTTCGAGCTGTTCTTTCAGGTGAAATAATTAGATCTAACAAAATCGGAAAAGTTTAGCAAATTCACTGGTTGAAATTCTTAATTTTAGGGTCCATATTGGGACTCACCCTCTAAATTAGGGAGAGCTGGCAAGTATGATAATGGCTTGGTATACAATATGTATATGGTCATTTTTGGTGAATTACTGAACGTTGATTATGAAAACAAACCAGAACATAGTTTGAAGAGTCTGAATCATTAATGAATAATGAAAAAGGATATTTACAATATATATAATCTGTCAAAATTGAACTGTTGTAACATCATCATATGGTATATCACATTTTCTGATCTAGTTAAAATATATGTTGTTCCTTCTTCAATCTACCAGGAATTAACTTGAAATATGTTTGTGCACAGGTGATTTTCTCATTTGTTATAAAAGAAGGGGAAAGTAAAAAAAAGGTTATACATGTTTGTCTAACTTAGAAGTTTCATACATCACCTGTTGTTACTCTTTTTTTATTACTGTATTCATTGTTTACAATTGAAGAATTCGACGGAGATCCATTTTCAATCCAAAACAGTCTAGTTATACAATGGGGCAAACCGACCAGGAACGAATAGTATATCATATGATCACTAATGGCACGTATGTATGATGTCACAATTGATAATATAAACAATGTATACGAAAAATAATAGCAGTGCTTCATGTGTCGACATAGCGGTCACGGAGATTAAACAGGGATTACCGTCGTACCGAAACATACTGTACCTCGATGGAAATCCCTGTACACATGCTACATGATACAGAATACAAAACCAACATTGTCAGTTTTAACTAGTGAGCTAAATTTTGAATCTCAATCATTCATGTGACCAAGCATTGATAATGTATTATCAACTTGTATATATGGACAAATGGTTGTAATAACGTATTGAACGAAAGCCAAATAAACACAAAGCATTGGAACGTTCAAACAGCTTGTTATGAAGAATCTGAACTTACCCAAATATAACAGCATTCCATAACATAATGTTATTATCTGTTGGTGCACCACTTACGCCAGCAGGTGGGTCTTCCTGTAATCTGCAATATCGAACCATAACGATAATATATACGACATGCGTGATACTAATGCGTGTCACATTTTAAGTAGTATGAGGAGTATCAAAACATTTACAAAGTAGCCATTTTGGATATCATCTGTTCCAGTACGAGTAGAAATACAGTAAAATATATGCCCATACCTTTTGAAATCCCGCATGAGGCGTCTCCTTGCTGGTGTTGACATTTCTGATTTAAAAAAATAGAGAAAATACAATCACAGATTCCTCCCAATCAAAGTACTTTTCAACAACAAAGTGGTGAATGTTTATTATGTGACTATGACCTCTCCATCTGTGACGTTTACATCCGGGGTTCTACGTAATTCGGAATACCACCTTATCGGAGTTCCTCTAGACAGGCCATTATGGTAGTGTATTTGATATGATGAAATCTAGGAAAAGGGGAAAATTCATTAGGGGGGATTCATGCATGGTCTATAAATAAGAGTGACGGATCCTAACGTTTCGGGAGAAGATTCTAGATCATACCAGTTAGAGATATATGAAAATTCGATTAGATTAATCATAAATGCTATATAAACCTCAGTGTTACGCGTTAACTAAAGTGATCTACTTTTCATTTAACTGACTGTACGAACGTATCTTTTCTAAATTAAAATTGATACACAAATTTAATCATAGTTTTACCAGAGACGTATATAACATGGCTTTATACGTGTCTGGTTTTACGGAATATTACTTGCCTTTCTCAACATATGCTCATTAACTATAAAAAATACACAAAGAAAATAGACCGTGGTCAAAGTGCTGTCAATCAGAGACGTATATAACACGTGTTATATGTTATATACGTCTCTGATTCAATTTAATAATAATAATTAATAATTGGAGGTTCTTATATACCGCTTTATCACAAACAAGTTTGTAGGTCGTCTCAAAGCGGTTCACAAATTATTATCCGTGTTTATAGGGCCTTTGCAACCAGCCAGTATATTTCTCAACTCCCTGGGGAGCATACAGCAGGAGCTGCCATTTCGGCGCTAACGGCTAGCATTCAACAATTCTAGCACTGCCCAACCACGTACTAATACAACACATTGCCGTGCCGTGCCGCGAACCACAGGTGCTCGGGTTCTGGAATATATGTGATATAATCGCACCCACTAGATATCGCACCCCCTTATACTAATAACTAGATATCGCACCCCCTTATACTAATAAATGACTTATTAGTATAAGGGGGTGCGATATCTAGTGGGTGCGATTATATCACATATATTCCAGAACCCGAGCACCTGTGGCGCGAACCCGCAACCCTTCGTTCACGAGCCCGGCGTCCTACCACTGGAATATGATATGATCGAGTTGCGTGTTCCCTTAGTAGGTACCCTCGTCCTTTAATTAGATCTACGAAGTCCAAATGAAGTGAACCTGATCAACTCAGCTAGTCTAAATGCCCAATAAACACTCAAAACTGAAAGACAAATTTAAGCATCTAAATTGTTTAATTTTTTGAAAAATCTTTATAATAACACGGAATTAGATCCAAGTCCGTGATGATAATTATAACTACAAATAAGAATTTTAAAAAATGTGTTTCATTTTGAATACCACATGAATTAGACATCTCCTTCTTGCCTTTTCGTTTCTATCGTATATGTTTAATTTTTTTATTTTTTTTTATTAGATTCTTGTAAATACTTGCCATTAAAAGTTGACACGAGTATTTTCTAAATCATTAGTGCTTGGGCGGAACCTGGACATTATCGTATACATAATTGCAAGGGAGTTGGATTCAATAAAAAAGACAGTTGTAGTAGTTGGACACTTCACATCTTTCAGCGGCTGACCCAGGGGTGTTGCCCTAGTTGCCCGGGCAACAATAATAATAATATTTATTCAGGTAAAAGGCATAATAGTTTGAAGATTGTTTACCTATTATATAGTAACATACACCCCGACTGAGCTGTATTTGGAAAAAGTTCTGATTCGGTGTTGGTCATATCAACTCTGTCCACCTTTATGAACTCTCTCCCTTACAGAGCCAGAAATAGTATATAATTGATTATATGTAGGTATATGTACTGGTATATAACTTAAACTAATAAAAATCTGACACAACATAAAACACCCTTTTTCTGTGTCCAAAAATAATCTGGACTTAGGTTTTTGAATATTTTCCTCTTTTTCATATGGGATTTTCATCTAATATCAACCATCCTGTGAACTATGATTTTCTATGGCAAGCAGCAGTTTGAATATCTATATATGCTTAAAGGTGCAGTTGCCCAAACAAGGAGTCCACTACTTAAACTCTAAAAATAGGGGGTTAATCCTCTTTTGTTTATATATTAGTAGGGTCTCCAGTCAGGTCAGTGGTGAAGGCTCACCGGACTGTCTGCCTAATTGTATTGTTCTAATGTCACGGTGTGGTGATCACGCTGTCCACTGATGAGAGAGGATAAAACCATCTGTTGGAATAAGGTATAAATATGTTAATTGTTATCTCAAAGGTAGAGTCCATTTCATGATAGATAAACCTGTATTTTCACCTGTGGTTTCATGTACACATGATCACCAGGAGTGTTAAAAAATGTAAATTTCAAAAATTTCAAAGACAATAAAGCATCCACCTTAGCATCACGTTATCAGGTGAAAAACAACCAATGTTAGCATAAAAGCCTGGCATGTATATATATATCCTTTTTAACAGGTGTTGCCCTTGTACATATGCATGCATACAAATTCACAATAAAAGATAGTCAAATCATAATTCATATTTATGACAAAATAAATTAATATTCAATTGCCAAAATGCTCGCCTAAACTACATGCACATGAAAGGCATGACACAAACATCAACATTTTAACCAAAAACCTACATTTTTACCATTGCGTCGCACGCATGGAATATCAGAGAAAGTGTTTTTCTCCTGCCCACACAACTCCAACAATCCAGGTGGAGTATAAAATGGTCTGGGGTGGATGTTGCGGTATCTGTGATGTAAAAAAAATACACCGACATGACAAATATAATTTATTAGGTTTTTTTTAGTCTTTTTCTGAGTTTAAAATTTTGGGCAACACCCAAAATTAATTCCTGGGTCCCCCCTGTCTTTAGTTGGGTTGCGCAATACTGGGGAGAAATACAATGTCTTACTACGCTCAGGGACAGTATATACGTCCCTGCTACGCTCTACAATGCTTAATAAACATTTAATAGGAATTTGATTTAAGTTACTGATCTCACTGAACATGCATATATTACGGTGAAAAATATATGTAAGATTTGGTGGAATTATAATGCTAAATTGCTCTCTCAAATTGGAAACACCCAAAATTTCGCCTGAGGGCAAGTGTATGGTTGGAGTTGCCCTAGACCCCTAACAACAAATTGGTCAAAACGACATCCAGGACGGATAATGACGTCACGTTACCAATATCTTTGACCAGTGGATATAAAACAGCCGACGGATTCCCGCCATGAAGATGTTCTGGCTATTGGCATTCATATACTACATGTAGCTCCTCCTAGATGTCAAGGCGATACCTTGTATAGGCTGGTTCGGGGAGCAGATAGCATTGCCGTCGAAGGACTATTGTTCAATTTTGTTCATGCTTCTATAGTTGGTGGTCGTAACTGTGGATCTGTGTAATTTTTCATATTTGTACTTCTCGGTCAAAGAGAAACTGCTCATGTCTTCGTATTAATGACGGTTTTTCTTTTCTTGGCGTCTTTTGCAGTTTTTGTTCCGACACGGATATATGATTGCTATACCTCACGGATCCTGTCCATGCACTGTTATATGTTATAATGCCATAAAAGTAGGCCTACACTTGCACATATTAGATTTTAATCCAACGAAGGCATGGATTTTATTACCAAAAGTCTAATCCTTCATATCCCGAAACACTAGATTTGTAGTAAACGATCATTAAACAGTGCGTGACCTTTGCATTTGTCATATGATGACTTTAGAAGATTTATACGTATCTTTCTGTCTAGCTGTGTACGCCAATGGAGCATGTGTCTGACCACGGACTAAGACATAGAAGTTCACGCAAAAACACTACATTTTAAAACACATGGACGACAGGCGGATATCTTGAATTATTAGAGTTAAAGTTTGTTAGCCCTACTTCTCAGAAAGCGCTGAAGGGATCTTTCTCAAATGTCACATAAACATTTCCCATGGTCCTTAGTTATGCCACGGACTTAGATAACTAATCTAATTTCGTGGTTATGCATATTTTAATTTCAAGACTGATCGGAAAACCAAGATCGCCGACAGGCAGTCCTCTTGAAGTTTAAGATCGAGTTAAAGATTTTCAGCACTATTTCTCAGAAAGTATTAGAGATATTTTTCAAATTTACACGAAGGTTTCCAATGGTCCATACTTATGCATGTTGGTTTTAGGGACTGCTTTGGAAAAACAGGATGGCCACCAGACAGCCATCTTGAATTTTTGCAGTTCAATTTTCCTCTTGGTCCCATTGTTAGGTAGCAGTGTACAGTAGCGTACGGTGGCCACGGGTGATATTTTTATACCATGAATAACCCCTGTAATATAGCATGTATTAAAATTTAAAAAAAAACAGCACTCAAATTGGCATATACATGATGAAGTGGACTATGTGGGCTTCATAATTTAAAAAAAAAATCGAATTTGGTTTGAGACTAAAGTTTTGGGCATTTACAAATCTGTGTCTACACAACAAAAGCTAGCTTTTCATGTAGTTTATTTTTGTACTCAGCACATGTGTAAATATTGTGAAAAATCCACCGGTATGACCTTTGCTAAAACGTGAGTATTTCTGTTACCGAGTAGGCGGTATTTAACTTCAGATGGGTTTTAAGGGGAAAAAAACTACTTGCGGGGGTCAAATTTTGGGTTAAAATCTTGTTATTTTGCATATTTTGGTGGGGTTTTTTATGTGTTAACCATGGTTTTCACAAGTCCCAAATCTGGGGAAAATAGTTTTTGCAGATTGAAATTCACTATCCATGTTTATCTGAGACATGCCCTTTATTTTTAGGGTCAAGCCATTTCTACTGTACACTGCTACCCTAATTAGCATCCTCGATATCCAGACGTTACGCTCATTTACGCTTTCTACAGAGAGCGTAAGTGAGCGTAACCCCTTGATATCGAAAATGCCTTGTTAGAAATATCCATGGCCCTGGTCAGAATTCATCCGTCACTGACAGAATTTTTTATCATGCAAGAATTGCATATTTTTATTTTTAGATAACATGTATAAAGGAACATGCAATTTTTATACAATAACATTTGTCTTTGAGGCAAATAACATAATATTGTGGCATTACAAGGTTTAAGTCAGTGTTCAAGATTCATATTTCCAACATGGGAATGGGTAATAGTACATGTAAAGGAAAAGGCGAGTAAAAGAGGTCAACTATCAGCTTTTGTAGATCTAATACATATTCTTTGATGGAGGGCGCCAAGATCTTACTAGAATCTCTTTTCCTTTATTGTTTCACTCCTCTTGTTCAGATCATATCCGGTGACGAACTCGTTATTGGTTTTGGTGACGTACTCGCGATCGTTATTGGTTTTGGTGACGCACTTCTTACTGGTTTTGGTGACATACTAGTAATTGGTTTTGGTGACGTACGTACTCGTTATTGGTTTTGGTGACATACTAGTAATTGGTTTGGGTGACATACTTGTTATTGGTTTTGGTGACGTACGTACTCGTTATTGGTTTTGGTGACATACTAGTAATTGGTTTTGGTGACGTACTTGTTATTGGTTTTGGTGACGTACTCCTAATTGGTTTTGGTGACGTACGTACTTGTTATTGGTTTTTGTGACGTACTTGTTATTGGTTTTGGTGACGTACTCGTAATTGGTTTTGGTGACGTACTTGTTATTAATTTTGGTGACGTACTTGTTATTGGTTTTGGTGACGAACTCGTTATTGGTTTTGGTGACATACTTCTTACTGGTTTTGGTGACATACTAGTAATTGGTTTTGGTGACGTTCTTGTTATTGGTTTTGGTGACATACTAGTAATTGGTTTTGGTAACTTACTTGTTATTGGTTTTTGTGACGTACTTGTTATTGGTTTTGGTGACATACTTCTTACTGATTTTGGTGACACACTTCTTACTGGTTTTGGTGACATACTAGTAATTGGTTTTGGTGACGTTCTTGTTATTGGTTTTGGTGACATACTAGTAATTGGTTTTGGTAACTTACTTGTTATTGGTTTTTGTGACGTACTTGTTATTGGTTTTGGTGACATACTTCTTACTGATTTTGGTGACACACTTCTTACTGGTTTTGGTGACATACTAGTAATTGGTTTTGGTGACGTTCTTGTTATTGGTTTTGGTGACATACTAGTAATTGGTTTTGGTAACTTACTTGTTATTGGTTTTTGTGACGTACTTGTTATTGGTTTTGGTGACATACTTCTTACTGATTTTGGTGACACACTTCTTACTGGTTTTGGTGACATACTAGTAATTGGTTTTGGTGACGTTCTTGTTATTGGTTTTGGTGACATACTAGTAATTGGTTTTGGTAACTTACTTGTTATTGGTTTTGGTGACGTACTTGTTATTGGTTTTGGTGACGTACTCGTTATTGGTTTTGGTGACGTACTGCTTATTGGTTTTTGTGACGTACTTGTTATTGGTTTTGGTGACATACTTCTTACTGATTTTGGGGACACACTTCTTACTGGTTTTGGTGACATACTAGTAATTGGTTTTGGTAACTTACTTGTTATTTGTTTTGGTGACGTACTTGTTATTGGTTTTGGCGACGTACTCGTTATTGGTTTTGGTGACGTACTCGTTATTGGTTTTGGTGACGTACTCGTTATTGGTTTTGATGACATACTAGTAATTGGTTTTGGTGACGTACTTGTTATTGGTCTTGGTGACGTACTCGTTATTGGTTTTGGTGACGTACTTATTATTGGTTTTGGTGACTAACTCGTTATTGGTTTTGGTGACGTACTTATTATTGGTTTTGGTGACGTACTTGTTATTGGTTTTTGTGACGTACTTGTTATTGGTTTTGGTGACGTACTCGTAATTGGTTTTGGTGACGTACTTGTTATTGGTTTTGGTGACTAACTCGTTATTGGTTTTTGTGACGTACTCGTTATTGGTTTTGATGACATACTAGTAATTGGTTTTGGTTTCGTACTTGTTATTGGTCTTGGTGACGTACTCGTTATTGGTTTTGGTGACCTACTCATTATTGGTTTCTGTGACATACTTCTTACTGATTTTGGTGACACACTTCTTACTGGTTTTGGTGAGATACTAGTAATTGGTTTTGGTGACGTTCTTGTTATTGGTTTTGGTGACATACTAGTAATTGGTTTTGGTGACATACTAGTAATTGATTTTGGTAACTTACTTGTTATTGGTTTTGGTGACGTACTTGTTATTGGTTTTGGTGACGTATTTAATATTGGTTTTGGTGACATACTAGTAATTGGTTTTGGTGACGTACTGTTCGTTATTGGTTTTGGTGATGTACTTGTTGATTTTTTTTTTGGTGACATACTCGTTATTGGTATTGGCCGTTGCGTCAATGGGTCATCATTGATATGCCACCACGTAAGGGACCTTTCTCAACAAAGGCATGTTAAGTGTCCTTGAGAGAGGCTCTAGCTGGACGCATGTCAAGCTCGGAGACGCAAAACCTGGACCACGTCTACACCGGATGAACCAAGACATTGGTTTCTGAAATTCTCAAATATATCCACGAGGAATTTTCTGCGAAATTCTTAATCTGGAAGTCACTAAACACATTTGTCAAGGTCATAAACTCCTCTGTCATACAGACATACCAGACTAACTATTATTTATATTGTAATGAGGGTTTCACTGATCTTCATGGAATCTATGTAATACTTTTGTAAGTTAAAGTCGTGGAAAGGGTATATTTTAGAGCTTGTTTCTGTCACAACAGATCGAGATATGGACTCGCACCAGTCTCTAGATTTTTTAGAAAAATAACACGATTAAAAATAACTATTAAGTTTGCTCACTTTCGTGTCTGACCTGATTCTAAGAGTTCTAAAGTAGGGGGAGGAGGGGTAAGCGCTAGTAGAAAACTGCAATTGAGAAACTCTTCACCAGGCTATTCGAGATAGGGTTCACTATTGTGAAAGTTTTAACCTGTAATTACTTAGCTTAAATCTTTTAACAGTTTCTTCAAAGATGTACAGAGAAATTGCAAGCTGTATGAAATCGTTTCATTCCTATGAGAGGAGGTGCATTCCTCTTTGTTGTTCGGTATGCATTTGATCTCTTTTCATTTTGATTATCACCTATGGTGATATAGGAATCGTAACCCCTCAAATCGTGAAAGACGAATGGATTGTGTCCGTATTTTTGTATGAAACATTTGATTTTCTGTGCGCCACCACATGAACACTTCTCTCCTCTCCATCATTTCTAGATCTTCCTCTTACATATCATTACGAGTTGTACGTGTTTGTCTTTTTAAATGACTGCCAGTTATGATCACGATACATGATTGGACAGGTTTCACTCTTTGTTCAATCTCCTTTAATTTTCGGACCTGATATTCGACAAATAATGACAACGGTACTTGGTACACCACGGGTGTTTCATAATTTGGACAAACCTAAGTATGCAAAACTAGATGGAACCACGGAATAAAATGATATTCAAGTCCATGCTGGGTAGATTTCGCTGTATAGGACACATTCGGGTCTTTAGAACATCAGGAAACCATTCAAAGCCGATCAAGATGAAACGTAAATTGGGCTGCCTATTGTTTTATTTACAAGTCTTTGCGGAACAGCCTTTGGTCTTTCTTACTCACCGCGGGCAACGAAGGTTTTCCTTTTAGTTTATTCTCGATTATACGTCAAACAGGCGTATGCTAGCACTATGTGGCCTAATCCTTGGTTGGTATGATAATGCCATACTTTTTTGTAACCCTCCTTGATCTACTCTCGACCAACTGATCGCCGCCTTGTTCATTTAAGGATTGACCTTCATTTTGACTGCGTATACGGTAGTATGAACGCAGTTGGCAACGAACATATTCTATGGAGCGCGTAAGCGCTCCATAAAGAATATGTTCGTTGCCAACTGCGTTCATACTACCGTATACGAAGTCAATCTGAGCTAAGGGTATCAGATAATGAGATATACCATCATTTCGGGTGGTATTTTCACCGAGAGTTGATCTTAACCCCGAAATACCCAGTTGGCAACGAACATATTCTATGGAGCGCGTAAGCGCTCCATAAAGAATATGTTCGTTGCCAACTGCGTTCATACTACCGTATACGAAGTCAAACTGAGCTAAGGGTATCAGATAATGAGATATACCATCATTTCGGGTGGTATTTTCACCGAGAGTTGATCTTAACCCCGAAATACCCAGTTGGCAACGAACATATTCTATGGAGCGCGTAAGCGCTCCATAAAGAATATGTTCGTTGCCAACTGCGTTCATACTACCGTATACGCAGTCAAACTGAAGATCAATTCTTATATTTACATATTTTCCTACTATGATAATACACTCAGAATAAAGCTAACTCCAATACATTTGCTTTTATAATGGTACAAAACCTCCGTAACGTGCGTAAATCCAAACAAATGAACAGCCTACAGCCTGCGAGCAGCGATGGATCTCCAACGTTACCATTATGATGTCACAATGTAAATTACGTCATCAATAGGAAACAATGGTCTCCAAGGAATCTCACTGCGTATACGGTAATGTATACGCAGTCACGGTTTACACAGCTTCAATGGGAGCGAATGTAAATATTGGGTTTTAGTCTTTAGTTTGCAGCATTAAGAAGTCCGTCAGTGTATAGAGAAGCACAGGGACCTGTGAAGTTGTTACAGCTATATTTGGACTTTAGGGTTTCAGATAATGAGATATACCATCATTTCGGGTGGTATTTTCACCGAGAGTTGATCTTAACCCCTAAAACGTGTAAAATTATTCCGAACACCTAAGTTTTGTTGTAGTAGCTAATTTTGTATGGTTAAAGCATATACTTTGTGAGATGAATAAACTTAGAGTGACAGTTCTGATGTTTAAAAAATGACAACTAGAACAGCATATCAAAGAACTAAATTGCACGTACTTTACTACAACATTGCTTAACTTTTTCATAACATAATAAGATATAATAACATAATAAAACAGCAGAAAAGACTGAACATTAACACAATGTAGAAATCGGTCACTGTTGGCGTTACTTTTAATAACCCGCCAATATGTAACACATTATAAATATAATAGGTACAAAATGAATAATGTCTTGCTTTGTACGTCACCGATCAAAATTTGGGTAGCGCTTCATGCCAAAATTATTTCAAAAAGACACCAATGTAATTTTTTTCTCTATGAATCATCCTAAATCTATTGAAATTGTATATGAAGCAGTGGATAAAAGAGGAATTTTTTTTTTTTTTTTTTTTTTAATCTTTTATGGTCAATCTGATCTGAAGTGTGACAAATGATTCAGCATCCTGAAGTAAATAAACTTGTTCAATGCACATATTTATTAGCTCTAAACCTTGTTATTATTTTTTATTGAAAATTTTAAGGTAAAATTTGATCAACAATATGGAAAGAGCAGAGTGACCAGACATGTAACTACCATACTAGGTACATGGTCAATATTAACTTAAGTCAATGTATACAAAATGTTGCTGAAAATGTTAAAAACATATAAAGAATATTATACATTATATTTTTCCAATCCTGTAACCATTAAAATCAATATTAGAATCCACTGATCATTATATTAAATATAATGGTCATAAAATCACAAAGAGTATAGCTAGTAGAGACAAATGATTTCCATTTGAGTAAATCAATTTTCCATTAAGTAGAATATATTTTAGCACTGACTCACCAGAATGGCACATTTGTTCTGAGTGCTGCCATTGTTTGTGTCAACAGGGCAAAACAGAAAGCAATGGCCGACGTTTCATGCTTGATGCAATATGATGGGGCAACATGTTTTCACATAAGGTATCTCCCAGTGGGAAAACCCCCAAAGGAAGAACAGTGCCAACAAGAAATGGTGTGGGGGAGGAAAAGTGCCCTAAAAATCAAAGCAAATATCTAGGAGTGGAATCACACAGGACTATTTCATATACAACTCTCCAACTTATTCCTTATCATGGATAGCTTTTACATGTCGGGCCCTGTGGTTATTACGAAAAAAAATATGAAACATAAATATTTATTGAAGAAGATGGATAAAAAAAGACACCCTGTTCACAGCTTTATAAAGTGGAAATAAATATCTCAAACTTATAAATGTAATACTTCTACTAAACAGCTAACAGACACCTCAAGGTACTTGTGTACTATGTACATAACAACATAAAGAACTGTCCGAGATAATGGTGAGTCGGTTATACAGTAAACCCTTGATGTAATACCTCTTTTCTTATTTCAATTTGTCACCTTGCAAACCATCCACATATTTTCACGGTTCATTTTTCTTCTTAACAATTCCTTTATGCCCCCCCCCCCCCCTCCCCCAATGCCAAAATGCTGTTGGACAACCAAGGAATTTGTTGTAGTGTTTGATTCACCTCTACATAAAATATGAGATTTACTAGTCCTAAGATATGTACATATAAACAAAGCAAAGGCAGCTATATACCACAGACTTTCATTTGTAAAACAATATCATTTGATATCTGATAAAATGAGATTTCTATGTTAACCAAAAGGTTGACCATACACTAACAGTTGATATCACTCAACAGAAAACACATTTCTCACACCCAACAGAAAACACATTTCTCACACCCAACAGAAAACTCATTTCTCACACCCAACAGAAAACAAATTTCTCACACCCAACAGAAAACTCCTTTCTCACATGGTGAGAAGAACAAGCATATCTGCCCAGCAGATTAATCTTAAAATAAACTCTTCAGATCCAAGAAATTGAGAAATTGAATTTCACCAATATATTTAATATTTTTTACCGTACATTAACTTGTAAATTAAATGATATGCCATAACAATAAAAACACTTTGTGACGTGTAAAATCATTTAAAATTCTCTGTATAGTTGTATTAAATAAGTTTTAATGTATACATAAAAAACTTCTGAGAATGAAGTGTTAACATGGGTAATACACATATTCAACACCTGCGTAACACAGGACACACAGTGACAATACTGTTGTGTACCATCAAAATAAACATATTGAGACAGATTCTAGAAAATTAATTATATGAATATGATTTTTTCTGAAACATTTCTAAAAGAACAGTGAAAAGGATGTAATACTCTTCTTACTCCACCAGAAAACAATTAACTCAAAGGATTTTCAAAAGGTTTGAACGTTTGTGAACTCTAGATAAAAAGAAAAAAGAAAAAACACATGTAGAAGTATTAACTTATGGTAATAGATAATACAAACAATTAATCCAAAGGCTTCAGATGTTGGTTAAAAACGTTAATAGAAATAAAACATTTATAAAAAGCTACAACGTATACAAAGTATAAAGCATTACTGTGTCCGACCCAGTCAAGTCGTGCCAAGACGCTTGTTCTGTAATGTTACTTTAAATATGGTTTTGTGTTAATATTGATTCTGTAAACTAAACTAGAAGCACACATGTAGCACCTTAATGAAATAAAACATGTTAACATAAATATGGAAATCACGTCAGATTGTCAATAACATTATTTTTGAAACCAATTCAAATCCTTCACTTTACAAATATAGTAAGTGTTATAAATAGTGTCATCATTTGATTTCAAATGTAACCAGAATAAAACCATGGCAGGAGAATCAATAAAGCTGCTTAGCTGGTCAGTAAATGTGGTTAACAACGATACATCAATCAAACTAGACACTTTATAACCTGTAAATCTATAGTAATGTAAACATTGGCAGTGATTTTAATGACAGTTTTCATACATATATTATATAATTATTGCCAATGGCAGTTTGTTATTATCTCAATGTGTAATGATCTCTTTTTAAAACAACTTTTTCATTTGTTCCAAACTATCATTTATACATGTATATAAAATACTATTATGACATGATGTGTCTGCCTACTCTAAACAGTCGATCCCTAAACATGTCAAGGTGGTAAAGAATTGATCATAGCCACTGTGAAAGTGTTGAGATGAGTTTGATTTATAGTAAAACATCTGTTTGATCATCACGCGTGGTACAATATCAGTATTTTATGATGTATCTCAGTTAANTTTTAAAAAAAAAAAAAAAAAAAAAAAAAAAAAAAAAAGTTTCACATGTTAGAAAAACATTCATTGTCAAACATATTAATAAAGAATTTCTTCTGAAACACACAATAAGAAATCAAGGTCAACATCAAAAATTAAAACTGATCCTTTGAAACTTTACAGTACAGTCACGTTGTTCTTTATCACACCAAAAAGTTTGATTTTTAAAAGCATCCAATATACATCTGTATATTATGCAATCTTGACAATATAAAAAAAAACGAGTTTAAGTACTGTACTTGTAAAGAATGGAATGTTACGAATTCATGTTGAATAATGAAAATTTGACAGGCTTTAAACAGTTCTTACCAAAATGAGAACAAAAATATAGAACAAATGTCACTCAAAGTCCTAAATGAGAACATTTGAGGGTCTGACAGTTGTAGGAGTGTTATAATACAAAGGCCCTGCAGCTCTATACACATCCATTCCCGGAAAACTTGAAACAATCACAATCATATTTGTGTAACTTAATATGAACTAATAATTTTATACCTATTTACTTTTTTTTGGCAGCCATTCCTATTTATGTAGGTCACAATCCATTCATATTTACTGGTTTTTTTTACTGCTGATAAGCCCATGCCTCATAATAAGCCCACCCAACATTTTCCCTTACTTTCCATGCATAGGTGTGTGTGTGTGGAGGGGACGGAGGACAGGGGGTGGTAGCTATTGTCCAGAACGATCAGCAGCCATTCAGAACTGAGAAAGTACAGTAATTGTAGATATAGCACTGACCCTGCATCCAAGAGCAGGACAAAAATATCCTGTTTATATATTTGGTAAGTTATAGCTCATGAAGAAATGCAGGTCATTATCTGTTTCCAAATTTGGAATGGGTCATCTGGATATAGTGACTTATTTTTATCAAAGTGAAAATGCCAACTGCTTTTGGACTGAAACTCACAGCATTGGTTACATAGTGCAAATGAACCGCTGTGTGGTAAATGTGTTTCATAATCCAGCAAAAAAACTTGTACACTACATGCATATAATGCAATATCTTAACTTCAAAAGCACTGCGTGTATCGATACACATTAAACACTGAATTAAAATCATCAAATAGATTCTTTTGTCACAGATTTGAATTTTTTACAAGAACAGGTGTCCATTTAGATTTAATCTTCATATCTGTCTTATCATAATGTCTTGATTTTCTTACTAGAAATTCAAACCAAAAATGTGGAAATAATGTTATGGCAGGCATTAAACACTGATGTGAGTCATAGAACTGTGACATGTCATGACCCGTGGGTGTTGTAAATGAGTGATTCCAAAAAGGTGGTCTCGTATCCCTGCTGCACAGATACAGAGCTATAGTGTTCAAACGCACTGGAGCTGACCATGGAGCTGGCGTAGTTATTATTCACTCCCTGCGCGATCTTTTCAGGATCCAGATGTAGGAAATGTTTTTCAGCAGGATTACAAGTGCCCTTTGCTATAGATTCCGGTGAGTGACTGCTGCATGCACTGTCCAGCACTGGAACTACAATACATACAAAATGTTCTTATATACAACGACATGGTTAGTCAGAAATAAGAAAGGCATGAATTTTATATATCACATTCACTCTTATACAGATAAAAGTATTACATAAAATTGCATAGTTCAACTCGCTGCGATTGATTTCTTCATGATATCAACTTATCAAGCAACATTTATATTAATTGAATCAATTTTTGTTATAACTAGCTCAAAGTCCTGAATGGATTTGTAGTGAAGAACAAGAGAAAAACATTATGTCAGATTTTGAGGATATATCGCACAGAAGTAACAATCCGATATAAATTTTACTCTGATGACAGACTGAATGCAGATGTTTTCAACATATAGTCTTCTTTATATCACGCACGGTAAACACAACAGGAATGATAAGTCTTATCTTGGCTATACTCTGTACATGTACAATATACCTACATTCACATAGATGAAAAAATAATTAATTCAACACTCAACAGTATATAGGTCTAATGATGTTATGCCTTTTAAAGTATTTTATAATAATTTTGTGTCATGTGTAATTATATTAATTTGGTAAGCAGGCAATGAACACCTTGACAACTATCATCACTAAGACTGAGACACTGACATTAACAATCCTTTATAATCAACTTTATATATTTGTATAAATGTATATAGGGATTCAAACTTGTTACTGAAAATTATCTGAAATCCAATTTGATCTAGAATGTCTAGTTTTATATATATATATAGATTCTACGTCTTAAATATTTTACATCATTTTTTTTTCTTCGGAAATGAATGTGATACAGCACTAATCAGTAAGCATACTATAACACCGTTCAAAACTGTAAGGATTACTCGACAAATTAGCATGTGAAATGAAGCCCTTTCCACGGCCAGATGACTACATCTATTTGATATACACATAGAGAGATAAATTCTATAATCTATAATGATGTTGATATGGAATACAATAAAACATGAAGGTTTTACAATTTGGTTCAGCCTTACTCTAATTCATACGGGACAGCAGTGCATATTTCATATTTAAATTCTCATTTTTATTTCTAATTATAATAATAAATAGTTAATACTGAAACTTGCAACGTCAGACATATTTAAATCATATTTATATATATATATAAGTCGTCCAACACAAAAGAGAAAACGAACCAAAAAAACAAAAGTATCACAACAAAGAAGCTAGATACACAAGTAATAGCATGATCCCTGGTGAAATCAAATGAAACAGCTCAAGACAAAGGTCACGTGTTATCAGCCATCAATCTACAGTTTATTTTCATGGGTCCTTTTCAACTGTACTGCTAAAAACAATAGGTCCCACAATGTAAGATTTCAGTATTTCAGGAAATTCTACGTGTCCTATCAAAATTCTATGAATATTGGACCTGGGACTCTCATGTAGATTTATCACTGGTGTAATTAAAAATAAAACCACTCTAGAATATACTAAACCCAACATCAGTCAATCTCAGTTTTTCAACATTCTCCAATGGAGCATGGGCTTTGATTCTATGTGGAAATCTGTTTATAACAGAAGCAGTCTAACTGGTAAAACATAATGATTTGTAGCCCCTTTTACACATGTTTAGTCAACTGATCATGCTTTGTGACATTCTGAACTTTGACCTGAATGCAATTAACATGCAAGGCCATGCATCTTGATTGGTAAAATAAGACCTGCTACTCCAAGTTTGAAATCCATGCACTTGGCATAAAATGTTGAAAAAAATCCATGTAGGAATAAATATTCCACATTATCCAAGTTGGCACTTCGGCATATACCAACAAAATGGGTGATTTATACTTACATGTGCCAATCAAGTCATATATAGTGAGAACTTAATGCCATGCATTTTGAAGGAAGCTCATGAGCTTTAATGGACACTGAATGATGATGGGTATGAAACTGTTGATAGGAATTAGAGGTGATCTCCCTTGGCTTTGAATCTTTTGTCTTTAGAGGGGAGATTTGACCATTCATTTGGAAACTGTCTGACATTGAGAACAAGGCTGCATCACTCTCATTCCAATGGCACTCTGGGGAAGGAAACGGAAACATGACCTTTGAATTATGAGATTTCTATAAAATATTAATCAAAGGTATTACCTAGATCACGACGCATGGTGGTGTGCTAACCTTTATAAGATGTTTCAGTCCAAGCATATTTCTAAATTCCTTTATTATATAAAAACCCACTATCATAGATATTATATTCAAATTTTTGATTCAGTCAAAAAAAGTCTTATAAACAGTGTATATCAACAGTTAATTAATCAGAAAGCAACACATCAGAAAATCTGGAATGGTGTAAAGTTTGTCATCAGATGACTCTTGGCTTCTTCTGTAAGCCAGTCTAGCACTACTCAGATCTGTCTCTCCCACAATACAATATAAACAAGAGCACTGAAGAGGTGGAACAATGCACCAAAGTTGAATGAGCACATGCATATAGCTGGCAAATGTTGACATTTAATACTGAATTACAATGGAAAAATCTCCTGTGATGATTAACAATTAGATCAAGCTTACCATGGCCAGTACTAAGTTTCATAAAGGAAATTGAATCAAAATTGAATGGTGGGAATATATATCCAAGTGCTGTAACTGTTTCAAAAACATCTAAATCAAGACTTTTAAATATGAAAGCACAACTACATATCATAATGATAAAGCCAGGCAAGTTTCAAAATGATTGGTCAAATCTGAGGGAGGAGATTTCAGGACCAGATTTAAATGCCGAACTAAAAGTACATTATAACTCCTTGAAAAGTTGCTGTATCTCCACTCTTAGTTCGAAAACACAACTAAACATGATAATTGGTAGAAAACTAAGGGAGGAGATCTCTAGACAATTATACACCATCCATAAATAAAGTAATGTGAATTCAGAAGCAAGATAGTAAGATAGTAAGATAGTAAGATACACAACTTATAGCTTGATCCCTGGTAAAATCACATCAAATTGCTCAAAACAAATTGATATATATATGTTATTGAATAAAGTCTTTATTAGTATATTTCTGAATAATATTCTCAAATATATATACACTAATCAAGTAATTTGTGGTGGACCGGCGGTCTACCAGCTTTAAGTGGACCGTCCAAGATTTTGGTGGACCCGGTCCTCCGGTCTACCGTTAGTGTCGACCCCTGCCTGTATTCATGCATCTCCCTTGCTACTTATAAAACCTCCCTTGTGACGGTCTTGGTCCTCACATGTACAGTGTATTCCATATTATTTAGGGCTGTCACAATATATCGGAAATATTTTTATGTATCTCTTTCTGCTTGGTGGTTTAACTTTGCAAATTACTACAAATTCTAACAGATATGCCAATAAGCATAAAACAGGCTTTTAATGGTAGTGAGGATTAGTTCAAGTCTTGTAATCGATGGTTGGTTTGACAAAAATCTTTAATCTATGTGATCCATATTATATATGATTAAGCTTGATAACAATCTGACAACAACATATCATAAAATCGAGCACATCTTTCCTATGACAAAATATGATTTATAGAAATAATTAAATAATGTCCTGATCATGTCTGTTCTATTTACAACTTTGTTTACATACACTTTACTGATTATTTGACTGATGACGGTAATGAAGTCCATATCAACCTTGTCATTGAGACACCACAAAAAACACATTTCACTGGTTGTGCTATATGAATCTGCATAAGAGTGCACTATCTTGTCTGCTATACTACAACTCTTGCCCCCCCCCCCCCCCCCCCCCCCCCCCACCTCTTTTATATTTAATCATGTCAAGGTTAAAAAGCTGACAAAAAAGTTAATTCTGCAACCATCACCATGTACACTACCAGATCTTCATCAACACCATTCATGTATAAATATAATAAAACCAGTTTACAAACTTGAATATTATGATCATTATTTAAACCAAGAACAAATTATGGTCCCCCGTCGAAAGAAAAACCTACCATTAATTCATCATTGGAACTGTTTGATGGTTTTAACAATTTTTGTGTTATTGTTTTACAATTAATATCAATTCATTTTTAAGTTAAGAACTAGAAGATATGCAACTCTTGGAACATTTTGATGTCTGAAAGCTTACCATAATCAAATGGATTCTACTCCATGTCAGGCTGCTTAACTTCACATTTCAGCTGATATCCTGTTTACCTAATCCATCATTTTTTTTCGTTATACATTTAGCTTGTTTTATATACTCCTTATCATGTTACTGACCCTAATACCCCACATCATATAGCTACTAAGGAAAAACAATATAGACAAAACCTGAAACAAACAATTTGTTTAGAGCTATATACCAATAAGATATATGATTATGCATTGAAGTAGCTAGGCTTTATATTCATATGAAAACGTTGTACAAGATGATTTATATATATGATGAAATATCGGATTGAGTCTCTGATTTTATATAGTCCTGTCTTTTGTGTAAAGCAACAGAAGGAAAATACAGGGAAAGAAGTGAACAAAACGTGCAGCAACGTCGTTTATGTTTACACTAACCTGTGTCTAAAAGAATAGAGACTGTCCGCTACTTGTGTGACCTTGACCCTGAACACTGCCGAGAACAGCATCAGGCAGTCGCAAGGGTTCAGTGGAGATGGACAAAATAGCATTATACGAGCTGATAATGTTGTTGCCATGGTTACCAGCATCACATACTATGGGGTGTATGGGCTCTGAAGCCAAAAGGAAAACCAAAAAATAGTTCACCCTTCTATAAATATATAGCTTATCGTCTGCAAGAAACACTGGTACCATTTTGTAGTCACCATTAAATCTTCAGTTAACTACACCTATGATTTTTGTACCAAGGCTGAAACGATACGCCTACCTCACAATATGATGCATATTGTGGTCATAATGCTACAGTAGGATATATAGCATGATACATAAATCTGCTAAAAACCTCAAATTTATAGTGTTTAAGTGAAGGATATATAATTTCAATATTGTCAAAGTTTGTGATAAAGCCAAGCAAAACCATTTGATACACAATAAAGTACATATCGATCACATTATGACACGATTTGATGTATTGTTTCAGCCCTCAATTTTACCAGAACTTTTTCCAGAGAAAATTACTGTTTAAATGGCTTGACGATTCTGTTGATAGCCTAATATGACTATTCCATTGCAATTAATACCCCATCTATGATGTCAAAATAAAATCACTTCTGTTCAGATCAAATATTGAAAAATCAAGCACCTATGTTTCTAAAAAAATATCTCTTATGTCCAGGTTTTACATGTATTTTACATGCTGCCAACTAAGTGGCAATATATATATACATGTATTGTGATTTGAAATTAATTTATAACAAGTTTTGGTGCATTACTTGCCTCTTGTGTTGTGGTGAATTAATATTGATCTAGGGGAGGTTATATATGTATTTATACATTATCATATTTTGTAAACCTTATCTCATTTAATTAAAAACAAAAAATATGATTATTAACCAAAGTGTATTTAATAAATTAATTATATACAGTGTAGAATTATTAAACAAGAATAGCTATTTCAATCATCATCACTACTTAGTTACTAAAACTGGCCAAAAAGAGTATCTTCTCTTCAAGGTCATATGATGCCAAAAAAGAATGACTTTGGTTCCAGGTCATATTATGCTAGAAACCACTAATGTTTAAGGTCAAATATAAAAAAAAAACAACACTTTCGTTGACCAATGAAGGCCTTTTTCAAAATGTGACATCAAGGGTAGGGGTATATATTTAAATGGAATTGTCATGACTTTTGTAAATCATAAAATTTCAAAGTGATGCTTTCTTAATCTGTGTTTAAAAATTCCACCAAACATTCCAAAGTAAATGTTTGAATATTAATGTTCAATGTAGCTACAAGAGATCTACCTGGACAATCTAAGAAACAAAAGTGCCTGAATGATAGACTAAATTTCTGTGAAATTATTGTATACCTTACAATTTGTATAGATCTAAACTGTAATTTCACAAGGTTTAAATCCATCTTCAATTTTTTTAACAAATTCTCACAATAACCTATATTAGATCAGGCCCATTCTATTTTTATATATATCTAAGTAACCCTTGCAAATGAAACACTTTTTCTTTTTCCAGTAAAAATATCTCTTGCTTTGAAGGGCTGATGGCAAAAACTACTCCTGGTGATACATGGAATTAAAGATATTTTCTATTTGACACAAGAATAAAACTTGACATAGTTTTCTGATATATTATCAAGACATATTTAAGTTCTTTCACTTAATTAAGAAGAGTTATTGAAAATGACCAGTAATTTAGCATCTAAATTATTTAGTACTGTTTCCCCTAATACTTACCAGCCCTTCTCATTCTCTTGAAGCATTCCTCGTCCAAGTCATCCCGTGCCCTTTTAACACCTGCTCTACAGAACATGGCAGCCTCTCCTTGTAAATAACCATCCCCCATTGACTCGGCCATATCCATATCACAGTCGTTTGTTGCCATGGTGCTGCCTTCCCCTGCAGCGCCCGGTACGATGCCCCCATTCAACCCTTGCATAGTGAAGCAAGGATCTGTTACAATTTCAGTCCGGTTTCCACCGACACCATTTGGAATCATGTTGGAACTGTTTGGATTGGTGTGGGTAACGGGCGTTCTCAGTTCACTGTACACACCCTGGGCTTGCTGCTGGATCTGGGTAGCTCTCTCCAAGTAGTTGGCACACTCATGGTATCCACACTCAGCCGCTAACTGGCTAGGGGTCTGGCTATTGTGGTTTCTGATACTGTTAGAAATATAATTCTTCATTAAAACACACTCTTTTGGAAATGACTTAATGGCATTGAAAGTATGTAAGACCTTTCTATTTTAATGGTAATTCAATGAACTTAATATGTATATATCAGTGTTTTTGTCTTCCTTAATTTTACAACAGCTTGTTTCCACATGAACTGAGAAAATAGAGGAACATTTTTGCAAAGGGTAGCAGCCTGTATTTGGCTGTAAAACTAGGTAAAATAAGTCACTGTATATTATGTTTTTGAGACTTTGTTTTAGACTTAGAACTTCTTTCCTGAGCACAACAGTGTTGCAGTATTTGTGGTTAATTATTCTAAATAAGAAATATCAAACAAGAGGCCCAGAGGTTCTGTACCGCTCACCTGTTTATTTTGTTACATGAAACAGACATATAGGTAACTTCAGACCGATTTTAAACACATTTGTGATAACTACTTTCGAGTCCCGGATATGGAAACTCTTTTCAGTTCCGTGGACTCGAAGGCATTATTTAACTATTCCTTTTTTATTTTTAATTATCTACACATACAATGCGAATGCTTTTGAAATGAACCATTTTATCTGATTTTATCTTGGCTACTCACATGTTTGTTAAAAAAATAAAATAAATAAATAAATCACCATGGCCCTAAATGACCACAGCCGTCGATGGGCCATTAAACATAAACAAACAAACAAACTTCTGAAGATATTGTTGCTTGAAATTTAAAATTTTAGTTTTAAAGCATTTAACCCATGTCAACCTTTGACTCTGGCTAGCACTTCAAGTTGACATTTGACCTCATTACTGTAATAAATAAAAAGATTCACAGCTGGTCTTCATAACATACCCAAGTCTCATGACTCTAGACCAAAAGTTTTTTACATATATATTTGACCCGTGACCTTGAAAGTCGGTCAAGGTCATTTTAATAAGGAAATTTATCGCACTCTATCCCTGGTACTTATTGGCCAAATATCATGACCCTGGGCCTTCTGGAAATTGTTAAAGCGTTTTACCCATGTTAATGTTTGACCCCCGACTAGCACTTAAAGTTGACCTTTGACCTCATTACTGTAGCTAAAGAAAATATTTGCACTGCTGGTCTTCATAACATACCTAAGTATCATGACTCTAGTCCAAATGGTTCTTAGGATATTATTGTTTAAAGTTTTTAACATATTTGACCCCTGTGACCTTGAAAGTAGGTCAAGGTCATTTTTATGAGGAAACTTTATAGCACCCCATCCCAGGTACCTACTGGTCAAATATCATGACCCTAGGTCTTCCTGTTCTTCTTCAGAAGTCGTTCAAAAGAAAAGGTTAACGGACGGACGCCGCAGTACGACATAGGCTCACATGGCCCTTCGGACCAGGTGAGCTAAAAACACACCAAAATTTCATACAGGATTGAACAGGGCCTTTCATCTCCATTTCAGAGCAAGAGGATTCCCTGTCAGTTATTATCCAATTGTATACATGTTTATGTAAATATGTGCTTTGTTGCCAAAATCTTCCTAGTGCAAGAAAATTAAACAAGTATCTGGGTTTTACCTAAGGTTGCATCCCTGTGAGACGAGTAGGCTGACACACTCCATGCTACCTGTTCTGGCAGCTTTGTGAACAGGTGTCTCACCTAGATAATCCTGGAATTATACAAACATTGTAACATTTAACCTCATATAGTTTATAATTTGTGACAGTCATAATTATGTAATTTAGCATTAATTTTAATGTTGGCTTTAAAGAATATAACATCTATGACTAATGTGTTAAAAAAAACACCCACTATACTTTCTTAGCAAGTAATATATATTAAGTACATGTATTATGTTTTTTGTTCTATTATTCAAGTAGCTAGATTTTGGAAGACTGACCTACATCAAATATAAATGAGATTATGAGGTTATGTTATTCTTAACCATGGTAAACAGCATATAATCCCACGTAGATTAACGTGTAGTGGAGGGTTGAACATCCTATTTACCAGGAATTCATTTACCAATATGAATGTCTAGTTGAATGTACCTGAACTTCAATATTAGCTCCACTTTGAATTATCCATTGAGCACAATGAGGTTGGTCTCTGAGAGACGCCAAATGCAGAGGACTCTGTCGGAAGCGTGAGGTAGCGAGGTGACAGAGTTTACCGTCATTACTTAAAGATGTCAGCTTTCTCAAACAAGCCAACTACAAGGGCAATAGAGAAAAAAGAGAAGCATATTAATGTCCGATCACAAAAAGAATTTTATTATTTTTCTAACATTTAGTAAATTTACCTGACGATCTATCATTGCTCCACAGTGTAGCAGCCATTTTAGACAATGACCCTTTCCACCAAATGCTGCAATATGTGAAGGCGTCTGATTGAAGCGATTGGTAGCCGAGTCAAAACTTGCACCATGTTCTAAAAGCCGCATCAAACAAGTCAACTAAAAATTCAAATACACTCTATTAACTGAATACAGACATACACTCTATTAACTGATACAGAAATAAATCAAACTCACATAGATGAATAGTCTGATAAAAATAATGAAAAAACATTTGTAATCCGGCCAACAATAATAGCAATAAAAAGACATTCAAAAGTATTTCAATTTTCGGACTGTTTTCCTATTAACCTCAATTCACTTATGAGAAGAGGGAGGTGTGGGGGCCTGCTTGCCCTCCCCCTGACTCGGGCCTGTGGCCCTCGGCGGAGGCCTACAGCCTCTGTGTGGCCCTGCGGCCCACATAAGACAGTACCTCCTGCTTTTCAGAAGGTACTTTCTATTAAAAAAGATAATGAAACTTCTGGCAGCCTATACTGCCTATAGCTGTCATAAATGTTTTAGTTAACTATATTCAAGTTCTTAATTTGTTCTTGAGAAAATATGAGAAATGCCATAAATCAAGATGTCAAAGGGCCTGAATAGCTGCCCTTCAAAGGTCTTCATCCAGATCAAATGAAAGAACAAAAGAGCAAGTCAAGGACAGATCAAATCTTGGTTACTGATATTCAATTTTTATCCTAATGATTATTCCAGAGGCAGGCGAGCTAAACATCTGCAAATAATGTGTTAAAATTATTTTATGGTGTAAAACAGGTATCTTGAAATGTAGAACAAAACTTGACTTAATTCATATTAATAATTTTACACAAAAAAAATCCATGCATTTTGACCAAAAAACATTATTATTAAATTGTACCATACAGAAGATGTGTTATAATTATCATATACCCAGTAGGACCTTTCTATTTATCTGTGAATTCCATTGAAAAAGTACATAACCCAACAACAAAATATCAACAGTTACAGGTAATATACAAGAATTACGCGTAATTAGATGTCTCGCCTGTCCCCGATTTGAGCACAAGATTCAATGTGTCAAGCATTTTAAGTCTGAGCAGAAGTTGGGAAGTTTACATTTTATAAACAAGTTTGGCAATACATCAACATGGAGGTATAAAAGGAACAAGTGGTAGTTGTAATGGGGGCAGGCCATTACAGATGTCCCCAACCTACTCCTGTATTCGGAAAAACAAACGCAAATAGGAGAACGGAAGTTGCAGTGCCAGATTACATGAATATACAAAATTTGAGCAAAATCAAAAGGTATGCGAATTTCTACCAATCATGCAGAAGCTAGTATACAACCACCATCTTGTCAATCAGAAAACAGATGCTGCGGTTGAGTTCACAGTGAGAAAATACATTTTCATACCAATTTTTGATGAGGGTATGCATGGACCATGTTTAATATTGGATCGTAACAAAAACAGGAGAAAGTGTGTGTCCTGTACATGCATGTTACGATCGTAACACAACTGTAAATTTATAGGTAGCCAGTTTTATGTTGTGCTAATAAAGCATGCCACAGGTTTCATCAATTCACGAAATAAAGTAATTTTGATAGATTTAGATCGCAAATCATGGTGTTCACCATGCGGTAAGATAATATTTGTTCGTTGCTGAAAGACACCATGTTTAAAATGTCGTTGTCATTACGACCATCACAAATTTACCGCCAGGAGACATCAAAAGCGGATGTCATTTTTAAATATCAATGCAAACAAACAGTGTCATACACTTTCTTGCTATTCGTGTGAGATAGCATAAATTGGTCAGTTCAAATCACGAGAAAAATTACCTAAAAGTTCAAAATACATGTACATCCCGTCACGGACGTAACATATCACCGCTGGACAGGACACGGTTGTCATTCAAGCCAGTACGCAAAATATCAAACAAGTGGGCATGGTCTATAACCCGCCAGAGGAAAAAACCCACTGCAGGCGCCATCTAGGTCGATCTATATTTAAATTTTAGGTTTTCCAGTTACTTTTATTGAGAGACAGAGACACATTTTGTTCGTATTGATTTGGATGGCAATCAGGGTGCCGATGTTCATTGCATGATTGTCTTAAGTTTAACGAAATTGACAGTAAAAGAATGCCTCCTCCTTTCTTTTTATTAGTGATTATGATGCAGTTTGTGTAAACTTCTGTATGAAACTATCATTATTTGCATAAACAAGATTTATCAGAATATGAACAGGAAAAGGGACACGAAGAGTTACGAACAAAAAGACTTCCTTCAATGTCATATTTTTCTTCATTCTGTGTGAGTATGTATGATTTTATTACTCCAGAACATGCATTGATATCTTTTATTTACATTGTATTATTCTAATTCTCTGCATAATAATAGGACACTGTGATTTATTGAAAGTTTTTTTTCTAAGCTTCGCTTCAATGTCACAATTAGGAGTAAAAAAATGCTGATTTTGATGATGATTTTTTCAGGACTTTATTTTGCTTTTGGAACTAATTCAAACATTATCTGTTTTTATCTCTTTGAGACATACTACTATGGAAAGTGTGAAATTTCACAAGTTTATTCAAATTAAGTGGCAAAGTCCGAAAAAACAGAGGTACGTACATATGTACTGTATACCCTCATCAATACTGAGTTTTTCCTCTGTATATATATATATATTTGGAGTTAAGAACTAATTACTACGAAATTTGCTATTCAAGCAAAATTATTGATACATTGCTGTATCACTTTTAAAACCAATAAGATGTCTATTTGCTTTTAAAATCCAGTTTCATATGGCATGGACACCTTTGTAGTTTGATTAATTAAGCAAGCTGCCAAAGTGAGTATTTTTATGGAATTAAAATAAAAATAAGTGTTTTGTAAAATATTATATCGTAAATAAAAAATATTTTTTAGAAAATACCCCTTGTCCAAACCTCTTTTAGACAAATCGAAAGTAGTCAAATCACGTGATAACCAAGGTTGTCTGCTATTAATAGAATAAAACTGAAAACGAGGGTAGTGACACAAAAGAAACCTGTTGACCCTCGCAACACTTATCATATAAGAATTTCAATTTCAAGCAAAATACCTACCTTCCCAAAATGGGCCGCCCAATGTACGGGTGTCCATCCATATAGACCGTCTTCTTCATATAAATTGAAATCGCCAGACGATAGCAAGTTCGACACTGTTTCTAGGTCACCGTCTCGACAAGCGTGGTGCAATGGAAATTGTGTTTTTAACAGCTCATCGGTTGAGAAAGACATATCATCGTATTCGCGATCCTCATCCATGAATGATGTCGGTGCTCGGTGGTGGGTGCCAGTCGTTGAGAAGTTACTTGTTAATGCTTGAATCGAGCGATTATTTTCACCCGCCACTGCAAATATCAACATTCGTCTTCACGCCAAAAGCCGGCTTTTCTTACAATAAGCAAAATGATATTTCAAACGAAAAGCAACGATATTGTTTGAATTTAAATGAGTGCATTCTGGTCGAAAATTTGAATAAAGTCCAGCCAGTAGTATTTAAATAAACATTCGTATACAATAAACAAATTTCACATCTGTTGCATATACATTTTGTATAACCTGGAGCCACGGTGATATTTTGAAATTTACTCCAACTACTTATTCACATCTCGTTGTCAAACGTGATTGGGCGAGAACATAATAATAAACATGCCCACATGAAGATCATTGAACCCTGGCGGAAACTGAAGTTTGTTAGCCCCGGTCTCGCCATATGTATTTTTAGCAGGTACTGAGGTGTTAATGCCACCTTTCTGGAATGTTAGTTGGCCTGCATATATAATCAGTTGACAAGAACAATTCTTATAGCTAGTTATATTTCATCATCAGGATTCATCGATGCAAATTGACAGCTTCAGTATCACAATAAACTGATAAAAGGTTCATTTGTTGTGGAAAATTTGATAATTGACCAAACTATGGAATCAGAAGTAATGAAATGTTGTCAATACTATCATTCATATTAGTCAATAAAGTGATATGAAAAATATGTTATTTAAAAGTTGAAACGTATACATCTAGTGATTGTGAATTGAATCTTTAATTTCATCAAACCTGCAAGTTACTAATTCCAACATCCTGCCTTATTTATAATATGATGCTATTGCCCCTTTATTTTGAAAACTACATAAGAAGACCAGCGCATTACAACAAGTATTGTTGAACCAAACATCTGTTATCTGACAACCTGAATTGGTTAAGCGATTATTTTTGGAGATCTATGCATTACAATTATGACACAAATTGTATTGTAATATTCCGATTAAAAAACAGTATTCTTTATTTCTTTTTAGGCCTTACAAATGCATGTGCAGTTTTTCAAGTTCCTCGTTACATGATCTTATTATGTATAGGATTATTATAAATGAGATGATAATTTAAGTTGAGCACGATGGAATTTATCAATTCTTTGCCACTTATAGTTTTCTCATGTCAAATGCCAAACTTGAATTATCGTGGCATCTCTTAATTAATAATATCCCCTAATTATCAGTAATACTTAAAAGAAATTTATATGTATGATTCAATGCTGTTTTGTATTCTGCAGTTTTATGAAGTTTAATATCCAAGCTTTATGGATAATTTTAGGTTGTGGATAATGTAATGGACATGGCCTGTCAATGACGAGGAGCTGAGTCAGGAGATGAATACAGTCCAGAGTGTAGTGTTGGGGTGTGGTGGACTGGTGTTGGCAGTCCTCTACCAGTGTGATTGCCTTTTTACCACTGCATTTGTAATCCTTCATTTAGTTGTAATTGGGGCTGGTATATTTCTTGGGACATCATGGTCACTGGTGCGAGGGAAACAGTACAAACCAACATCAGCTCCTCCCGAAGAATTGATGGTCAACACATTGATACAAAAACTGATGGTAATACAATCTATCAAGACCTGCTTGTAGATAATATGATTTTAACTTTGATTTACATAAAACATTTTCATCAAACATTTTCACCTCTTGAATTGCTCCCATGATATAATTACAGAACTATTGTGAACATCTAGATACAAACTTGTGTACATATTTTGCGATTACAAAATGTACAGTGTATGTTATTGTGGTTTATTATAAATTGCAAGGAACCATTGAAAAATAGATATATTTACAAATTTCTCTTTTGATACCTTGAAAATTTCAAGGAAGCTAAATTTTATTAACTGGTACATACATGTATATAAACGTGTGAAAGGTTCATGATGAATGTCCTTCATCTTTTAACTGTACCAAAATCTGATGTCATTCATGCTTGCTTGACAAAACTTATGACTCGTGTACATATGGATGGTATAAAAGCTTTGTTATACAGGCCATATAAGTTACTGGTACATTGCATTGGTAAATGTCACTATAATGTTAGGGATTATGTTTAACAGGAAAGAAAAGCGGACAAGAGAGGGGAGCCAAAAAAAGTTGTGGTATCAAGGAACATTGACCTTGCCCTACAGGAGGTTATTGATTTGGCTCTGCGAGATTTCGTTCTCACCTGGTATGAAGACCTGTCTAGAGACCAGGAATCTCTGCTAACTGCTGTCAAGTAAGTACAACTATTCAGCCAAGGTCTGGAGACTGCAGTTCTCTTTGCTATATCAAGTTGTCATGGAGCAGGACTACTTTAGGGACAGGGAACACTTAAACGATTTTTTGGTTGAAATTGTTTTATACAAAAACATTTACCAGGTATTCTTTCTCACTTTTTGTGAAGGAGCATGTGACTTCATAATTGGGAAAATTGTGCCGCAGCAATCCGAGTTAGCAATTTTCAGAATTATACTGAAACGCCCTTCTTGACAAATATATTGTTTCTTATTAGATGTTGCATCATTCTCTAAACAAATGGGAAATTTTGAAGAATTATTGTGAAATAAACGCAATTGCTTTCCATTAGGAAAGGGACAGAAATTTGTCCCCCAAACCTTTACTATGTAGTGTTACTGTTACTGTAATGGGGTTCTCAGTTTGTATTTCGTTACTAGACGTCACAATACAGTGTGTGTGTGTGAGATATGTATTTGTATGTTTCTGTAAGGTTGTCAGTATTTGAAAAATAATTCCTGCACGAAAAAAAATCTAGATTATACAGGTATTAAAGGACACATGTTTTAAGTGCAGGTGTAATTTGTTTTATGCAAATTAAACATTGAGAATTTTTTTTACTCGACTTATTTGAAAAAAAGGCATAAGAGCAGTATTGTTGATGCTGCAGGCTGTGTAAGTGTTTTGATTGTGGTGTCTATTAACATAGTGCCTGCATGCTTTTTTAAGTGTAATACAATGTACCAGGGGTTTTCTTGTTAACAGGGGTGATGTGTGGATCCTGATCAAACGACTCAGCACCAGGTTATCTAAGGTAGACACCATGAAGATAATTACACAGGATGTGGTGGATAAACTTCACGCTCACTTCACAGAGATACGGCTTGCAGCCAAGAGGTTAGTATACAGAGAAACACTTAGATACCTTATAAAAATACCACAATGATGTCAGGTGGCACACTGGATGGTGCACTCGCCTTTCGGAGTGAAACATCTACCACATAAGAATTTTTCTGAGTATTCCGGCAGTTTTTCTGAGTACTACGCTTTCCTCCCATATTCAGAACCCCTGCACACTTCCATCTAGGCCAACAAGAGTGATTAATTGAGTTTGAAAAACTTGTTAGTAATTTCTGCAAAATAAGTTAGGCTTATTTAATTATAAAATAGTAACACACAAAGCCTGTGGGTCTGAAAAAATAGGATGATGTTGTTTGATGTACATCAACTTCTGCAGGTGATATGATATTGTGAGATATCAAGTTGATAAAAATGGATTATATTTTCATTTGACACTTTTAAAATCTGTAAATAAAAGTAACAAAATGATTTTGTGTTACTGTATAGCGGTTATATTTCTCGGGGTTTTTATTTTTTGCTATATTCGTGCTTTGACTCATATCGGCGAATTCTAAACACCAGCGAAATTATCGAAAATGTTAACCACTTTGACACCTTATCACAACATGTTGAAAATACTTATAATTATAACCCAACGCTGTTATGCAAGCTTAATGAAATCAAATCAGATTATCACTGGACAACTGGCCAGTCCATGGTAAAGCAACAGTTACACATAAGTGGCCACAACCTATGTATGTGTACACAGTCGGTGATTAACTGATTACGGTTTACTCCTACAAAGGTACATACGCATTTGATTTTCTGGCGAGTGAAGTGACTGGGGATTGATGATGCTCAGGATCAGTGTTTTCAAACGGTTAACCTGTATTTTGTGGTTTAACCCTTAACTGAGGACACTCAAAATACTTTGCATGACACATGGGATTTGGGTGCACAGTAAAATATATGTAGCCCGCAAATTTAAAGCGCTATACAGTATTATAATTATGTAGTGGTATTGAGTTATTATGGTAATATTTGACAGCGGTAGTGACAGCAGTGTTGGGGATGGGAAAGCATTCAATCTACACCCCTGGTTGGCTAGTGAGGCATCAGAGCGTGAGTTCCTGAGCCAGCTGTGTGAGGTACTACTTCTCATTTTCCTCCCCGACTCCTACCATGGCTGTACCACGATACGACATATCCTCCGCGAAATCATCACTTCCTCAGGTATCTGAATAAATGTTGTCTTGGTCTCAAATCCATAAAAACGCTTTTGTCCTGAAATTATTTTAAGTAGTAAGAAGCTTTCAAAATGATCAAAATGTTTTTGTGTTTACAAAAAAAGACCATACAATTGGCTCTTAGCTTGGTAGATTTGTTAAGTGTCTGTATGTCTCTCGGAATCATTGCTTTAGCTGACAATGTGGTGTCTGTGTAACTTATGTCTGTGTTATCACTGGTATTGTGAAGTCTTGTGTGTCTGATGCTAGTACTTACAGCTAGTAATTTTAGTGTTTTTGTGACTCTAATAATGGTATTACAGCCAATGGTGTCGGTAAATGATCATGATACTGATATAGTCTGTAGTTACAAGTGTTTATATAACTCTGATAACAGGATTGCAGCCAATGGTGTTGGTAAATGATCATGATAATGATATAGTCTGTAGTTACAAGTGTTTATATAACCCTGATAACAGGATTGCAGCCAATGGTGGACATGGTGTGTGACCCAGACTACATCAATGAGAAGCTCATTGCTTACATTGATTACCGGCGCCAGGTCTCAGAGGACACTAGACGTACCTACTTGTACGCTGCTAACTATGAAGACTTTGTCAAGATGATTGGCAAATGTGAAGACATTGAGCATTTAAAGCAAATCAGGTACGCTTCTCTGGTTATTTACTCATTTGACCCAATTCTTAATTCAGGATTTAATTCAAAGTAATTCCTACAGTGTGGACAAGTTTAGGTTGTCAAATTTTCGGAGCAATCCGCTCCTTCTTCAAGACACAGTGAAACAGAACAGTTACATGTACATATACATCATATTATAAGAAGATAGAACTGATATACTTTAATTGAAAATATAGCTATTATATAAAACCAATAGTCCTCTCGGCTAAAGACAGCCGAAGGCAGCAATTAAGCTGAGAGCATCGCGGACAAGGAACGCTGATGTAGAGGACATAGCTATATTTTCAATTATAGTATATCAATTCTATCTTCTTGTATATGATTGCTACGAAAATTTGACAACCTAAACTTGTCCACACTGTTGGAATTACTTCCTTAAGTAATTCGTATCCTACGGACATACCTCCATTAGGATCCAGTGTTATATGGGATTTTACCTTCTATATTACTTCTTTGACCCTTACATTGTTTATAGATATAGATCAATTACACCAGGACATTGTGTCAGTATTTTTTATGTTAATGTTATGTTAATATCTCAACATAAAATATTCCACCTTTGGAGTACATTGCATGTCCTGATTATTTCAGATACAACATTATAACAGAAATTATACAGGCTACTACTATCAAGAACCTACAGCAGGAACAGGCTGGTACAGGTAAATCTGGCTGGTACACAGAGCTGGTACAGGTAAATCTGGCTGGTACACAGCTGGTACAGGTAAATCTGGCTGGTACACAGAGCTGGTACAGGTAAATCTGGCTGGTACACAGAGCTGGTACATGTAAATCTGGCTGGTACACAGAGCTGGTACAGGTAAATCTGGCTATTACACAGCTGGTACAGGTAAATCTGGCTGGTACACAGAGCTGGTACAGGTAAATCTGGCTGGTACACAGAGCTGGTACAGATAAATCTGACTGGTACACAGAGCTGGTACCGGTAAGTCCTGCTGGATATACAGAGCTGGTACAGGTATTTCTGGCTGGTACAGATAAAACTGGCTGGTAATCAGAGCTGGTACAGGTAAGTCTGGTTGGTACTCAGAACCGGTATTGGTATTGCTAACATATGTTGTCACTGACGGGTACACAGAGCTGGTACAGGTTAAACTGGTAAACAGAAAATCTCTTACCCCTTCTGTGATGATATAACAAAATATTTTTAAATCAGTGATGGTATAAAAACAGGACTTGGGAACTTTATTCGACCAAAAATGTGTAACCCATCAAAACTGATGATTCCAATCTTTTGGGAAGGAAAGGAAATGCAATATTTATATAATTCAACATGCATGGTGGATGTCCCAAAGACAGATACAATGATATCAAAATTACACTTGTTGTCAAATTGTGCTTGATATTTCATGTTGATAAAATTGAATAGACATTAGGTCTATCATACTGGCGTTTTGCATAGACCGTCACGTCTTCACATATAGCCAACGTCTATCAGTCTACCATTGCTTGTTACTTTCACACACTGTAATGATACAGACTTAGCACTTTGCAATGGCGACATTCAGGCACTGTTTAATTTGAATACCACAATATGTAGAGACCCACATCAGTAGATCATAAGTGTTTTTTTAAGAGCTTCCAACAACTGAACAGTTTCTGGGACTGTATTGTCTTCACTGTATATTACTGTTCTCAACATCTTGTATCAATTGTATTTATTTACACTGTATTTTGCATTTCTAGGGAAACCTGGGTCACCAAAAGGCATGGCTAAGGGAGAGTTGTTAAAATCCAGAAACTTGAAAAGATATATTAATCAGGTAAATATGAATGTCACATTCTGTACAGAAAATTACAGTTATAATTAGTACTGCTCATTACTGAAAGGACTGACTGTCACTGCTGGTGTTACGATTGGAAGTCTGTATGATACTGCTGGTGTAACTATTTCAATAGAAATAAGTATGACACTGCTGGTGTGATTACCTGGAATAAGAAAAAAAAGTTTGTATGACACTACTGGTGTTACTATTAAATGTCTATGACACTGCTGATGTTACTACAATAAGTTTGTATGACACTGCTGATGTTACTACAATATGGTTGTATGACATTGCTGATGTTACTACAATCAGTTTGGATGACACTGCTGATGTTACTACAATAATTGTGTATGGCACTTCTGGCATGACTATTAGATGTCTATGACACTGCTGATGTTACTACAATATGGTTGTATGACATTGCTGATGTTACTACAATCAGTTTGGATGACACTGCTGATGTTACTACAATAATTGTGTATGGCACTTCTGGCATGACTATTAGATGTCTATGACACTGCTGATGTTACTACAATAATTGTGTATGGCACTTCTGGCATGACTATTAGATGTCTATGACACTGCTGATGTTACTACAATAATTGTGTATGGCACTTCTGGCATTTCTATTAGATGTCTATGACACTGTTGTTGTTACTGTAAGAAACTTTTATGACACTGCTGATGTTACTACAATATGTCTGTATGACACTGCTGATGTTACTACAATGATTGTGTATGGCACTTCTGGCATTACTTTTAGATGTCTATGACACTGTTGTTGTTACTATAAGAACCTTTTATGACACTGCTCATGTTACTACAATAAGTTTGTATGACATTGCTGATGTTACTAAAATATGTTTGTATGACATTGCTGATATTACTACAATAAGTTTTTATGGCACTGCTGATGTTACTACAATATGTTTGTAAGATATTGCTGATGTTACTACAATAAGTATGTATGACATTGCTGATGTTACTACAATACGTTTGTATGACATTGCTGATGTTACTAAAATATGTTTGTATGACATTGCTGATATTACTACAATAAGTTTTTATGACACTGATGATGTTACTACAATAACTTTGTATGACATTGCTGATGTTGCTACAATATGTTTGTATGACATTGCTGATATTACTACAATAAGTTTTTATGGCACTGCTGATGTTACTACAATATGTTTTTATGATACTGCTGGTGTTACTATTAGAAGTCTATGACACTGTTGTTGTTACTACAATAAGTTTGTATGGCACTGCTGATGTTACTACAATAACTTTGTATGACATTGCTGATGTTGCTACAATATGTTTGTATGACATTGCTGATATTACTACAATAAGTTTTTATGACACTGCTGATGTTACTACAATAACTTTGTATGACATTGCTGATGTTACTACAATATGTTTGTATGACATTGCTGATGTTACTACAATCAGTTTGTATGACACTGCTGATGTTACTACAATATGTTTTTATGATACTGCTGGTGTTACTATTAGAAGTCTATGACACTGTTGTTGTTACTACAATAAGTTTGTGTGACATTGCTGATGTTACGACAATATGTTTGTATGACATTGCTGATGTTACTACAATATGTTTGTATGACATTGCTGATAATACTACAATAAGTTTGTATGACACTGCTGATGTTACTACAATAAGTTTGTATGACACTGCTGATGTTACTACAATAAGTTTGTATGACACTGCTGATGTTACTACAATATGTTTGTATGACACTGCTGGTGTTACTATAAGAAGTTTGTATGACACTTTTGGCATGACTATTAGATGTCTATGACACTGCTGATGTTACTACAATGAGTTTTTATGACACTGCTGATGTTACTACAATAAGTTTGTATGACACTGCTGATGTTACTACAATATGTTTGTATGACACTGTTGGTGTTACTATTAGAAGTTTGTATGACACTTTTGGAATGACTATTAGATGTCTATGACACTGCCGATGTTACTACAATAAGTTTGTAGGACATTGCTGATGTTACTACAATAACTTTGTATGACATTGCTGATGTGACTACAATATGTTTGTATGACACTGTTGGTGTTACTATTAGAAGTTTGTATGACACTTTTGTCATGACTATTAGATGTCTATGACACTGTTGTTACTACAATAAGTTTGTGTGACATTGCTGATGTTACGACAATATGTTTGTATGACATTGCTGATATTAATACAATAAGTTTGTATGACCCTGCTGATGTTACTACAATATGCTTGTATGACACTGCTGGTGTTACTACAATAAGTTTGTATTACACTGCTGATGTTACTACAATAACTTTGTATGACATTGCTGATGTAACTACAATATGTTTGTATGACACTGCTGGTGTTACTACAATAAGTTTGTATTACACTGCTGATGTTACTACAAAAAGTATGTATGACACTGCTGATGTTACCACAATAAGTTTGTATGACACTGTTGGTGTTACTATTAGAAGTTTGTATGACACTTTTGGAATGACTATTAGATGTCTATGACACTGCCGATGTTACTACAATAAGTTTGTATTACACTGCTGATGTTACTACAAAAAGTATGTATGACACTGCTGATGTTACTACAATATGTTTGTATGACACTGTTGGTGTTACTATTAGAAGTTTGTATGACACTTTTGGCATGACTATTAGATGTCTATGACACTGTTGTTACTACAATAAGTTTGTTTGACACTTCTGGCATAACTATATGATGTGTATGACATTGCAGATGTCACTATAAGAACTTTGTATGACTTGCCTAATGTTATTCTCTAACACTGCTAATGGTCATGTTTTAGCTGACCGTGGCTAAGTCAAAGTGTGAGAAGAGGATCCGCTCCCTAGGCGGTCCAGACTACAAGTACTACACAGACAATGCTGATGGTGACAGTCAGGTCGAGAAGGTTTGTATTTACATACTGTGACTTCGTTTCATCATGAGTAACACAAAACCCATTTTCAAAGTTGTAAGTGTCAGTTTAAAAGCCACATTGATCATAGGTTTCTAAATTATACAAAGATATATTTATTTAATATTTTCTCTTCTATCCTTTTTGTTGAAAGCTTTAACAAACAATGTTTGTCACAGTGTGTTAGTTACAGTAATGGATATGCACATTCCTAAGATAAATATATAAACAATATACAGTTAGTTCCCAATATTAAATTAAAGCTATCATTAATCTTCAACCAGTATGTAGGATGTCAGAATTCCCTTCTGATATTTAATTAATCTTTTATTAGTATTCAGAATTGTTTCACAATCCAATAACTTTAGAGCTATTATTGTTAGCTATAAACACACTGTATATTGGAGAGCAGGAAAGCACTTTTTTCCATATTAAAAGATTCATCGGTCTTAAGCAATGAATTGAGACAAAAATATAAGAAGAAAAAAATAGGAAGAAATCTAATTAATCTATTTCAGGTGATGACTTTTAGCGAAGTGATGGATTCTCCCTTGGCTAGACAAGAGCTCTTCAAGTTCCTCAAACGAGATGATAATGAGTCCTTATTAGGGTATGAAATTTGAATAATCAAGTCGCTATTAAAAATTTAACATGGTTGATAAGATTATGTTTGATGTTAAAGATTTATATATACGTTACCTGGCATGATGTTATATGGTGTATATACAGCGAGTGATTATCGATTAAGATGTTAAATATAACTTACAAACTTCAGCTACAGTCAAATCTATATTAAGAGAAGTGAAGACCACCCAAAACATATTTTTGTATTACATGTCAATTTCTAGGGTTGCTTTCCCACAAGTGTATTGCTTTGGGTTCACTGGTGTTAGAGAAGACAATTTGTTCCCCACTCTCAATATTCAGGAGCAGAATTAACCTGCATGTCTTCCAAAAGCACTTGATTTACAAAAAGAATCATGATAGAAAAATCTAAATAAAACTGGCATGATCAGTAGTTTAAAACCTATTTGGATCTCCTGTTGAAAATATAACTACATGTATTGTACTGATTCAGAAAAAAGGAGACAATTGAGACAGAATTGTCTAACATTTCAAAGAGGCGCATATTTCTTACTTTTGTTTTATCCAGATTTTGGAATGCTGTTGAGAAGCTCCGATCTGCTGACAAGGTAAGAAATGAACCTAGATAATAATGGTTACTGGTGAACATCATTTCAAACCTATATGATAATGGCTGATTCAGTGATCTCAAATATATTCCAAATCTAAAGTGTAGATTGTTTTTTTTTGGCAATTCATTATCATGTTTTATATTAAATGTTTTGGTTGTATTATAAATGCTATCAGAAAGGCTACTGGAATATGTCTTGTGTCATTTTAAAGAAAGTCTAGAAAGTATTTCTTGTTAGTTTATTGAACATCAAGGGCTGTACTTGAAAGCATATTAATTTTGCCATAAGATGATGACTTGTTAACAGAAACATTTTACCTAAGAATTTTATCCTGCTGTGACAGAGATATACAGAGAAAGTTACAAGAATAAGTGGTGTTTTAATTCTTAAGATAATTTAGATATCGCCTAAGACTAGGATATGCATGTATGTGTCTGCCACCTGCTCAGTTTTAGTTAAATTATGGTAATTGAAATTGCTGAGTTACTATACCCCAATATTTTAAACTGGTACTCTTTGTCTCTTAGTCTCAAACAACGTCCTACAATAAAATCTAGAGCTGATACAAATTGCTGAGTAACTATACCCCAATATTTTAAACTGGTACTCTTGGTCTCTTAGTCTCAAACAATGTCCTACAATAAAGTCTAGACCTGATACAAATTGCTGAGTAACTATACCCCAATATTTTAAACTGGTACTCTTGGTCTCTTAGTCTCAAACAACATCCTACAATAAAGTCTAGAGCTGATACAAATTGCTGCATTGTTGAATTTGTGGTTGAATCCTTTCCTGATCATGAAGAGTACAAAATAACACTGCCATGAAAATAACCTGGCCTACAGTACACAGAAATTATACAGAGGCTCTGTATAATTACTGTGTTCTGATAGAGGATGTAGTTGGTACTGATTTCTAACAGTAGAACATTTCGTATGAAGTAATAGATATTAGTTTTAATTGGTTGATTGTTACCACAGAGACAATACCACCAGCTTGGCAGCGATATCTTCTACCAGTACATCTCCAGTTCCACCACTGTGGTCAAAACTGACCGGTCACTTGTCAAAACTATGGAGACCTTCCTCAAGGGGGACACAGTAAGTACCTATCCAGTGTAGTGTCGATAGTGTCAACTTCATTTACACTTGTTTATTGTAAAATGAAAAATAAGACATTTCTTTAAAAATTAGACAAAATAATTTATAAGTAGTGATATTTACTCAAGAAGGGGCTGATTTTTAAGGGTCTTTAGATTAGAAGGATTCACATGGTGCAATTTAAAGTAAAATTTAATGGTCCATAGTCAATGAAGATTAGAATTTACACTCAAGAAGGAACTGAAGGAAAACATGTGTACATAACAATAGTTCTGTAGAATACTAATTATAGGATTAAAATTGTCGAAACAAGACAAGATATTGCCAAATTCAAGCTCTGAAATCTAATATTTGAAGATATTAACTTAAGTATTCACCTTTTTTTTGTGACAGAATTTACAGGTGGTACCACAAAGTCCTGTAATTACCTGTACCAGTACAAGTATTTCAGATAACATTATTCAGTCGGGTCTTAAATGTAGTTGATTCTTTGTTTGTGTCCACAATCAGGGCCCAGATGCTTTCTATGAAGCTCAGGACCAAGTTTATCAGGTGCTTCAGAAAGATCACTACCCTTCTTTCCTTGTGAGTGACATCTATTACCGATTTATAATAAGTGACGATGATGAACGTATGGAGGCAGCTTCTGTATCCTCTAAAGGTGAGGCCATAATATCATGTAATATTTAATGTTGATGGTCACGAGGCAGCTTCTGTACCCTCTAAAAGTGAGACCAAAATATCATGTAATATTTAATGTTGATGGTCCAGAGGCTGTTTTTGTATCCACTAAAGCATCTTGTATTAAATGCATGTAGGCTGTTCCTGTAGACTTAATAATATGCAAATCTGGCCCATAGGATAACATTCAGCCTTTCACCAAAATGGCCAGGATCAATTAGCGAAGTTGTTGTTGCCCAGATTTTCTGGAGTTAAGTTTCCTCCTTCCCACAATATAGGAGGCACTGAAGTCTAGTTGTAGGATACCTGGCTTGCGACCCAAGGGTTGCTGGTTGGAGTCACGTCACGGCACTGTGTTGTATCTGAACAAGATACTTTACTCCGCTTGTTCCAATCTACTCAGCTGTAAATGAGTACATGGTTTGGCAGTGCTAGAGTTGTAGAATGCTAGCTGTGAGCGCCGAAATGGCAGCACCGGCTGTATGCTCCCCAGGGAGTTGAGAAAGATATTGGCTGGCTGCAAAGGCCCTATAACCATGGATAATAATTTGTGAACCGCTTTGAGATGACCTACAAACTAAGTTGTGATAAAGCGGTTTATCATCTATATACTACTTTATACCACCTACTGGTAGCATGATAAATTTATTATCGTGGGTTGTCCGTATGAAAAAAGTTGATAACAACTTGAGAAAAGATTTTCCCATTTCCCAGCATATGGGAACGTATTTTCTCAAAAAAGAATGCTGCTCGCACCGGATGATGTCCTAACCAGAAATAGTATCCACACAAAAGTGATCCATGTAAGAAAATTATCTGTCATAAACATATCAATGAAAATTTACGAAAAAATACTGTGAGAAAAACAACACCATTTTAAGCATAAGTGTGCATATGGAAAAGCCAATGACGAAAAGACTGTTTTAAAAATCTTTTTAAGGTTCATTGTATTTTGTTGCGCAAATCTTTCATTTGTTAACGTTTGTCACAGACCGAGGATTTGCGATCAATGACCATTGAGCCTAGAAGTCGTTTGGAAAATATGGTGTTTAGTTGACTTTTTAAAAATGAAGAATTACATAAGGTGGTAGTATATAAATGATAAATACGTTATCACACAGTATTTTTAGGGTTTGTTGTGAGAACAATTTTCTCATCATGAGCATGTGGATAAAGTCTCGAGTCCACCGATCGCGATAAGAAAATGTTCGAACGACAAACTCTGAAAACAAAGTGTGATAATCAATAAATATAAAAACCTGAAATTATTATTAATAACTAATACTCAAATAACCAGTGTGGAATCTAGAGTGGATGTACAGTGTCTGTGCTGTAACATTTAAGTTAGATGGCACTATGGAAAAATGGAACACCTAGTATATACCTCCAGCACATATACACAATAATGTGGAGGTATGAAATTAGTGCCATAGGACCAGTAGTTAGTGGCTGATAAGGCAGCTCCTGCATAATTATCAAATTATATTGATTGTATGAATGGTATATCTGTGTATTATTAAGTGCCCTAGAGTGGCTTATTCTCGCTTGATAGGACACTATATCAAATGCTGCATATTGTACTAAACCTCTAAATGTGAGGCATTCTGTGAATGAATTCATATAATCAAAACTTATCTATCAGTGATATGTGACATTGTTATACATATATAAAAAAAAATGTACTACATATGTGTTTTAATTTTAAAACAGACCAGTTCTTTTTTGGACCCACTGAAAGTTTCCTGGAACCAGAAGATGAGGACGACTCTGAAAATGGAGATCTGTTTGCTAGTGAGTCATACGCAGCTCAGCAAAGACTGGAAACGCTGGATGAAAAGATCCGCAACAAGACACAAGCCATTCAGGCTGTGAAAACATCAAAGAAAACCGACGATGCAAAGGTGAGGCCTATTATTATCTCCCTTTAAATGAGTGTCCTACAGTGGAAGATGATGAAATTTTTTGTTATCACAGAGGATGCAAGGGTGAAATTTAATGCAAATTTACACTGATGTTGGAGTCTTTTAGTGTTTTTGTCTTATTTCAATTTTATTGTTTAAGTTAGGGTCATTCCTAATTAATTGTACCGGAGAGATGGGAGGTAACCATTAATATACAATGTATGATCTGCATAGGTGTCCTTATATTAGATCACTATTCAGATTTTATGGGTGGTGGGGTCTCTAAAACAGTTCCTCCCACCTTCCCCTATGGTTTATTCTGGAACAGCCCTTACCAACAATCTTGTTTTTTTTATGTTTTTTTTTAGGTCTACATTAAAAGAATGATATGTAATATATTACATCTGATAATAACTCTGTGAAAAAGTTGTAGCAATATGTTGTTATTGTAGAAAACTAAGACAGCCATTTACGATCAGTCAAATCATCTAGCGTAGAATTACTACTGTGAAACCCTGTTTAACCAGATTCTTCTCTACCCAACAAAATCTCAGTTACAACAACTGTGCAGATAAACAAAACAGATTTTGCCTCATGAAAACTTTAAATACTGGTATCACATTAAAATCAGTGTTCTGATGTTAAATTTTCAAGATAATTCTGAGGATTGGATGTTGAGGTTATACTAAACATGAAACTTCGGACATTTAACACCCCATATCGTCACCTTAATAGATTTTCAGAAAATGAAGTGTTCTTTTTTCTTTTAAAAACAAAAATATTGTCATTCAGCAATAAATATAATAAAAAAAACAACATTGAATGTTAGAACATATGATAAAATACAGTTGAGGGACATAATATTACAGCGTTTTCTTATTTTGACAGATTGGTAAAGTAGAGAAGGATATGGAGAAGGAGAGAGAGAACTTAATGAATGAGAAGAAACAACTGGAGGCTCATATCCTCCGCATGCAGAAGTGGTGTGAGAACCAGGGCAAGTGGCGAGCCCATGTGTACGAAACGGAGGTGAGAAACAGTACAGTATATAGTGTATCCTGTCTTTGAAAAATCTATAGGTCAAGTTTACGTCTGTGAAAAAGAACTGTCATATATATATTACCGTAGAATACATACATTGGTGAAAGTTATAGGGTATTAAATATTCAATATTTAACAGCAGTTTAGGAATTCTAAGGACATGCATGTTCAATACTCGTGGTATGAGTGATTAAAGTAGGGGAAAATGTAGTTATATTTCTGTTTTAACTCTGTGATTATGTGAACAAAAAGAAACTGCCTTTATAGATAATTATGCATTTCCATAAAATCGGTCCCTGTAGACATTTGAGGAGGGAGAGAAGAAGACACCAGTGTTTGTTCTGATCATACACCTGGTGGGGGCCGGTATGAGTCAAAACCTCCAGAAGAGTAGTCATGGATGGGTTGTCTCCCGTACACTGCCGGAATTTCACAAGATGCATAGACAGCTCATACAGGTAATTATTATTCATTATCATTAATTGTGTAGGTGTATGTCGGTAGTCCATTTTCAGTTACCCTCTAGAATCAAACAGTTTACTCCTCTAAAATCTACCAATAACTTTCTAGGGTTGACCTGCCGTTAACCCCCTAGGATCAACCAGTAACTCTGTAAAATTAACATGTAATTAACTCACTCAAATTAACTGTCAACTCCTCGAAAATTAACTGGTTACTGTTGAGAGTAAATTAACAATCCTTAAGAATCAACCAGTAACGCTCTAAAATCTAATGGTAACCATCAAGAATCAAACTATTAATTAAATCTCCAGGCCCCGGGTTAGAAAAAAAAATAAAAATGAAAATAAGTACAATAAATCAAGAACATATATGATATCATTTCACTGCAATTATTGGCAATTACCTGGTATTCGATTTTTTTCACTTCCCACTTGTTAGAGATAACCAACTTTTGAGCAACTGGGACCAGAACTTAGGTGTTAACCTACAGAAATGATTTGACACCCTCTCTTGTAACATCATACATTTATAAGCTACTGTTGTATATTGCAAGCAGCATTACATAACACCCCAATGCCATTTTTAACACACGTGTTAGGTAACCCAGTAAACCCGGTGTAGCTTAATGCAGTATTGCATGTACGACACTAATGCCACCACTTTCATTATATTTACTTATCATGAACACCTATTTGTACACAGATTGGATCTTGGTTGAAGAAGAAGGACCTGCCTACCATAGGAAGGTTCACAACAGTAGATGACAAGTTTATACAGGAGAGCAAAGTGGCCATCAATGAATATCTCAGTGTAAGTCATCATTATTAAGTGATCTAGGAGTGGATAATCTTCAGAAGATGTAGATTTCTAATGAATTCTTGATGATATTCCTTGAAAACACCATCTCAGGATTGTTGGTTCTCTCTTCTCTTTATTTTCAGTTTCTTGTTCCAGTATTTCTTGAAGCTGAATTCTCGGTCTTCTCAATTTTGACAAAACTTTACCTGTAATTCTTGTACCTCAAGACCTGAAATAGGATGAAAGTGATTGACGTTTCTGTATTTGATCATGAGTTATACTCCCTTTTCTGTGGTGTCTCTCAGCGCACCTGTATTCTTATGACCTTATATGTTGGACCCAAACAAGACAGCATATGGTAATCGCTAATCAGTGTAACTTAATTGATATAAGTAAGCATGTATTGAATAATGTCTTTGCTCCGATGTGATTCCAGGCAGTGATAAAGGATGAGCGGATGGCTCAGAGTGAGGTTCTGTGCCGATTCCTGACCCCGACACCTGACTACCTTAAACAACAGGAGACCGCAGCAAAAAAGAATACATTCTTCCTTGGCAGTTTGCTCAAAAGGTATTGTCTACAAGTATGTTTGGATGTAAAGTACAGTTGTAGAACCTGTTTAGAGAAACTTTCTTATTAGCAATCATTATGTGTTATCGTCAGCTTCTTCTATTCTTTTATTTTGTTGTCATATACCAATGTCATGATTAGACATTAAACCAGTTAAACAATCAATTTTATTTTATTGTTTTCACGAAGATGTCATTGTTCTTGATGTCAGTTGATGAATTACAACGCAGCACGCTGATGTCAAAACTTGTTTTCTATATAATCCTATTTCACACGAATCATAAAACATGAATTGTTGAATTGTTATCTTTTATAAGTTGACCCTTTATTACTACCTATTATGAAGTACTGGATATGTAGAACAGTCTTTAAAAAGAGGGTGATCCCATACTTGAATGACGTTTCGAGACAAAAAAAAATATCTGCAAAAGATTTGGATGATTTCACAGAAACTGACTTTGAATTATTGGTCTGAGGTACACTCAGGAAAACGTTTGTAAAATGAATATTATTTCATTGCAATGTTGTTATTTTCTAATTTAAGCCTTCCTAAAATTGGCCAGGAATCCCACGAGAATGAGGATGAACTGCTGTTTTCTGTGGAAGATAGGTATACAGTAAATAACTACCATTTTGTTTTGTTACTGTAATAAAGTGTATCAGTGTCCTTGTATACATGATATGCACACATATCTTACAGTATAAAGAGTACTCCAGATTTAACCAAAGGTGAGGGGCGGGAGGCACTTTTTTAGAGACCCCTTCACCCATAAAATCTTACCGTTTAACTAACACTGCATATACATACACATATTTTTATTTTGAAATGAATGCAAACACATAATGTATATCATTTGTAGCTTTAAGACATTATAAGTTAATAAAAAAATATTATTTGTACAATTCACTGAGTTGTAACACAATCTGGGATGCAGAGTATGGGCACATTTGGTCGTTACATGTTTAGATCGGGGCGCCTCCCACCTGAGTGGACTGGTTTGTGGGAACCATTTTATCTGTCAGTGTATTCAAACATTTAATGTCGTGTTTCGTTGTGTCGTGTATGAATTTGTAAAATTATCAAGTTTATGTAGCAGTGGTAATTGAAATCTGAATTGACCGCCATGATGGAAACTTCCGCCTCTCTTCTGATATAGGTCAGAATTCTATATATGAGCGCCATGACCAAACATTGAAAGTGAAGTAAATATGGTGACACAAGTATTAATACCATATTTGGTGATGTAGGCCATATAAATTAACAGGAATTGAGAAAACATCACGCGTGATCTGGCATGGCGGTAGTTGTTTGATTTCAGTACAGTTCAGTTATTTCAACGATCATGCATTATTTGCTAATATTATACTCATGTTAGGCGTTAGTTATAAGAAATATATAGATTGAAAACTTCTTATTTCACTCAATCCGCCAGTATCGGATCAATTTGTATCTCTGATGACGTATAACAAACCGTCTCAATGTCAGAAGCTATGTTTCGCAGTGTGCTCATAGCAGTAAAATTACGAAAATGAAATATAAAATGTACAAACAACAACCACAAAACACATAAAAGCATTTGAGGTGAGTAGTGTTTACTATGTAAACTCGGGGTAATGCTCACGTTCACCTGTACAGGTATCACTGAATCATTAATGATAATATTTGATTGACCAATTATCAGACCAAAACGTAAACAATGGGGGTATTGTCTGTGGATAAAACAGTTTTGCATTTGAAATTGGTTGGCGGATGGCGATATGCAGGGGATGGCGGTATGCAGGGGAAGGCGGTATGCAGGGGATGGCGTTATTAACGGGGGGTTTATATAGTGTGGAAATCCGTTCCATTGGAAAACTTGGCGATATCCAGGGTTGGTATTATAACGGGGGGCATTATACCGAGGGATTACTGTATATTAATACAGGTGCCTCCCGCCTCCCCTATACAATAAATTATGGAATAGTCCTAACCTGAGCAAAAGTCTCCTACACAGAATTCACCATTGTCTGCCATATCATATACTAGCTTTTCTCATTATTAAACTTTTTCGAAACTTATCATTAGGATGAAAATAATAAACTGATGGAAACAGGGACTTTGGAGTCTTTTACAGGAGTCTGCAATTCAATTGATGCAGTCATAGTGTTTGTACTCTTAAGTTTTGTTTTTGTTTGTATTAAAGTTTGTTAAAGTTGGCAACCTGGTCAGCGCATAGACCATAGAAAGGGCCATGCCTAGCGTTCCAGGAACATTAACGGCACAACTCTACATATAAAATTTAGATTCTATGGAGTGTCTTCCTATAATAATTTATTTTTATATTAAACTTATATACATGTATACAACCTTTCACATGATGCAGAGTATGTCTCATGAAGAAGCTATATGTAGCAGTCAAAGATTCTTATTAATAGGTAAATTATATCCCATAATAACTTTTTAAAATTAGTCGTCTATGAATAGTTATTACCTGGTATTTCAAGAGTGTTATATTTCATATTGAGGATGGCCTAGGAATGGATTGTGTTCTAACAGGAATGTACTATCGTAAAAGAGGTTTCATAGTGAATTACATTTTGAAAAAATAATATCTTCTCACTCATAATTACAGCTCTAAGCTAGACAGAAGCAAAGACTCCATAGCAGAACCTTTCTACAATCTGGTGAATGAAGTGTTTGAGCTGCGTGGCATGTTTAAGTGGCTGAGGAAAAGCTTCATAGCCTTTGTAGAAGTCAGCTTTGGTAGATCTATTAACAGGTAAGCAACATATGATAAACTGGGGTATTCAGGTTAGCTGTTACATCTACCACATAAACTCAGATACTCAGGCGAACTGATCAATTCACCGTCATCAAAGAGGTCGAACTGATCAATTCACCGTCATCATAGAGGTGGAAGTTAAACTGTTTTCGAAAGCTTCAGAATAAGTTTTCAGTTACTGATTGTGTTCAAAACAAACTTAGCGTATGTTTACATTATCTGTTATACAACACTGTAATTGCGTCTATTTTATCAGTATTTATACCATGATGCCTTTCACAGTATTTCTGATCACCAATTTATAAATAGCACTTGCCATAGAAGTACATGTGATGTAGATGTGTGCTGAAGGAAACAGTGTGCCCACTTGTATAAAACATCTCAACTGTTGAGATTTCCTCAAGTCTACGATTTCCCATAGACAATACATTGCTTGAGATTTCCCTTACCTTTGAGATGTTTTATACAAGTGGGCGCAGATATTCACTTCAGCACTAAAATTTGAGTGTTTTAATATCAGTTGTTAACACTAACATCAAATTGAATTTTTTTTTTTTGAAAATCGGTCACAGTCAAGAAAATCAGTACAGATTTAGTAGATGTACAGTAACTCAAAAATACGATTTGACCACTATGACAGTAATAACCGTAGGGAATATTTTGTTTCATTAGACAGCTGAGGGATACTGTGGACTGGATCTTCTCTGAGCCAATGGTCATCTACTATGTACGCATGTTCAAGGACTCGATGTGGCCAGAGGGCAAGCTGGCTCCTTATGCTGAGGCTAAAAGTGAAGAGAAGAAATTTCGGACACGGATGGAGGCCAAGGAGAAATTTCTTACCAATATTCCAGGTATTTTTGTTCAGGGACGTTCAGAATTTGTGCACTTATACAATAATTTAAAAAGAATATTAATCAAACTGGTTTCAGCCTGATAAAAGTGTTGCCAGTCTGTTGATAAATAAATATTACAGATACAAAAACAAAATGAAAGTATATCAAGCTAAAGCACTCACATTTAATGAAAACAATTTCTCGAACTGTAAAATCCACTGAAATTGAACTGGTGGGCTACACAATACTGTTTATAAATCTGGGGGTAAGTTTAAAACAATAAGTATTTAATTGATTGATTGAATGATTTGAAACTTCCTCACATTAGCTTATAATTAGTTCATTGACAAGCTTAAAGAGTGAATTTTTGAAAACCTAATATATAACTTCCAATAACAAGGGAATGATTTTTTTTTAAAACAGATTAGCGCCGTGTTAATAATTGTATGTATGCCACAAGGGAGTTAATGCCAACTGCCTTGTGATTGTGGAGACCCCAATGTGTACAGCCAGTATATGACGTTTAAAATATTCTATTAAATAAAACAATTGTCTCCTCTAAAAACAAAAACAAATATGTTTTGGAGATTTTCTTTTGAGCGTAGGTTTACAAGCGGATTACTAGGGTAGAAGTGATAATATTTGCGAAATTGTGTATTCAGATGCTCTGAAGTCTCTGCTGGGTGAAAACAATGCTCGAAGAGGCTCTATCAAAGTGTTTGAAGTCCTCCAGGATACCAGATTAAATAAACATCTGTTTTATGTAAGTATAAATATAACAGGTGTGCTGTAATATCTTCATTTATCAAAATAATGAGAATAACTTGAGAATCTTAAACTTTGTGGAGAAAACTTTAATAGATGAACTTTGATATTTGAAATCCGTACAAACCAAAACTTAAAGGAATCATGTTGGTTTGATTTTAATAACTTGTACTGATATAGAAATTATTTTTTTTGTGATTTATAATAACTTTGAATGCTTGATTGCTCACAGTTATTTATTTTAATTTTTGTTCATTTGTAGATTCTGTTAGAAGTAGTTTTGATGGAAATATGCCCAGAGCTGAATGAAATGGAGATACCATCGTCCTCTACAGAAATCCTTACATTATGATGGTAATGGTTGTCATGGCAACATTAAAGAGTTTAATTTATCACTTTTAAGTCCTTTAACCCTTTTCAAATCTGGAGATTTTGTCAATATGTTCTGGTGAACTTTATTCCAAGCAATCATCAAAACATTTCGGGACCCTCTATCGCCTATACAGCAAGTGTGTCCCAAATTAGCCCTGATCTAACCTACATTCAGTGGCTCTTGATTCTTAACTTGATTTGGCTTAATCTCCCATGTCATTTACAACGACTGGACTCTACACCAATCATTGGATATCCAATGGAAATCTTCTTTATGCAGATGATGTAGCTTTTGACAGTAATTCTGTATTGCCACGATCAAATATTGTATATGGTACTTATTTTATTGGTAATCCTATTTCAGCGGTTTTCTGAAATGCTATTCCTTTATTTATTTACCCAGTCGAACTTTTGCCCTTTGCCCAAGAAATCAATTTTTCTTCCAGTGTTAATTTCGCCCTTAACATTTCATAACTATGTATTTTATGTTGTATACATATATTCTGTGTAATGATATGGTCCAATTTGTTTTATTAAAAGCGGAACTCATGCAGTTGACTGCCTAGGAAATAGCCATGGGTCAATATTCAATCTGTCACCAGATGGATGTTTTGATTTTGGATGGTCATAATAGATTTCTTAAATCAAAAGACTTTCTAGATGTGACGATGTACTATTAATGTTTGCGAAAATATTCAATGTACTACACAATATTTTTGTATCGAGTGCTGAAATCAAAATAATGCCATGAAACTATGTTCTCCAGTAAAGCATGTCAGATTACTGTAAAAGTGGACATTTTTGGGTTGTGGCTCCTGAAACTGATGGCTGGGTGACAATGGATCTGAAATCTACATAATCTATTGATCAATATTCGCATGTGGATTTTCATGCTAATTTATATAATACAAAAAGGTGGGAGCATTTCCCCACTGTGAAATTTCCACTTTTACAAATGTATTATATTAACTACTGGTTTAACAGACAAATGGGCTGAGCAGTTGATACAGAATAACTACATTATGGGAGCCGGTAGTGAGAATACTTACAAATGTGGTATAGAACTATGATGAACCACATGTATATTGCTGTCCCTAGTATAACATGTCCCAATCCTGTGATAAGCTTGGGTAGACGATTTTCTGTGTTAATAATTATTTCCATTCCCGACAGAAATACTTTCAGGTTAATTTATTTCTTCTTTGACACAATGTGATATTTAGAGTACCTGTATATAACTGCTTTGGGGCCGTCAGATTAATTAACATTCCAATTATGTGTTTCTGGCTCCTTGGAGAGGACTGTGTTTGTTATGTTACTTGAATTTTGTTTTGAGACTCTTAAGTAAAGGGTACCAGTGTGTTAAACTGTACTACATGGACTACCATTGTCACTGTTGTTAAATATTTATTAATAAATCATAAATATTACTTGTTGCTATGATATAACAGAATTTTGGTAGTTTGAAATTTGAATGTTTGAAATTTAAATTTGAATGTTTGAAATTTGAATGTTTGAAATTTAAATTTGAATGTTTGAATGTGTGAAATTGACATTTGAATGTTTGAATGTTTGAAATTTAAATTTGAATGTTTGAAATCAGAAATAAAATTTCAAAGCCTACTCTTTACCAACATTGCCATCTAGGAGTTATAAATACACGGGATCAAATGAGTGTCCACCAATTTCAAGCTGCAAAGTCTATGAAATCAATGGACATAGAAAGATACATTTGTTTAGGGGAAAATTTCTCTGTTCATCTTATATAAAGAAGGGAGACTACTCTCAGTAAACTACTCTTTTGTGGAACTCTTACTTCACATTATAACTAATGCAATGGTACCCTTTACCTTAATAGATGTCTTCACAATATATCATCCCACCAGTTACCCTGTGTATGTACATGTTATAGATGTCGGCACAATATGTACATGAAATGTTTGAGATTTTTCTTTTGATATACTAAATAGTATATTAAGGGATTTGTGCAATAAACAATAAACAACATTTTATGATTTTTTTTAATCATGAACAATATTTCATTGATCTCTACAATGCTACAATATAAAGTGAAAACCTACCAATTGTACCATTTTGAATAACTCTAGTAGTGTCCATTTCTGGTGTTTCCAAGCTCCGATTATCAGGTTTATGTCAACAAAATTGAAAAGAATTAAAAACATACAAATGTAGGTAATTTCCTCTCAATTGAATATATTTGTTTTGCTATCTTGAGTAATTTCAAAGGATTATCTTCATTAAAATGAAAGAAACTGCGTCTAAAAATCTCCATAACAAAAATAAAATAAAATAAATCAGCGAATCGGAAACTTGTAAAATCGTGATTCGAATCCTGAACCACAGAATACAATACATTAGCTCTAAGAAAGTATAGTACTAGGCCAGCGATCAATCCCTAGCCCATCCCAACTAGCTCTAACAAAGAATAGTACTAGGCCAGTGATCAACCCCTAGCCCATCCCCTCTAGCTCTAACAAAGTGTACTACTAGGCCAGCGGTCAATCCCTAGCCCATTCCCAATAGCTCTAACAAAGTATATTACTAGGCCAGCGATCTCAGCACTAAAATTTTAGTGCTGAGATCGCTGGCCTAGTACTATGCTTTGTTAGAGCTAGTGGTAATGGGCTAGGGATTGGTCGCTGGACTAGTACTATACTTTGCTAGAGCTAGTGGGGATTGACTAGGGATTGAGCGCTGGCCTAGTACTATACTTTCTTAGCGCTAATGTATTGTATTCTGTGCTGGCCTAGTAGTATTCTTTGTTAGGGCTAGTGGGGATGGGCTGGGGATTGGTCGCTGGACTAGTACTATACTTTGCAAGAGCTAGTGGGGATGTGCTAGGGATTGATCTCTTGCCTAGTAGAATACTTTGTTATAGCTAGTGGGGATGGAATAGGGATTGATCGCTGGTCTAGTAGTATACTTTGTTATAGCTAGTGGGGATGGAATAGGGATTGATCGCTGGGCTAGTACTATACTTTGTTAGGGCTAGTGGGGATGGGCTCGGGATTGATCGCTGGGCTAGTACTATACTTTGCTAGAGCTAGTGGGGAGGGGCTAGGGGTTGATCGCTGGGCTAGTAGTATACTTTGTTATAGCTAGTGGGGATGGCCTAGGGATTGATCGCTGTCCTAGTACTATACTTTGTTAGGGCTAGTGGGGATGGGCTCGGGATTGATCGCTGGTCTAGTAGTATACTTTGATAGAGCTAGTGGGGAGGGGCTAGGGGTTGATCGCTGGGCTAGTACTATACTTTGTTAGGGCTAGTGGGGATGGGTTAGGGATTGGTCGCTGTCCTAGTACTATACTTTGCTAGAGCTAGTGGGGATGTGCTAGGGATTGATCTCTTGCCTAGTAGAATACTTTGTTATAGCTAGTGTTGATGTGCTAGGGATTGATCTCTTGCCTAGTAGAATACTTTGTTATAGCTAGTGGGGATGGCCTAGGGATTGATCGCTGTCCTAGTAGTATGCTTTATTAGAGCTAGTGGGGACGGGCTAGGGATTGATAGCTGGCCTAGTAGTATCCTTTGTTAAAGCTAGTGGGGATGGAATAGGGATTGATCGCTGCCCTAGTAGTATACTTGGTTAGAGCTAGTGGGGGTGGGCTAGGGATTGATAGCTGGCCTAGTAGTATCCTTTGTTAAAGCTAGTGGGGATGGTCTAGGGATCGGTCGCTGGCCTAGTAATATACTTTGTTAGAGATAGTGGGGATGGACTAGCCCATCCCCACGAGCTCTAACAAAGTATACCACTAGGCCAGCGATCAATCCCTAGCCCATCCCCACTAGCTCTTACAAAGTATAGTACTAGGCCAGCGACCAATCCCTAGCCCATCCCCACTAGCTCTAACAAAGTATACTACTAGGCCAGCGACCAATCCCTAGCCCATCCCCACGAGCTCTAACAAAGTATACTACTAGGCCAGCGATCAACCCCTAGCCCATCCCCACTAGCTCTAACAAAGAATAATACTAGGCCAGCGACCAATCCCTAGCCCATCCCCACGAGCTCTAACAAAGTATACTACTAGGCCAGCGATCAATCCCTAGCCCATCTCCACTTGCTATATCCAAAACAAACTAGAGGGAAAGTTTCCGTATTTTCCGAGAAACAAAAACTTAAGAAAATATCTGGTTTTTTCCTCCAATGGGACAGATTTTCTTGAGTTAATTCCTCAAAGGTTGTCTAGTTCTACCAAGCTATCTATAAGATCTGGCTCCCACTACACCAATATCTCACACGAACACGGCATCTTAGCCTGTCGTGCTTGCGTGAGACATACATGAAGTCGAATGTCCTTCCAAAGAGAGCTCGGTACATGTAGAACTTTTCAGGTTTATTTTCACGTTAGACTATTTTATATTAAATGGAGAACACTACCTACATGGCCTTGGTGCAGCCATGGGTACCAAGATTACTAATCATACGTCGATGTATAATAGTGGCCACTTAGAATCAAAGCAACCTACAGATACCTAATCAAAACCACTCCACTGACTTATCCGTTAGTATTGGGAATTAATTTTACTAGACCATCCTATGAACAGCAGCAGCAGATCTCGGTGGAGAAAAAAGCTTGTGTTTGTACAGCTGCTCCACACACATGTACACCAACATGGTAACAACAGGTTGTGTTGAAAACCTACCGACACCGATCACCAAACGCTAAATAAGATAACTGGATTTGGATAATAATGCCTTCTTGTAGGCCCCACCTTCTTTGCACGGGGCTCAAACCTACTTTGGTCGACAGAGTGAAGAAAAAAGAGAGGTCGATATACTTATATGACGTCTTGCATTTAAGTAAGAAACACCTTTCCAGAACCACCGGTGCTTGCTTACCACAAATCATAAAAAATCTTGCAGATATGTTAGTCAGCGGTAAGCTACCAACGCATACCCATACTAGTACGGTTGCTACTGGTTGTTTCCTAACATGTCACTGCGATATGCAAACTTTGTACATACACAAACACATTTCAATGCAAAGTCACCGGACAAAGTAACCGCTTACGTCATGTCAGTCAGGCAATGTGATATACCTGATCACTTGTGATTTGTGCCAAATTCAGTATGTCGATGAGACCTAAACGCCCTTTTATCTCGGGAATGACAGCCACAGCTGCTCCATCAAGCAGAAGACGTTTTAACATGTCATGCCATACATGACATGGGATGCAGGTTGTTCTCATCAACTATTGCCAAAGTTTGGGCGACAACATTTTGCGAACCTGCTATCCACACGGCACGACTGAAAAATAAGCAGTCCCAGCTCTATCCAATAATGTCCAACTGGCTCTTTTTCGATGTGTTTATTTCAAAATAATCAACTGCCTACCTTTTAACCTGTCCATTGCCACATGATGACAATGAAGCTAGATGTAAATGCTTTATAGAGAAGGCAGGCCAACTCCGGCCAAATCACGACAATTAGAAGCGAACATACCCTTCCCTCTTCGCGGCAGTCATCATTATGTAAGGCTCCCCTACGGTTAAATATCTCAATCCCACTCGGTATACACTTTTCACTTAATATAGCATTCATTATTTATATTTCTATTAACTTTGGGATTAAATAATTCAGTTCAATTGGACCGGCTGCGTTTAAGGAGTATGATGCTATTTGAGATTTAGGAACCTTGATATTCAGCCTCTTTCTGGTGACAAACTTGCCTGAAGTTCGAGTTTAAGAGAATCTGACAAGATGAGAATAAAGAACATGACAAACTCCCTTTCTGATATACGTAGAACGAATATGTAATATATAAGACATTCCATTAATGAGTGGTGTAACGTGGTGTTAAATGGAATAGCACGTGATATAGAGTAAAACAGCAAACGAAAGCTACACAAATTAATATGGAGTAGTTTTAAAGATGAAGTTCAGTATAGTCCCCTTGATGGCCTAATTACGAGTTACAGCGCGGAAACGGTACGGCAGTGGACTGCTCGTTAATCCCAGTCGTCCCTCCAATGACGGGTACACACCACTGTGCTCAAGTCGAAGGTCAAACTTCTGAACCAGTGACGTCACAAATAAGAATATCTCCAGCTTGGCTAGGGATTCTCCAAGACACACTCGTCTGCCTGTATAATATAAATAAAAGACTATTACACGACAGACTAATTCGGCATTTATGTTATCTATGTGCATCATGCAAAATGGAATCTAGAAGTTCTATGGTATGATCTAGGGGCTTTGTAAATGTTTGAGTGTTTAGTTTATTAAATTTTTAGTCGCCCCTTTTCAGAATTTCTGAAAGAAAAAAGAAGGTGAATTGTTATTGACATGACAAAAATAATTCTAGGATACATTTTGTAACAGTATTATAGGCATCCAGCGCCTTCGATTCCGAATACGCAATACTGATAGTTGACAGTCGCTATGAACATATATGCCGGTTTAAACTTAACAAATATTTATACACTGTTTCTGACCTCAAACAATGAATACAAATTCAATAGTACTTCTGAGAATTTAAATGTACATACATCTGCTTATTTGCTTACATGACAGCTGTACGCGCCTGAAATTCAGTTTAATAAACCAACCTGTCAATATTATATGATACATTTAGGGTACTCCTTTCCCCCTGGTCTAGTATATTGAAACCAATTGGCTGTTTGAGGAAAGAAAAGCTTCATTAATTGAAGAAATTTATAAAAGTCCAGTACAAACAAGCAATACACTATAGTTAAGGAAAAGTAAAGTCGGTAAAATATTAACACAATGTGCGACAAGGAACCAGTAAAATATTTGCTGCAGTTTATGGTGATGACTGTCCGCGACCTTTACGAATCGTATTCTCATAATCAAATATTTAATAAAAAAAAATAAGACCGTACTCACCTATGGAAAAGGCTATCATTTGATTGTCGTTTAGCACAGTTCCGTCCTCATCAAGAAATCGGGTGGGGTCAAAGGTTTCCGGTTTAGGGAATACTTTCGGATCTCCCAAAACGGAGTCCAGGTTTGCGATTATCATGGCATTTTCGGGAATGACAAATCCTTTAAATGGAATGTCTCTCTTTGCTCCGTGCTGCACGGAAAGTGGGACTATATTGGCACATCGGAGAACCTCAGTTAACGCCGCTTCACAGTAGGGTAATTTGGATCGGTCCGCCCCAGTCACGGGACGTGATTGGCCGACAACAGTGTTGATTTCCTCAAACATTTTCTCCTGTTTATCGGGGTTATGGAGGAGGAAAAGGACGCTGTATCTGATGGCGGTGGCTACTGTTTCAGTTCCGGCAGCGAACAGATGTAACAGGGTTATTACCAGATTGTCATCTGGTGAAGACAAAGAAGATTGAATAAGTACAATTTTTACTGAGTTCAATTTATATCACAGATTAGTCTTTTTACACATATATATATATATTTGTAATAACACCTTATACGATTTGCCTTTAACGAAACCTGCTTTACATGTTTAAAAATACTTCTGAATATATGGACTGGTTTAATATTATCAATGCATGTGAGCTTATCATATACTGGAGCACACTTATATATATATATATATTGACATTACCTGTGAATACTTGAGTATCTGACCCACATTTGTTTTGTTCGTGAAGGAAAGCGTCTATGAAATCTCTCGTCTCATTTTGATGGAGAGTGTCGCGATGATTTTGAACCTGTTTCGCAAAGTATTCCAAGAACTCGCCGAATAATTTCTTGAATCTTTTTATCTTGAACATGTCGCCTGGTAAATGTCGTAGGGCAGGGAAACAGCTGATCAATCCTGTCGGTTTGTTTATCGTTGCAGCCTCATCCAATAGAGAGACTAACTGAAGAAATTTCTGATCAGAGTGATCAAACCTGTCGCCGAACACAATACTACAGATCACATTCGCTACACTGACATGAACAATTTTGCTGAGATCAAACGGTTGACCGTTGATTTCCATGACGTAGTTTACTAACACGTCGACCTCTTCCCGTACCTTGCTTTCCAAAGATTTCTTTCCGAATCCAAATTCTCGCAATGTTTTGAGGACGAATGTTCTGTTCTGTTTCCAGAGCTCCCCTGAGCTTGCCAGCAAACCTGTCAATACATTTATTTATAATACACATTATTTCACATTGTCATGCTCTGATACTCTTGACCTTGAAAAAATGAAGGTGGGACAAGTGTAAAATATAGAGAGAAACAATACTAGATTATGTTTCCGATGATCGCAAATGAGAAAAACAAATACCAATTCACTTTGTACATCAACCGCATATAACTTACGTTCTTACATACATGTAGTCTTAAATACATTAAACAATCATGTATAATCAACCGTATTAAACAATCAAGCAGCCTCCACTGTATTAAACAAGCATGCAGCCTTCACTGTATTAAACAAGCAAACAGCCTCCACTGTATTAAACAAGCATGCAGCCTCAACTGTATTAAACAAGCATGCATCCTCCACTGTATTAAACAAGCATACAGCCTCCACTGTATTTAACAAGCATGCAGCCTCCACTGTATTAAACAAGCATGCAGCTTCCACTGTATTAAACAAGCATAAAGCCTCCACTGTATTAAACAAGCATGCAGCCTCCACTGTATTAAACAAGCATAAAGCCTCCACTGTATTAAACAAGCATACAGCCTCCACTGTATTAAACAAGCATGCAGCCTCCACTGTATTAAACAAGCATACATCCTCAACTGTATTAAACAAGCATAAAGCCTCCATTGTATTTAACAAGCATAAAGCCTCCACTGTATTAAACAAGCATGCAGCCTCCACTGTATTTAACAAGCATGCAGCGCCAACTGTATTAAACAAGCATACAGCCTCCACTGTATTTAACAAGCATAAAGCCTCCACTGTATTAAACAAGCATGCAGCCCCAACTGTATTAAACAAGCATACAGCCTCGACTGTATTTAACAAGCATGCAGCCTCCACTGTCTTTAACAAGCATGCAGCTTCCACTGTATTAAATAAGCATAAAGCCTCCACTGTATAAAACAAGCATAAATCCTCCACTGCATTAAACAAGCATACAGCCTCCACTGTATTAAACAAGCATAAATCCTCCACTGTATTAAACAAGCATGTAGCTTCCACTGTATAAAACAAGCATACAGCCTCCACTGTATGAAACAAGCATACAGCCTCCACTGTATTAAACAAACATGCAGCCTCCACTGTATTAAAAAAGCATGCAGCCTCCACTGTATTAAATAAGCATAAATCATCCACTGTATAAAACAAGCATAAATCCTCCACTGCATTAAACAAGCATACAGCCTCCACTGTATGAAACAAGCATACAGCCTCCACTGTATTAAATAAGCATAAATCATCCACTGTATAAAACAAGCATAAATCCTCCACTGCATTAAACAAGCATACAGCCTCCACTGCATTTAACAAGCATGCAGCCTCCACTGTCTTTAACAAGCATGCAGCTTCCACTGTATTAAACAAGCATACATCCTCCACTGTATTAAACAAGCATAAAGCCTCCATTGTATTAAACAAGCATACAGCGTCAACTGTATTAAACAAGCATACAGCCTCCACTGTATTTAACAAGCATGCAGCCTCCACTGTATTTAACAAGCATGCAGCTTCCACTGTATTAAACAAGCATAAAGCCTCCATTGTATTAAACAAGCATGCAGCCTCCACTGTATTAAACAAGCATACAGCTTCCACTGTATCAAACAAGCATACAGCCTCCACTGTATTAAACAAGCATGCAGCCTCCACTGTATTAAACAAGCATGCAGCCCCCACTGTATTAAACAAGCATACAGACTCCACTGTATTAAACAAGCAGAAAAGCCTTCACTGTATTAAACAAGCATACAGCCTCCACTGTATTAAACAAGCATAAAGCCTCCACTGTTTTAAACAAGCATACAGGCTCCACTGTATTAAACAAGCATACATCCTCCACTGTATTAAACAAGAATGCAGCCTCCACTGTATTAAACAATCATTCATCCTCCACTGTATTAAACAAGCATGCAGCCTCCACTGTATTAAATAAGCATAAATCCTCCACTGTATAAAACAAGCATGCAGCCTCCACGGTATTGAAAAAGCAAAAAGCTTCAACTTTATTAAACAAGCATGCAAAGCATACAGCCTCCACTGTATTTAACAAGCATGCAGCCTCCGCTGTATTAAACAAGCATACACCCTCCACTGTATTAAACTAGAACACTGACAGGTCAGTAAGGGCCCCGTCTTGTGACAATATATCCCCCATAATCATCAAGAAGCAATCTGCCCATATAGCTGAGCTTGACGTTTGACATTTTGACTTCAAAAAGAATCGCAAGGAAGCAAAATATCCATTTTACATGTACTATGATGTGAGCCTTGTTTCCTTCCACCTCCATATTTGCTGGGCTAACAGAAATGAAATACCGGTGCAATACCCATTTGTTAGTTTTGATTTGTTTTATTTCACCTTATATACCTCCTCCATCAAGAGCCAGGGTCAAAGTCAGAGATCCACTTTGTCTTTGACCTTTGGACCAAAATGACCTTGACCATTAACCAAGTGACCCTGATATTTGGTCAGTTGACTTATTCTTTAATTCCGACCAACTTTGCTTCTTAATATCATAACAAAATGTTAATCAGTAAAAAATACAAAACTTGACCTTGACCCTTTAAACCCCGTAACCTGGACCTAAGGTCAGTTGACTCTGTGTTAAGTTCTGAACAATATTGCTTCATAATAACACAACAAAATGTTCATCAGGGAAAAGGTGCAAAATTTAACCTTGACCTTTGACCCAGTGACCTTGACCTTTGGTCAATTGACTCCATGTTTAATTCTGAGCAACATTGCTTCAAAGTGTCATAGCGAAATGTTCACCAGTGAAAAGATACAAAATTTAACCTTGACCTTTGACCCAATGACCTTGAACTTTAGTCAGTTGACTCCTTGTTTAATTCTGCTCAACTTTGCTTCATAATGTCATAACAAAATGTTCATCAGTGAAAATATTTAAAATTTGACCTTGACCTTTGAACCTAATGACCTTAACCTTTGACCTTGACTTTTTACCTCAATGTGTATTTTTGTGAACTTAACATCTTGACCAAATTTCATGTACAACGGTCAATAAATGACTAAGTTATCAGCCAGGAACAAAATTTGTGGACGGACAGACAGACAGACAGACAGACAGACAGAGTGATTACTATAGGGCACCCGTATCTCCGATACGGGACCCTAACAAGCATAAAGCCTCCACTGTATTAAACAAGTATGCAGCCTCCACTGTATTAAACAAGCATACAGCATCCACTGTATTAAACAAGCATACATCCTCCACTGTATTAAACAAGCATGCATCCTCCACTGTATTAAACAAGCATACAGCCTCCACTGTATTAAACAAGCATGCATCCTCCACTGTATTAAACAAGCATACAGCGTCAACTGTATTAAACAAGCATACAGCCTCCACTGTATTAAACAAGCATGCAGCTTCCACTGTATTAAACAAGCATGCAGCCTCCATTGTATTAAACAAGCATGCAGCCTCAACAGTATTAAACAACCATGCAGCCTCCATTGTATTAAACAGGCATACATCCTCCACTGTATTAAACAAGCATGCAGCTTCCACTGTATAAAACAAGCATGCAGCCTCCACTGTAATAAACAAGCATACAGCCTCCACTGTATTAAACAAACATACATCCTCCACTGTATTAAACAAGCATACAGCCTCCACTGTATTAAACCAGCATACATCCTCCACTGTATTAAACAAGCATGCATCCTCCACTGTATTAAACAAGCATACAGCCTCCACTGTATTAAACAAGCATGCACCCTCCACTGTATTAAACAAGCAAACAGCGTCAACTGTATTAAACAAGCATACAGCATCCACTGTATTAAAGAAGCATGCAGCCTCCACTGTATTAAACAAACATGCAGCCTCCACAGTATTAAACAAGCATACAGCTTCCACTGTATTAAACAAGCATGCAGCCTCCACTGTATTAAACAAGCATGCAGACTCCACTGTATTGAACAAGCATAAAGCCTCAACTGTATTAAACAAGCATGCAGCCTCCACTGTATTAAACAGGCATGCAGCCCCCACTGTATTAAACAAGCATGCAGCCTCAACTGTATTAAACAAGCATACAGCCTCCACTGTATTAAAAAAGCATACAGCCTCAACTATAATATTTCTGAATTAGATATTTAATAAATGTTTAATATTTACTGTACCAGACCTGTAGCATCAACTGTATTAAGCCTTCATAAAATCTCAACTGTGATAAATATGTCAAATCTGCATTTAATATTAACTTACTAGACCTATAGTGTCAACGTATACCTTTTTCCTTAGAAAGCTCTACTATGACGTAAGTCCCAGGTCTATCGGAGAAATCATCAGCTCTTTTCACAAAGGCTTCTTTGAGGTTATCGTATCCGTTGATGACGACTACTGTTAGGCTGCCCAGTTTGATACTGAACACATCCCCGTATTTTCGACGAAGTTTCCTGAAGATTTCTGTTGGTTTTCCTGTCTTCATGAGTCCAATACTTCCAAACAGGGGTAATCCGCGTGGTCCCGGGGGAAGGTTCTTCTGTCTTCTCAGCCATTTCACACTTAACACTAACACAGTAAAAACAACCAACACCACCGTAAGATCGAGTGATTCGAACGCAGCCATGTTTATCGAGGGCGGTGAACACTACTGAGTAACCCACTCGCTCTGTTTCCTTATTTGACAGAAACAATGACACACACATAATCTGTATGTTGGATGATATGCATTTACAATACCCCCTGTTTAGTTGTTTCCTCAAAATCGTCACAGTACAGGATATCCACTTATGATGGCTATTTTATAGATACCGTTAACTCTGAAGTGGTTTACTCTTTAGGTTTTCAATTATGAGTTATTTTATAACATATTTACACTGGTGCATAACATAAACGCGAAAAAATACAAAACAGCAATTTTCTATGAAATAAGGAGATATTGTTTTATTAAGCGATATACTATGTTTATTTCCCCTAAAAACCATGCTCGATTACATTTTAAGATATCTCTATTACCAAATTATATGAAATAATTTATTTAAATTTATCTCTATTTGAATTAACATTTTCAAGTTCCATTAATATGTAAGAGTTACCAAAGTTATCCAAATGATAGGGAGTTAAGATTTGATCAGCCTGGTTGATATCCAAAATATAGGAGTTAAGATTTGATCAGCCTGTTTGTTATCCAAAAGATGGAGAGTTCAGATTCGATCAGACAGGCTGCTATTCAAAATATAGGGGTTTATAATTCAAGGAATAATCGGTAATACTATATTTATTTGTATTGCTGTTTATATTCACCTGTAGACAAACTTACTGAGGTACTTTGTATAGTCGCGGGATAGGGATAAGGCCTCTTAACGTTGCAGTTTCAATACGTTCATATTTATACACTTTAAAATGCGTCTTTAGCTGTGCTTTGTAACATCTTTCAACTATTTGTTTTTTCTTCCTGTAGTATTCTGATTAGAATGTTTTATCTTCCTGTGGTATTCTGATTAGAGTGTTTTATCTTCCTGTGGTATTCTGATTAGAATGTTTTATCTTCCTGTGGTATTCAGATTAGAATGTTTTTCCTTCCTGTTGTATTCTGATTAGAATGTTTTATCTTCCTGTGGTATTCTGATTAGAATGTTTTATCTTCCTGTGGTATTCTGATTAGAATGTTTTATCTTCCTGTGGTATTCTGATTAGAATGTTTTATCTTCCTGTGGTATTCTGATTAGAATGTTTTATCTTCCTGTGGTATTCTGATTAGAATGTTTTATCTTCCTGTGGTATTCTGATTAGAATGTTTTATCTTCCTGTGGTATTCTGATTAGAATGTTTTTTCTTCCTTTGTTATTCTGATTAGAATGTTTTATCTTCCAGTGGTATATTCTGATTAGAATGTTTTATCTTCTTGTGGTATTGTGATAAGAATGTTTTATCTTCCTGTGGTATATTGATTAGAATGTTTTATCTTCCTGTGGTTTTCTGATTAGAATGTTTTATCTTCCTGTGGTATTCTGATTAGAATGTTTTTTCTTCCTGTGGTATTCTGATTAGAATGTTTTTTCTTCCTGTTGTATTCTGATTAGAATGCTTTTTTCTTCCTGTGGTATTCTGATTAGAATGTTGTATCTTCCCGTGGTATTCTGATTAGAATGTTTTATCTTCCTGTGGTATATTCTGATTAGAATGTTTTTTCTTCCTGTGGTATTCTGATTATAATGTTTTATCTTCCTGTGGTATTCTGATTAGAATGTTTTATCTTCCTGCGGTATTCTGATTAGAATGTTATATCTTTAACCTTAACGTAGTTCCAGTACTTTACCGTATTGTACTGTTTGTACTCCTTACTTATACATAATATTACTTGTAGTTAAGTTTGCGAGTTCACCCCTTCACTTACTGCGGGGAGTCCCTTTACTGGTACACTGTATAAGACTATAGCTAAAAATTACTGTACACAGCAGTATTCAATTCCGTGCGTCCGGAATTGCAAGGTTGGGGTGTTACAGTGTACTTATCAATATACATAAAAACGTGGCCTGAGCAATCCAGTGTTGCTCCCACGTTAGTACACGTCTGTTAAGTCAATGTTTTCATATATTACACGAGTATAGTAGATTTATTAAACTAAAACGAAGCCAATAATTGATATATCCTCATATTAAACAGTCAAAAATGCTAAAATGTTTGTTGTTAACAGTTATTTTTTCAATCTCGCTTTTCATACTTTTGTTTGACACCTTATGCACCCATTTGATGACATATTAAAGTCAAGTAAGCATTACTGATAATTTGATGGTCACTTTATCCTTTTCAGGCACATGTTCTTGTTTCATTCTTATGTAGGCAAAAGTCGTTGTGTTTGGACCAACCAAAATCACCATTGCCGAACACTAAGGGCATTGGTACTATTGGTCGATAAAAACACCAAAGCCAAACTTTTGCAGAACGTTGACGACACATGGATGAACTATAAGTAGATTTAATTTTTCAATCTTGTGTCAGCCTGAAACATATATTGGGCCAATATTCTTGAAATTCAAGTATTAATATCTACCACTCCGATCTTTTGAAGACAATCCCGTAGTCCGGTCCGTTATTTCTGGAAATCATGCTTGTGTTCTCAACGTAATAACAGAATAGTAGCACACGTTACAATACAATCTTTTTTAAAGAAGTTCTACTCTGCCGCTTTCCAATTGCCGTTTTTAAAAAGTTCGTATCCAAGATGATACCTTTGACCTGACAATAGACCCTTGTACTCCAGGTGCGGGACTGTAACGTTGGTAACTGGTTTGGATGTTGACATCGCTGACGCCAAAGTATCAGCTGACATCTAATGCATTGTGACGACATTGCCATGCGCATGTAAGTTTGCAAACTAACATAGCAGTTTTGCAAATAAAGTGCAACGACCTTATAGTCTAAAGACAAAAGCAAACAAAAAACTGAATTTGGTAAAATTGCGAAAATAGCCAAAACTGCTTAATATATCATTAAATAACACACCGAGTATCCGTAGATAATAGTTTTGAACAGCTGCAGAGTTATGCAATTCCACAGCGAAAAAACCCCCAATGATGCATTTTACATTAACTGTAATACCGGTTAAAATATTTATGAAATTCGTATCTGTGTAGATAATTATACATTGTGATCCAGGTACTCGTGTCATCGTTAGACATTTTGTCACTATGGCCATGTCCAGAGTGTCGGCCTTTTGACCAATGCAGCATCAAAACCTCTTTTTAAGGAGACCGCGGCGGTATAATGGTCAATTGAAGATATTCCTCGGCCGGCCAGGCGAACGATTTTGTGCCACAAATTGTCAGTTTAACAAAAACGTTTTCCTCCATAATTTGTGTTCCTGTAAATAGGTAATGTTAAACATTTATTATAGAATCTGTAAGATCATCGTGTGAATATAAGGAGAAATATTATTATTTCAAGACTGTTTATAGTAACACTTTAACCAAACGTCTGCGCTAAAAACGTACAATCGTGAAGTATTTAAACCTCATGAATGTGAAATGGGTTCCTAAATATCTGGTGTAAATGATAACACATTTCACGACATGGATGATACTTTTTCGAAGAGAGAATGTGCATAATTTCGATGCAGTTCTTGAAAGACGATTAGTTCTGATTAATAATACGTATATTTACATTTGCCCAGGAACTGATATCATCCAGGGTTTTCTAATATAATGTTTAATCAGTAAGGGTTTGTCGGACACGAACATTTACTACACTGATATTGATATCTATTTAATTATAAACATTGAGAACGACGATACCAGTTTAAATTAAGTTGATTTGGCTGGATTCAACTTGATCTTTTGTCTTTTTACGGTGAGTTTGGTTTATGTAATGGGAGACAACTCTAACGATAATGGCTTATTGAAAAGTTGGGATTTGGAAAAGAAGATGCCGGGAAGATACCTGTTTTATATATTTTTTACATGCATACCAATATATAAATGTAATACAATGCTAACTTTTTATAAATATTCAATCTTTTATCGTGTTTAAATCTAAATAGATATAAAATTGCATTTATAGCTGCTTTAAATAAACATTCAAATGCACGCTTAAAGAATTTGTCCTTTCGAGTTTCGTATTGAACGCTAACTGAAGCAGGTAGGTGCTTAAATAGTGCTTGACTTTGTGTAGATATAAGTTAACAACCCCGTGGTGAATCTTCTTAAATACAACGACTCAACTTCCTAAGGAAATGGTCGCATTTTCAAAATTTCTGGATAATAGAAACATGACATTTGGAGATCATAGCTTACCTTCATTTATAATAATGTCACTACGCAATGTTTTCAGATATGACAAATCGTCACCAATGTCAATTTTAAAATATAGAGGTTCCTCTCTCGATTTTCTCTACACCATCACAATATGTCATGGTAGAGTTGAAAGCTCTATCGGCGCAATATTGCATAAAATAAGTAAACAATTATGAAATGTTGATGTACATCAAAAGAATTGCACAGCCTAATTACTTCAACATTGATCAGCTTCGAAGTCAGGTGTCGCTTATCCGTAATCGTCAAAGGGCAGGTATCAGCCTAGTAATTGGTCCATATTTTATACTTGAAACCAATCAAACAGTTAGCCGCGTGCCTTTGATTTATTCATGACAATTCAAATAGAGTAGAGTAGATATGTGTACAGAGAGCGAATCCCTAAGGTATCGAAGATGCATCAAGTCGTTACTAAAAACGCTGTTGAAGGCATCTAACGCGTGAGCATGTTTCGAGTTTGATAATGATTAACGAATGCACATGATCGTATGGAAACGTATTCCATGGAACGGGTGTCTGAATTATACAATTTCAGGTTTAAACAACATTCAGTTATACTTTTTGAATGTGTTTTGTCGTTGTACAGTCAAGTTTCAAATGACAAACTAAATTCTGTCAATGTCATTATCCACCATTAGGTTGTTCAGGTAGATCGTAGCAATTTTGCTGTTCGACCTTACCCAAATGAAGTGGTTATTTTTTCAATATGTTTCCTATGAAATGGGAAATAATACTGACATTATACAGCTTATGAGAATAGATGTGTCACTATTGTATTTAATAGACGACAATTACCGTTTCAATTTATTCATAATGAAATCAATCGATTCGCCATTTAACCGTTTCTTCAAACTTCAAATATTAAAACAAGTGAAAGAACAAAACACCTTCCAGTAAAGCCGTACATGAATATACTAGAGAGTGTTTGTGATTTCTAAGTTAACTACTGTTTACATCATAACGCACTTGTCTATGCTTACCGATATATCAGACTCTGGCCACAGCCCGGAACTTGTAAGGATATGGACCATAGGTGATTCCAAAGATGCCCTCTTGTGAAGGTAGATTATCTGGGTCCTCGGGTAGTATTTCATACCTTTGGACAAGGGAGGTTAGAAACAGATACATTTCCATCCGTGCTAAGGCCTCTCCAAGACACACCCGTCTCCCTGTGGGTCAAAATAAACCAATGATATCATCATCATCTTTAAATTTCGTTTTTAGCATCTTTACAATTATTTTCAGACAAAAATGAAAACCCGTAAACGTAAACAGGTGTTTGTACTATTTCTCGTTTGGCTTGAGTTTATAAGCCCAAACACATGGATACGTTTTTCAAACTTGTTTTGTAAACGTTACTGTAAGAAACTGTAATGGAAACTTCCCAGTTTGATATAACACGTTGTTGTATGTAGATAGTGGTTATTTAAGTACATTAATCTCAGTCTAATCATGCAACAGTAGAGGTTGTATTTTACATATGTTTCTAATAGCTTCCTACGCATAACAATTGGGTCTGTTTTTGTATTGGTAGTGGGTGCATTTTACATATACACCGAAAGCCTTCGTGCGATAAGCATGTAAGACTCTTCTTATACTTCGGTTGTTTTTTGCAAATACTTCGATTGACGTATAAACATATTGACAATGTGAAAAAGAAAATGCTTAATATTTTCCATTGGAAAAATCTTATCATATTTCCGAAGTGTGAAATAAAGAATATTTACCAAGAGAAAAAGCAACGACTTTTTCAGCCCCGCAGAATTTCCCTTTCTTGTCTAAAAATCTGGTTGGGTCAAATACTTCTGGGTTAGGAAAAAGGTCTGGATCACTTAAAATGGAGTCCAAATTGGGAAGAATGGTTGCATTCTTTGGAATACGATATCCTCTAAAGTAAATATCTTTCAGGGCTCCATGGGGTACCGACAGGGGAACTATATTGGCAATGCGTAGGACTTCAGTGATGACTGCATCACAATAATGCAGGCTAGGTCTGTCAGCAATGATCGGTGCGCGTGACGAGCCAACAACTGATTCTATTTCTTTGAACATCCGGGCCTGAACATCCGGGTTTCGAAGTAAGTAAATAATGGCCCAGCGAATAGTTGTAGACGTTGTTTCTGTTCCAGCAAGAAATAGATGAAGAATAATGAAATCCAAATTATCATCTGAAATATAAATACGTATTTGGTTTGAAGTATGCTTTATAAATAAAGTTTTGTCTATAATTTAAATGAAAAAAACTATCTGCGAAACTACACAAGAACGTATGCCATCGTTTAACTATCCCATTAAAATAATCATGACTGCGGTTCAAATTTCATCAATTTTCTTAGAACATTATGTCAATTTATGCAATAACATCAATTGTTTTTTCTTGTTTTAGGATTTCAATTATCAAGGCGCGAACAACACTATTTGACGTACTGATTGAATGTATCACAATTTAATTGGTAAAATACCATTGTGATATTTTCGTTTTTTTCAGTCAAGGATAATACAACATTATCAATTCAATAATATTTCAACTCGTCGGAGTTATACCTTATACGTTGTAATATTTGTTTAATTTGATGACCATAATATCATGCTCATGAAGACACAAATACCATAACAAATCAGGTAATCCCTCAATGTTTCACTGTAGGTATTTAGGACAGGTTTCTTCATATTCTTAAATATATGCGTTATTCATGTTCATGTGGCAAAACCAGTAAAACATTTCCAATAAAATCCATAGTGATGAGCACACTTGTAAATGTGAGCTAAGCCGAGGCTCATCAGCTGGGATCCGACGTAAAGGTGGTTTTGTAATCTACTAAATTATTCATCTGCGGTTCAACGAAACACCGTAACAAATATATAATGACGTTATCAGCTAGTAAGTCATGGCAACAATGTTAAATTGATCAATTATTTTTGAAATATGAAAAGCATATGTGTGGTGAAGTTGATTTTGAAATTTATTTTGGCAAAGACAATTAGACACTTATCTTTAATTTAATCCGATCTAGAGCTCCAAATGATATAGATTATAATAAAAGTGCATACATTATTTTTTTGGTGCTACTTAGTTTTGTTAATGAGACAGGGAGATATATATGGATGTCCACATACAAATAAACTACACCAATTGCAAAATTGCTTCTTGATGTGATTTACTGTAACTAAATCTTCATTTTCCTTGTCCTAAAATACTTTTAGAATAAACTGTAGTTGTTTTAGTACAGGCAAGAGAGGCAATATGTTCTGGATACGTTTGCCAAGGTGGCCATGTGTTTCACTGTTTTTTTAATATTCTAATGATACAAAGAATACATATGGATGAGACAGGACCGACCTTAACAACCATTCACCTTCATATTATTTAGTATATATTTGCGTCAAAAATACACTGATTCAAAACTACCTTAATAGTTGTGTGCGAGCTGGTTCTGGAAACAAAACCTTTATCTACAATTGTAAAGTATATTGACTAACTTTTGGTGGAGTTACTTGTTTTATAAACGTAGTGAAAGTTCAACTTCCTGTAAATTAATAATGCTACATACATGGCTTACAACATTAAATGATAGTAATAAGCCCAACCGCCTATTGAAAAAAACCAATAGATTGCAATACATACACCTGAAGGCAGGATTGTCCTTGTCATGTTTCGATTGTTCCTTAATGAAAGCATCTATTAAATCTTGCGATGCGTTCGGATCAAACACCTTTTTGTGTAGTTCTACCAACGTTTGAAAATAGTCTCTGAGATGTTCAAAGTTTTTCAAAAATCTATTGATACCAAACAAATCTCCTGGTAGGAAGCGTAACAAAGGGAACGTGGAGACAATACTTGTCGGGCTAGCTCCTTGTACATCAATCCTACTTAGGAGCCACTTAAAATCCTTGTCGTCGTGGTTAAACCGTTGTCCAAACACAATACTGCAGATGATGTTCGACACACTCGAATGTGCCAAAGGGCTGATGTCAAATGCTTTTCCATTTTGATGTCCAATGACATCCAAGAATACATCGACTTCCTCCATGACCTTTGTCTCTAGTGATTTCTTGCCGAACCCTAATTCTCTGAGAGCTGTTAATGAGAATGTCCTCGTTTGCTTCCAGTGTTCTCCCGAACTTGCAAGTAAACCTGTAACGATAAAGTTAATTTTTAAATAGATATAATTTAATGAAACTTCGAAAATGCAGTTATTGTCCGCTGGACTTCAATGACAATTACATTCAATTGCTAGCAGCAGTATTCGCATAAGTGATTAGCATTTCTTGACAAACATTGTTTACACTAGGCGAATCGTTATTAAATTTAATCGGTCGTCAGTAACAGTTTTATAGTTTTATATTTCTTAAGAGCTTTATACGTTTATTCCGATTTAGGTCGATAATATATGTAAAATGTAAACTATTCTTGCAGCATCCTGAGGTTGTCCAACGAAAATACTAAAAACAAATCACCGCGTAGTAGATTCACCATATATTTTCCACGATGCGATGTCGCCTAATCTTTCAATAATCTTCTGATTATTATTTTACCGTATATGCGAAAACGTTCATCCTCTAACTACATATATAAAGAATTGACCACTGTATAAAGTCCACATGAAATGTAGTGCTAACGTCCTGTAAATAAAACAAAACAACAGAATACCACAAAATCTATCTCCCTTTCATTCATCGCTATACGACTCCATGCCACGTCATCATTGCGATGCAATCAATGCCTGGCAATACGTCCAACTCATTTGACGTTACATCAATTTAATTTGGGATGGACAATCTTTCGTCTACCAAAAGAAAACACGATTAGAGACGCTAATAGAAGAGATTTTAGTGGAGGTATTGAAAACAACTTCTTGAGTCACGAACTGAAGACGCTATCGGTTTGTTGAGAAGACTGGTACCAATAAAGACAATGTTTTGTTTATAATTTTTATGAAAACACGTTGGTAGGTCACATGATTTTGCTCAAAACGGAACTATTTTCCAGCAGAAATGCCGGTGAATATACAGCATTTATCGGGAGGACATCACCAAAAAACGTAAGCAAACAGGAAAAACGGAATGTATCTGTCCAAAACTGTCAATAGAGTGCTTACTGGTAGTAATACGCATTAATGTAATTATGACGTTGATTGATTAAGCTCGGTGTAAATGATCTCTGTTGTACCCTCTGTCTGTGTAACCTATTCCTAATAACGATGAATAGCGAATAACTGTCCAACTTTACTTGTCTGTTATTTAGGTCTGGCTCCACGGATAGATGTGATACACCTAAACGTCTGATCTGTACCTGGTACCCTGTTTACACTGCATCAAGTGATGACGCGATGGTGATATCTTCAGAATAATGGCGCATGTCAGCTGTCTCTTCCACAGAAAGGTAAAGACAGATTTATCATTCCGTAGGAAAACGGGATTGCACTTGTGAAGTGTTATAGAAAACATTCTTTGAAATAAGCCGTTTGGATAATGTTAATGAAGTCGATAAAAAAAAAACCGCCATCGTGTAGGGAGCGTCGTCTGCAATAAGACATAAGGTTAATAACACACTCTCATGAAAGCCGTAAGCTATACTATAACAATCATTCCATCGTGTAGAGAGCGTCGTCTGCAATAAGACGTAAGGTTAATAACACACTCTACTGAAAGCCGTAAGCTGTATTATAACGTACTTTAAATCAGCCATACAATTAATCACATGTTAAAATAACGCCGCCAAGTAGACGGTCTGTAAAAAGCCGTAAGGAATATGCCTCATCACTGGGTGTCCCCAGCTTGTATCTGACTCCATCGTAGAGATAAACGTTTGTGAGACTCACACTTATTACGATTTCTTTGTTGAAAATGGACCATCAATTTTGACATTGATATCATATGGTGCAAAGTGTAATTTATTTGTGCCTGATAAGAGTTAAGAGAGTGCGTTTACACTATCTTAGTGTTTGGTAACGATAGTATATAGATAGTAATAGCCCCTTACCTCTGCCCTTGACAATCATACGGTTAGCTAGGGAACAAGGACGATCTGAGAATTCTTCTGCCCTTTTCACCAGAGCATCCTTGATGACGTCATAACCATTTAGGACGACAAGCAGTCGAGTTCCGACCTGGATGCTGAAAATGTCTCCGTACTTTTTCCTCAATTTCCGGAATGTTCTCGTAGGTATTTTGTCCGATGCCATTAGTTTTATTCCAGATAAACCTGGTATACCTCCCGGGCCAGGAGGAAGGCCACGGTTTTGTTTAATCCAGCCTAAAACCAGAACGATTACGACTACAAACAAAACAGATAGGAACACTTCCATGTTTGAGGTACGACGCAGTCAAATTTCGTCTGTTGCAGTAAATAAGGATAATAAGACCACTATAGTGATAACAACTTGATCAACTGGAGCACGTTCTACATACTGACTCCGTCTATCTGTCACCCGGTCACATTTAAACTTCGATCTAGTTAGTGAACTTTAAAGAGATTCCGAACTCGACGTTTTGTATTCACGAAGTTGGAGTGATACCGGACTGGATCTTTTCGGCAAGTTTTATTTTTTTAATTAGGCCTCTATGTATTTAACAGTTGCTATACATTTGTATGGCGGTATAATGTAGGTACTACTAAAGGAAGTCGTTCAGGACATTTTCCTAACGGAGAAAAACATACAAAACCTTCATATTAATAAACTACAAGTCAAAAATGTGTCGTTTTGTGTGATTTTGTAACATTCTTTGTAACGAAACGAGCTTTGTTTTCTTCCTGTGGTATTCGATTTAGAATATTGAGGCAGTCATCTGGGAAGGCGTCATACTAATATCCTGACGTGGGGGAGGGGAGTGGGGGAGACGTGTGACGAAGCCTAGCGTATTTACAGTACTTTTCTAGATTTAACTTGTATTCTTTATCTATCCTGATCTCACCTCATAACCTACAGCTGAGTGACCCTATACTTGTCAATCGTATGAGGGTGTAGCTAATCATGTATATTACTGAACATGGCAGGTTTTGAATTCCGTGTACCCAGAAGCGCAAGGTATGGAATTTAAATCTTACTTATCAAAATGCAAAAATACAAAACGTGATCTGGGCCTGTATTCATGAAACCGTTCTCATGCTCAAACATGGATTCTGTGCTCAAACCAACTTTCTTGTTACTCACTTAAATCATGTCAACCGATCAAAATGTCAAATGTAAACATTGAAAACAGTATTCGGGTTCAAGTCTCTTTAAAGAAAATCGAAATCTGTTGCAAAATAAGATTTGTTTATGAATTTATAACCAGACCAAGTAATTAAGCTTGAGCACAAAATCCATGCTTGAGCATGAGAACGGTTTCATGTAAACGGGCACAGGACTATCTAGTGATGCTCAACGTCAGTAAACCTAAGTTAGGTAAATGTTTTTATGTATCAACACGAGTATAAATATATTCAACTGAAACGAACGAAGTCAAGGATTAATAAATTTGTACATATAAAAGAGATAAGCTACGGTGTATGTTTTTAACATTCATTTAACAATCTCGTTATTTTGAGTTTTTGATACCTTATCGATCCGTTGGATGACATATGAAGATCGAGTAAGCATTACTGAGTATATAGAAATAAATATTACTTTCTTCATTTGATGGTCACTTAATCCTTTTCAAGCATGTGTTCTTGTTTCATTCTTGCGTAGGCAAAATTATTTTTCTGTTCTGTTTGGACCAAGCAAAATTATCATTGCCGAATACTGAAAGCTTTGGTCCTTTTGGTTGCTAAAAACACCACACCCAAACTGTTTCACACTGTTGACGACCCAATTGTGAACTATATCCAGATTTGTATATCTGGCCCATATATTTGAAATTTTAGATTTTAGAAATTTCTGATCTTTTGAAGACGTTCCCGTGATCCGGTCCGTATTTTCTTGGAACCAAGCGTAATTACAGAATATTTACACATGTATACACTGCAAACGTTATTTATAGATATTCTCTTTGCCACCTTCCAATCGACGTTTTTCAATACGATTGTGTCCATGACGATATCTAGAACCTTGTACTCCAGCTGCGGGACTATAACGTTGGTAATCAGTTTGGATGTCGACATCATTGCCGCGAAAATGTGAAATGACATCTTCTGCACGGTGACGACATTTCCATGCTCATGTGAGGTTTGCAACAAACATGACAGTTGTACAGCTAAAGTGGAACGGCTTGATAGATTACTAGAATAGCAGAAACTGCTAAATATTTCTTAAAATAACACCAATCATATCAAAAGGATGAATCAAAGTTAGTTCCTTTTGTTCCAATCCACGGCTTTTCAAATTTTTCCTGTGCTAAATAACAAATGTCAAGAGTTAAAGCAAAAAAGCAGGCGTATGAGAAACCTGTTTATTAAACATGATATTTTACATAGAATACGCCAACGTAAGCACTTAAAATGTATATTGTCATGCTCTAAGTTTGATTAGTATTGTGTAACACCAGAAATATCCAAATGTAAGACACCAATACGTGGTACATGTCCTATGCTTATCGAATGTAATACTTTTTTGGTCAAGAATGGTTTGAAATTTACAGGAAGGTTAATATGAATTGTAAATCAAGAAATGTAATTGATGCAATAGTTTGTTCTAAATGTGGTGACTTCTACATCGGTCAAACTGGCAATGAACTCAGAACACGCATTAATGTACATAGAAAACAAACTAGAACTGAATCTTTACGAAATCTGCATGTTAACAAACATATTCATGAATGTACCGGAGATAAATTTAATGTATTACCTTTGTATCAATCAATTATTTTCATAAAACACTATTCTAAGAGAAAAGGAAGAAGACCAACCAATCAAAATATTAAAAACAAAGTTTTAACAGACCACAGTAAAATTTTACGTCAGTTTGTCCACCAATCTTTTTACTTCGTGAAGTCACGTTACTATTGTAGTGTGATGACATGTAATTGTGACGTCATTGTTCTTTTGAAATAAACCTGATGAGCCCTGTGAAGGGTGAAAGAGCTAGTTTTTTTAGTCGGTGGTTAGATCTTATTTTTTCTGTAATTACTTACTTCACATGGACATTTAATCCTATTTTATTGTACAAGCTAATATATATATGGTCTATAAGCTATAATAGTACAATGACCGGAATGACGATAATATGTTGGGCGCTATTCCGTCATTGTGTAGCTTCTGTCAGCTAATGCAGAATATATATATTCCCTTTGAGTGCCACAGGAATCTCATTAGAGAGTACAAAGCCAAATTTTTATCAAAATGTAATTTGAAAATATATGACGTAGAACAACTGAACAATGGGCCAAGCGATGACGTCATGTCATTATGTAAACCTGAAGTATCTAGAATGAAAATCGTCACAAAATGGTTATTTGTTTTTCAACTGTTTACGTTGGTTAATGGGTCAATGTATAACCAATGAAAGTATGCGTAACATGTATTGTTATGTATTATTTGTCAAATTTCAGGTTTTATTACAAAAGCTCCCTAATGGAATGGTATTAATCCTGGAAACAACGATTTTTGTTCGTATTACATGTACTAATTTGTCCAAACAGAAAACCAGAAAACATGCATAGTAATAATGATTGTATATTTATTTAGTCTTCACGACATCTGCGTCTTGCAAGACACAACGCATGTACTCCACGGAAACACGTAGAGCATGCTGTACTCGCACGGCGCCTCTCGTTGCCCCTGCAACGCGAGCAGACGACACACTCCTTCTGCTGATGTGGTCGTAGATGTATCAAACGACACCGTCCCAGGTGTCGTTCGGTTTCCCTTTCATCCAACTGTCACTACATAGGCTGTACACGATATCCTGAATGAAATAATGTGTATTTTGGGAATAACAATATCCTATGGATGCGTTGTACACGATCTTTTTCCACAATTTAAGAGTTTTATGGCTCTCGTCATACGTTAGAGTCAGCATGTCGTTCAAGTCTAAACCGCCCATATTTTTGTTGTAGAACTCGACAATGTCCGGTTTCCGTCTTCCATCTTTTACTGCCATGCAGTTGGATACAAGACGAACGGCTTTTCTGTATGGACGTTCTTTATATGCGCAAAGTAATATGTTTCTTTGTCTCATGTAGACAGATTGGCCGGCGTTGACATTTGGTGTTCTAATTGTGTTTGGTTGTTCCTTGCTATTCGCACGTAAAGGGCCAGTAAAGTTCGTACCAACCTGACATAGTCTTTTTGCCAGATCTAGTGAAGAAAAGATACTGTCAATTACTAAATGATAACCTTTGTGCAGCAACCCCGCCGCTTCCAATAACGCAAACACAGCAGAAGACCCCGGGACGGGATCATATCTGCGACCCCTGTAGACGGTCATATGGAGAATGTATAATGTAAAAGACTCCGCCAACATCCAAACTTTGGCCCCGAACTTGCAGTGATTTGAAGGGATATACCGAGTTATTTCAGTTCTATTCTTCGTACTTACTAATGATTCGCAATCGGCTGTGACTTTTGATGAAATAAAAAATGCATTGTCTACTATGTCTAAAGGTAAAACTCCTGGCCTGGATGGGTTGGCTGTTAAATATTATTGTCACTTTTTTGATGAGTTAGGATATATTTTTCCTCATACAGTACAAAGTATCTGGGATGATAGAGAATTGACCAGAACTATGAGACAAGGGTGTTATTAACCTTATTTATAAGAAAAGTGAAGATAAATCTCTGTTGAAGAATTGGAGACCAATTAGTCTTCTCAATGTGGCCTACAAAATTCTAGCCCGAGTAATGTCTGATAGACTTAAAGCTGTTTATCTCCATTCAAATATCAGTTCGGCAGGGGTGTCCAATATCGGCAATGCTATACGTTTTAGCCGCGGAACCCCTGGGAAGAATGATTTTAAAGTCTACAGATATTTCTGGTATTAAGGTTCCTCATACAGACTTTGAGTCAAAGGTGTATCAACATGCAGATGATACAACTTCGACACTTAGGAATAAAGCGTCTATTGTAAATGCTTTTAACCTATTGAAGGTGTACAGTAATGGTTCTGGTGCCAAGATAAATATAGATAAATCAGAAATACTATGTATTGGTAAAGGAAATTTTACAATTGCCGAACTTGAAAAATTACGTATCAAATTATGCGACAAAGATATATGTATTTACATATGTGTAATGCAAAGAATTGGGAAAATAAAGTTGTTTCTATCAGAAATATTATAAGAATGTGGTCACAAAGACAGCTAACTCTTCAAGGAAGAGCTACTGTAATTAGTTCCTTATTGATGTCCAGATGTTGGTATTGTCTTACTTCACAGACTGTACCTCTGACAGTTATTAGGGATATTAAGAAGTTATGTATTGATGTTTTATGGCATAGTGATGCTCATTTGGTGGCATATGACCCTATTATTGGTGAAAGAAAGGATGGTGGTTTAATATACCTGATATTGAATTAAAACTGAAATCTTTTCGATCAAAGTTTTTGTTTAGATGATTGGGCATATCATGTACAGCAGACTGGAAGAATATGTGTAATTATTTTCTCAACAAAATACTCGATTTAAATCTTGACACTGAAGTACTTCATTGCAAGTTTCCAGATAAGTATTTAAGAT